TCACTCATATCAGAGTTCTCGCTATCGATTAGAACTCGATTCTGCATACAGCCACGTTTGAACGATACTCAGTACCTTTCTTCAATACCACCTACTATAGGTCATGAACAGTGCTGTAGCATTATCACTCCATAGTATAAAACAGTTCTTCTGGTGGGCCTGGGTCGATCTATTGCTTTTTCTTTGCTTTCGCGCATTTGTTGCAAATTGCTTTTGATTGTGACAGGAAATTATTAGAACCGAGGCGCGAGAGGGAAGCGAATTCCGTACAGTCAAAATTCATACAAACCTGTGAATGGAATGAGCTAACTTAAACGAATATCGGAACCTCTAAGTGGCACAGTTCGTAATAACCCGACACTGCAATAGAGCAGAATCACACATGTCAGCCCCGTTTACAAAATGTCGGGCACTTACTTAAACGCGACAATGACCGAGGCGGGGAAGATCTAATTTGGCAGTAAAATTTTCTTCTTCTACCGACGACTTGTGTCAACGTGGAAGAATCCAAAAGAAGATATCATTACATTATGTGGGTTTAGTTGAGCGTCAAACACATTTGATGGATCACAATTCTGTGATATTAAAGTAAGTGGTGATTACGAATGGGGTGATATTAAAGTAAGTGGTGATTACGAATGGGGGTTAATTCTCCCAGTCCCCGACTATTTGTTGCTTAGAGAATTTCTCCGATCGGATGCGGACATAGCCTAATTCAATTAAAAAATTTTGTGGCGCGGTTCTCAACTGAACCAAGAAAAAAAGCAATTTGCGAGGGAGGAAGGTGTAGCCCAGACAGGAGGGAGATCGGCACCGATAAACAGAACCATGAATGCACCTCTTTGTAACATGGCCGTAGAGTAGAGCACCAATTGAATGTCAAGAATAAATATGACATCAATATCACCGTTTTAAATTGTGCCACAGCAATCCATGTAAGGGGAGATAATAGTATTATATTTAGCAACTTTTACTCCAAGTCACGTGCAATCACCTGCTTTTTCTCCCTCAAACAACAATTTTTTTGTCTAATTTAAATATTAACACAATGCACACACTACTACACATAAGTGTCTAACGTTTTTTTTGTTGTTTTGACTGCAAATTGATTGATGACAAACGGAAACAAAATATCAAATGGGAAAACTGTGGATTCATCATATTTAAATTAAACCTTAATAAAACAATACAACCCCCAAACTAACAAAGTAATAAACTGAATACTTATATCCTCTCCAAAGGGTTTCTTCAAAAAAGATTTCAGGTGTTGAAAAAAACAAAACAACAACAGAATAGTTGACACTTTTCCTTTTAAATCTTTGATATATAAGTGATTACAGATACTCCACAGAGAGAGAAAGAGGCAGTAAACATATTGACTCTACTACTGATTTTCCAGAAAGGGCACATATCACAAATAAGAGCAAACTTTGGTCTTTGATTTAGGCTCTTTGTAAATGTACCAATACTTGAGACAAATTTCACCAAATCACAACAAGCAAACGAAAACGTTCGTTAAGTAATATAGCAAAACGCCATGAGTGATGAAGTTACGTCGTCCGCGTTGCTAGAGCAACTTGTGTACATTGACAACTACATTAATGGTACACAACCAAACACAGATAGCTCAACAGCTACTCCTAATATTGATGTCGATGGACAATTAAGTCTAGATTTGGCAGCATTTGCTGACGATTCATTTATATTCCCAGACGAGGACAAGCCTAAGCATTTGTATGATCACGACGAAGAAGAGGATGATGAAGACGAGAGAGGGGAAAGAGGCGATCACAAATTCCACAAAGATGGCAATCTCGCGGGTTCGGGAGCCAATGATGGATTAAATGGATGGAATATTCACGAGTTTAACAGCTCAAGCTTGCTACCTACTTTGAAACAGGAGCCTGATGTGGGTAGCTCCAACCAGCAATTCTTCAGGAGCCATCAATTTAATGATGGCCATGAAGATGACAGTAGTAGGTTAGACCAGTTCAATCTTTTGCTGAGTCATGTCGATAGCAATGAAGTAGGACTTGGCGGTGGCGGTGTATTGTTGGATGATTTTCAAAACAAAAGCAACCATGGACACATTGGCAACAAAAGTGATTTGGATAACCTGCATCATCATGTCCAACCCCACAAGTTGTTGAGCATAAATGAGTTGCCCAAGTTTCCAGTGCCTCCAGGTGCCAAGAACTCATTAGTCAGTGCTGGTTTATCGCTGAATCAGATTGATTTATTGAGTGCGTTGATTGCTCAACATCAGACTAATTTGGGCAAAACTTTATCGCAACAGCAAAAGCAGCGTCAACAGCAAGGTTCAGCAGCTAATGGCGAACACAACACCAATGGTGACGATTTGGGAATACAAACCATAAATAATTTCATCAACAAGCAACTGCAACAACAACAACAACAACAACAATCAACATCATCAAATTTGCCCTCTAATATTGCACCAATTACTCCAAATGCTGTAGCTCTATCACCAACCGATGTCTCCACTCGACAATCAAATCCACCGTTCCATCTCCCCTCACAACAACAACCAACTTCATCACTTTCTCAGCTAAATTCAAGCTTGCAACTACAAACAAGATCACGCAATCCCAGTATAACATCCTTCATTGACCCCAACCTACAACGCGCAGTAGGATCAGGACCAACAGGACCACCATCAACTACTGCAAGTTCCAATTTGAGTCTGCCTGATGCTGCCGAACTCGACAAGAAGCGTCGCAATACTGCCGCTAGTGCTAGGTTCCGCATTAAGAAGAAGATGAAGGAACAGCAAATGGAGAACAAGATTAATTCATTGAATGAAATGATTTCGTCGTTGGAGAATAAATTGAGTCATTTGGAGATGGAGAATAAGTTGTTGCGCAATTTGATTATTGAAAAGGGAAGTCAGAAAAGTGATGATGAGTTGAGGTTGTTGAAGGAGAGAGCCAGAAGAGGAAATCTGTAGATAGGGGAGAGGAAAGTGGTAAAACTTTGAGTTGTCTCTTGAATATATTGTCACTTGAAGAGGTGGGTGTATAAAAATAAAAATAGGATTAATGAAAAGACGTAGTCTACTTCGATTAAAGAGTGCAGTGAAGCAAATTGGTGAGGGTTGGAAGCAGCTAAGTGCAAAAACTTAAAGAGTTCGATAAGAGTTGTATTGTATTTCGTCAATGTCAGTGCACATGGGTGTATTTTTCATATCTTGCATTTACTTTAGTTGAATATCCTCTACGCCAGTCTGACATCCAACTAAAAGCTAAATTTTCAATTGGCATCCTCAAAGAGTCAAAAGTCAAATAAACAATACACAGAAATCAACCACAAAAAAAACCCCGAAAAAAAAAAGAGTAAGAATAAGAAGAGACAAGATTTGTTGCAATCAGGGGTGAAGATGTGTGAAGTGTTTCATCTAAGATATAAAATGGATTGTCAACAGCTAGTCGATCCCTTCTTCTTCTTCTGTAAACAATCTGTAAATCGGAGTCGCTCGTAAAATATGTTCAACCGCGGTAAGAGAATGCCAGGTACAGAAGTAAATAAAAACAAAATGAAACAGGCGAAAAAAGAAAACTAAAAAACAATAAAAAAAACCGCTACACCCTTTTCCACATAAGTCAGGCCAGCAGTTGAAACAAAGGACGCTAGTGAAGGTGTCAAATGTTTTGGTACTGGAGTAAATATTTGCATACATGCTAAGTAAGCATGTTTATTTAATAAGGTGTGAATAAAAGAGAAGCAGAATGTAATTCAATTTAATTAAATGTCATTTATTTTATTTTAAATTGAATAATTATACAATTATTCTTTCCGTGTTAGTCTTTTATTACACAAAAGTAATGGTTTTCTATCTCAACAAAAATAATATGCGAGATGCGTAAAGTCTTTTTGAGAAATGTCGTAGTACGACAGATATCTATTAGAGAGCAAAAGAAAGAATTCAAATGGGTGCTACCCCTATGATTCAATAAGCTTCTGTAAATTGGGATTTTGTAGGTAGTTGATTTTAAGTCTTGAGCTTATTGAGCTATATGTCCCTAAATAGTAGAAACGGTAAGGAGAATTCTTTTGTTTTCACGCGAGCGAGTTCTTTGAGAATGACACAGAATGTCTTTATGAATAATAATAAAGATGCACTAACAAAATAAGACATACACAAGGCAAACATAGATGATCTTATCAAATTTTCATCCCAAAGCATTTGCTACTTTATTTAATCTCAATGCAGATCTTGAGATTTAGTTTTCGTCTTTTCTTAGATCAGAGTAATGCAAAGTGAATTGATGTCTTTTTAGTCTTTGTGGTTTTATTCAGCCCAATGTAAAATGTCGTTCTTAGAAAAGACAAAAAAAAAGGAAGACAGAATTGTTCAACAAAAGATAAAATCAGTCAATCACAGTTTCTATTAATACATAAGAAACCTGAAGGTCTCAACCACTTTGTATAGTTAAAACAAAGGGAAAAAATGATGAAGTTACTGGTTTTTACTACATTTACAATATTACTGTAGACTGACAGCTTTGTTTTAGCGAAATATTGAGGGTTGTATGTGAGACTTTGTTGTAGAAACTATTTGTTTCTTCATCACTGTTACTGCAAAACAGAACTTGTGACCAGCACCTTCGTGGATTTGGTTTTGACTCGTCCTTGAAAGCTTTGTTAGTAGCTAGTTCTCAAAGCATTTTAAAGAAAGTTTCCAACCTCTGGATCTCCCAGACACATACTAACTTCAGTCTTAAACAACTTGATTGACCCATATGTTCAAGACTGGAAACTAGATAGAATTAATTAGTTTGGTCACAGTTCCTGAACGTGGAACACTTCAAAATCCTAAGGCAAAAGCGTTACCTAGTATATAGGTAGTCTAGTAGAGTTATTGAACTGAAGCACAACTACGTACTAGGTTACTATATGAACAACATCTAAAACCCAAATTTTTGTTCAACACATTGGTTCATCAATATCATCTAACCTTTCTGAAAAATGGAATTCCTTTTGTTCTTTTTCTCTTTTTCTTTTTGTCTTAATTCCGACATTCCTGAACAACACAAAGCACAAAAATCAAAATTATAATTTTTTAAATTGTGTTAACCCAAAAGAAAGAAAGAAAGAAAAAAAAAAAGATGCAAGTAGCTTCTTACCCCCTTGCACGACCCTTTAGCAAAACCCCCTCTCTTCTAGTTATCTTTGAACACCTCCTTGCCGGTAAGTGCACCAGAATCCCAACTCTGTTCTTTGCCTTAGTTCAAGAGTGGTACACAATACGAAATACTACTCCCCATAGTGGCAGCCCAGATACAGTGGTATCCAAAATTGTGTTGTTTTCTGTTGCGACATTTGTTTTTTTGAAATTGTGCGCGTACTACAAAAAATAAAATAGAAATAAAAAAGAGATTGGAAATTGCCCCTTACTAAGCAATATAGAATTCAACCACAGGATATTTAAATTACCACTCAAGGGAGATCAGTCATCTGACCATATTCACTTTTATATGGTCTATCACATATAGTTACAAATACTCTTTTTCTTCTCTTAATAGGTAGGTGAATCTACGGCGGAATGGTATTGTACTCTGCTTTCAAACCGTTCAGGTGTTTTTTTATTTGATTTATTATTAGAACAATAAAACTCCTCAATTTTAATGTCACAATAAGTATGTATGTATGGATGTGCATAAATAAAAGACAAGAACAATTTATGGGAGTCGCTCTTTTTTTTGTTTTTTATTTTTTTTCCTTTTAATCAAAACAAATTACTTTGAACCCACGTTATCTTCGATAAATACTCTCCTCCTCAGACTATTACACACCCCGCTCAATTATATACTCATTTGAAACGTAACTAGAAATCAATACACTTCAATACACTTCAATACATTTCCACATAACTAGATACTAAACCATATAGTTACGACAACATGGTTTCAACTAGGAGATCGGGAGGGCCAGCAGTCAACATTGAACTAAGCTTCAATGGGAAAGATTTGAAAAAGGTTATTCCAATTGCCGAGCAGAGAAGGCTTCAGGAAGAGGAACAAGATCTTTCTGATGATGAACCAGAATTGGTACAAAAGAAAGAGAGGCCAGAGAGAAGTTCAGCTGATAACGATGAAAGGGCAGAGGATTTGGTTGCACGGGAAACTCGTACCACCAGAAGGGCAACCAGAGGAAGGCCAGCCAAAGCCAAAGGAAACACCAAAGCAACAGGCAAGACCAGCACTAAAGGCAACACCAAAGCCAGGGCCACACCCACTGCTACTACTACACGTAAATCAAATTTGGGTAGACGTAAAACAACCAAGCTTGTTACATTAAAGGCCACAACTACAGCAAAAGGCAGTTCAAAGGAAACAGCAAACCCAAAGCCTACTACTCGAGCTACTCGTGGGACCAAGTCTACAAGATCCAAATCAACTGGTGCGACAGAGACCAGAATCAGCTCAGATGAGGAAATACCATTACTTACAAAGAAGGAAACTAGAGGAAGACCGAGAAAACACCCAATTGGCCCCGATGGCAAACCTGTCATACCCGATCCTTCACTGAATCCAGCTACGTTGAGGAAAAGACGAGGTCGACCACGTAATCCAGAAATTATCATGGGAGAAAAACGAAAGTTCAATGAGGCTGATTTGATTGCGGCATCAGCAAATGGTTACGCTTCCAAGAAGTACAAGGTTGCCTCCGATAAACAAGAGGCTGGAGAACAGTCTCCATCTACTAGTGAAAGCTCAGTGAATGGTGTAACACATGAGAGAATTCCTTCGATGCAGGGTGCTACAATCCAGCCCATCTCAGAAGTAATTTCACAACATGCAGCCACATCGCCAAACATCCACAAACACAATATTAATCACTTGTTGTCCAAAGATGCGCCAACAGCAGCATATCCTCCGAATAGTTACGCAACAACAACCCCACCTACGAATCCCTCGTCTGCTCCCTATGCATCACATGTACAACCTCCTTCTTCATCGTCATATAGCAGTGGATATAGTCCACAATACCAACCATACCCCCAACCACCATACCTTCAACAGCTGCCTCCATATCCTTATCAACAGTATTCACAAGCTTTACACCCTCCTTATCCATTGGTCACCGGTTCGATGATGCCGCCACGCCAACAGCCTGCACCACCTACCACATACTCTCAACAACCTTTGGCTCGAGGTCCTCCAGATCTTTCAAGTGCACCAGTTCCATTACCACTGCATCGACAGCAGCCACTCCCAGCAGCCACCCCATTACAAGAACCACATGGACGTATCCCGATTACATCTATTATATCTCAAAAGATTGATTCCAAGGACCTTCCGTCGATTTTGTATGACGGGGATACCACCAGAGGTGATGGCGACGATGACGATGACGGCGAAGATGAGAGAGAGGGAGATGGTGAAGGTGAGGATGAGGGAGAGGGAGATGGTGAAGGCGACGACGGCAACGAAGGGAGAAAGACTAAACGCCGGTATCGCATTGATCGTGAAAACATCAAGATCAACAAAAGAATCATGTCTCAGGATACTGAGGATGTTATTAAAATGTTTAGGAAATTCGACGATGAAGTGTTGACCAACCCAGAAGCCAGACAACGCTTGCTATCATTGGGTTTCGAAACTAGGAAAAGATACATCACCACATTTAAACATTATATTCGTTTCTGTTGTCGCAAAAAGATGAATGATTTTTTTGTTACTGGTGAACTAATGAGGGAATTTTATCAAGAACAATTTGCAATGAGTACCTCAAGCAATCCAGTTATTCGATTGAGAAAAATGGATCCTGCTTTTTCCAAATTACAAGAAATCAACTATATAGTGTACAACTTGGATAGCAAAGAGATTCCTAATCGCCATATTGCTTTGGAGTATTTGATTTACAAGGAATTGGGTAAAGAACCAGGAGACAATATCGACTCAATTATTGATGACAAGGGTGTTTACCAGAGTGAATTGATTAAAGGAAAGAGAAAGAGAAGAACTAACAGGAAGCATAGATCAATTGACTATCCCATGGCCATATATGCACCCGAAAAGGGGAGAAGGCCAAACCATGGCACTGATGGCGGCAACCAGACACTTTTAGTTCATCCTGCCTTACCTCCATTACCTGCTTTGGTTAAGGAAAATCAGGAAAAGTTACAGAAACAAAGAGAACAGGAAGTCCAACTTCGTCGTCGAAGTGACCACCTCCAAGGACTGAATAATGGAGCACACGAGTATGTTGAAGAACAGACGTACCACCAACATACCCCCAGCACCACTTTAGCCCAGATTGAGCCCTCTTCGCACCAGCAACATGTGCACTCTCAATCTACAACACCACCGGTACCTATGTATCCGAAAAAAATCACAAAGAAAAATATTGAAGAAGTGAGACGTTCATTTGGCCGATTATGTGCCGAAATCAACTCCTATTTACAAGATGCCGTCGGTGTTGAGCCAGCATTTGTTTCCAAATTGAGGGCCGACGTCAATGCGCTGCTTAACCAATTTGACTTGGAGTTGAATGGCCCTCGTCCGCCACGGCCACCACCACCGCAAACCACGGCATCTGGTGTCCCCATTTACGACTTACAGCAAAATATATTCACCGTTTACGAGATTCTTGATGAATGGTATAATGGCACTCCACAACAGCCTAGTGTTGCACAACGGTTGGAGCAATATGGTGAAGAGTGGATTCGCGATGAGTTTGAATACAATACGTTTGTTGAGCGTCGCAGTGTTGTTGAGTTTGTTGAACGGTTGAGCAAGGAAACTAAGGTTGACATTTGGGTCATTGCTAATGATTGTGACAAGTATATTCGTGATAAGTCAATATTGGATGAATTCATTAGTGAGATTGAATTGGACGTTGAGGACTTGTTCAAGAGAATTTTGAGGTATAGGCAGAGAAGGGGGTAGTGGGTGTGAGATTTTCTCCCTGATTGTTGAGCTAATGAATGATGGTAAAAGGGTAATTTTTGTATGTTTACGAATTTTGTTTATGTTTTATGTTTGTATTATAAAGTAATATAATAGGATATATCGAAGAGAACTATGAGGCGGAGTGAAGTGGAGAGTCAAGCCCAGTTGCTCTGCAGCTTTTCATAAGGGGCTACATGGGGATCTCTCTCGAAGTGGTTTTCAAGTTTTTTTTTTTTTGATTTTTGTTGAGCAGAAAGCTTAATTGTGTAATGTAGAGTGCTTGGTGGTTTTGTGTACACAACATTCTTGCGATAAATTTGCCTGTATGTAAAACGAGGCGGCAAACCATTGCCCTGTGAGCATTAACTCTTGACAACCCTATTTGAGGCACCCACAGCTAATGCAAAATTTTTGCGATTCCACTAGATTCTATCTCAGAGATATAGTCAGTGAATTACGAGCACAGTAATGCAAGGAATCAAGTTTATGTTGCATTGAAACTGGAACGGAGTACCACTTCATTTTCCAATTTGCGCTTATGTTCTAATAACCATCGCATGACATTTTATTATCTTTCCATTGTAATCCTTGTTTATTTTATTTTTATTTTTTGAATCTTATTCTCGATGGGAGCACCCAAGTGGTTGGTGTTAAACTTTTAGTTGTTGATTTTGATTGATTTACCCCAGAACTTAAACTTAATTCATCGGAGTTATTCTTGTACTGCATTGAAAGGAATGGAGAACGTTTACTATTTGCTTTTCACATCAACCTTTACTTCTCCAACCCTACCCAATTCTCAAACACTGTTTCCCTTTAGAAGACGATGTAACATGCTTTCCGAAAAAGCCCGAATATTTTGAGGAGTTCAAGAAAATAACTACCAAAATATTATCGTTTAGGATAATTTGAGTTTGTTCTTGTTGTTAGGAAGTGCTCTTTTTGTGAGGATGAATCTGTCAGGCTAAACTCTATCCCATTCAGGGATGCTGTAATTATCAGTCAAAACGCCGTAAAGTTTTCAGCATGAGGAGAAGATACTATCTTAAAGGGAATGAAAAATAGGAGAGCCAGGTTTTGAACCAGAAACTTTGCAACGGGAAAGGTTTTCGAACGAGCTCCTTTGAAGTAGGAAATTTCTATCATTTCTTGTTTAGTAAAACTACTGAAGGTGTTGGTTTGCCTTGTACAGCTCACAATTCAAACCATCCTTGAGGGTTGGGGCCTCTATCTACTTCTTTGATTTTATCTCTGCCATCTCCTACACCGCAAACAACCGTTAATCCAGTCCGGAGCTTGACACTACTCCGACAGCCAAGCAAAGGTGTAGTGGAAAAACTATAATTAGAGTACAAAAGCAACCATCAACAAAAAAAACGCCTTCAGATACCACAAAAGGAACATCACCAACCCGTGAGGTTTTGATACAATCACAATCAGGCCAATAGCTTGATTTTATTGATCTTCCTTGGATGTTTTTAACTTTTGAATGGAGAGATAGTAAATGGGGAACAGATCAATACCTTCTTCAAGCTTTACCAATTAACTTTTCAAATTGAAGCAAAGCACGCTCGCGGGGAATTCGACACTTGGGGAGTTAATAGCAAGCAAACGCATCAGAAAGGAACATGCCAAAGTGCCACAACTATTTCAAGTACTAAGAAGCATTACTACGAGAAAAGAAACAGCGTGAGATGTGAAGACAAGATAATACACGTTCACCCTGTTGATTAAGATACAGACCATATTTATACTCATCAATGCTTTCCCCGTAAAATATTTCCCATTACTCTCCATCATACAAGACTCGTATTTACCTCCCATTATTCCCCATAGTGACTCAAACTTTAATTTTGTTTCAAGTCCCGGAGTTTTTATTTACGGCAAAGAGTAACATAAATATTTTTTAAGCCAACAAAGGCAGGGCTAATTTTGACCGACAAGAAGAATGTGCTGAGTTTAACTGCTTATTATGTTTATCAGAAGCATGTGCGGTGGGGAAAGCAAATAGAGGTAGTGAAGGGCAAATATATCCACCGGTTCTGGTAGCAGCTGCATGGTATACTAGGTTGGTGACTTCAAGAGCCAAAACGAAGAGTAAGTAATAGCTTCACTGGATATATAATATTTCAGCACATTGGCTGTAATTGGTTTCATACAAACATCGCTTTTAATTAATCAGGATATAATATTCAACACCATTTTGTTTCAAATAAGCTTTCTAACCAAGACTGCCTTGAGTATCAAGAAAACATTACAGTGATTGTTTCCGTAGCATCAGCTTGATAATTTTGTTATAATTATCGTTTCCCCACCATTTAGAAAGGCTTTTATTATCAAATGATAATTCCCCCAACAGGAACCAAGAAAAATTGGAAATTATTGATACCCAGTGGCTTTCCTTTGTGCTTTGCAAATTGTTGCAAAAGTTTCAGGACTTAGATCTCCAGATATAAAAGTCCATGGAATTTCCTTGTTGGATTGAAAAACTTCCCACTAATTCTCAACAACCTATCTACTCATCTAAGAATGTCACAATCTATTCACTCGGTCGCTTCTGAGATTGTCTATGAACACAATAGACATATTGTTCATCCACCTAAATTCACTTCCATTGCAATAAAGAAATACTTCAAGACAAGAATTACATCTTTATGGGTGGGAAGAGAAGAGTTACGCCAATACTCATGGAATGAGCTTCTTAACCCTTTCCAAGCTTTGACTGAGATGAACTTGCACCAGTGGAATTTCTTTTTGCTAGGATTCTGGGGTTGGACATGGGATGCTTTTGATTTCTTTGTCACCAGTTTAAACGTCACCAACATTGCTGTTGATCTAGGCGTCTCAACCAAGGACGTAACTTGGGGTATTACTTTGGTTTTGATGTTTCGTACCGTTGGTGCTGTTATTTTCGGTGCCATGGGTGATACATTTGGTAGAAAATGGCCCTTTATTTTCAACATGGTTTTGCTTATGGTGATTCAAATAGGAACCGGGTTTGTCACCACATATCTGCAATTTCTTGGTGTTAGATCGTTGTTTGGTATTGCCATGGGAGGTATCTATGGCAATTGTGCTGCTGAAGCCCTTGGAGATGCACCAAAGAAAGCAAGAGGCATATTATCGGGTATTTTCCAAGAAGGGTATGCTTTTGGGTATTTGTTGGCGGTGTGTTTCCAAAGGGCTTTTGAAATGACTGATAGAACTTGGCAAAATATGTTTTTCTTCTCTGCTGGTGTGCCAGTTATTTTCATCATTTGGAGATTCATCAATCCTGAAACCAATGACTATCAACGCTTAAAGGAGAGATTTAAGAAGGGTGCAATCCAGAAGGATTCTAAAATGGCTGAATTCAAAAGTGAAGCTAAAAGAGCCATGAAATCTTATTGGTTGATTATCATCTATTTAGTGTTTATGATGGCTGGGTTTAACTTCTCCTCCCACGGGTCACAAGATTTATATCCTACTATGTTGACTCAAGAATACAACTTTGGACATGACAGGTCCACTGTGGTTAATGTGTGTGCGAATCTAGGAGCGATTGTTGGTGGTATGTTAATTTCCCATGCTTCAACTTTTATTGGCAGACGTGCGGCAATTTTAATTGGTAACTTTACTGCAGGAGCATTTATTTACCCATGGGCATTTAAACCAATGTGGGTTACTGCATTCTTTATGCAATTTGGTATTCAAGGTTCTTGGTCAGTGGTTCCGATCCACTTGAATGAATTGGCACCACCTCAATTTAAGTCCTTTGTTGTTGGTGTTTCTTATCAATTGGGTAACTTGATCAGTTCGGCTAGTGCTACTATCGAAGCTTCAATGAATGAGACCTTGAATGATTATGGAAAGACCATGGCTATTTTCTTGGGTGCTATCTTGGCTTATTTGATTCCAGTGGTGTTTATAGGCCCAGAGAATAGAGGAGCTGATTTGGGTGTTGAAAGGGATGATGAAATGAGCATTTACGATGTTGAAGGGATGGGGGAAGATGATAAAGACTCAACTTCAAAGGATGATGTAGGACCGGAACTGTCGAGGGGGGAAAGAGGTAGAGAAGATAAACGTGGTGAAGATGAAATCAAAGTCGTTTAAGAAACGGTTACCGTGTTAGATATTACTCTATGTTTAATCAAAATGCAACAAGTTATGTAATATGACTCAAGCTTGCTCATTTAAAACCCTCAGGCAATTGTTGAGCTCCAACTATACTTTACGCTTTTCCCTTGCTTGAGAAATAAGCCAAGGAGAGAATCTACAAACACTGAGAAGGAACGCGGGTTCCTACAGTCTTACTCCTTTCTTAACTATCGAACAATAGAAAAGTTTCCTGCAAGTCATACTACTCCTACAATAAAAGTAGTGCATCTTTGCAAGTTAAGAGTTGGAAAATTTATTAAAGGCGTTGCAGAGCGTTTAAAGAATAATTGTGGGGAATGGTGGGGTGAGATAAAATGTAGCACAAAACCTAATGCAATTAGTAATAAATGAGAAATGAAAATTTTTTCTCCTCTTTATCGCTTACGGTGTTTGGCTAGTATACCATAGTTGTAGTGGTTAATTTGTTCAACTGGTGGATATGTGGGAGAAAAGTATGAAAGAATGAAGCAATAGCGTTGCGAGCATTCTCAAGTGTAGCTATTTCGGTTGTTTTGGAGAATTTTCCTTCAACTAGCAAGCACAAAGTTAGTCCGCGGCAACAGCAAAGTAAAAAGTTACTAATCTGTTTATTGTGATGAGCTTTTCAATCGTACGATCGGCAGTTAAATAAAAAGAGCGTGTGTCTGGAAATGACGTCTTCTGTCAAATATGTCATAAGTGTATTCTCTTGGCATTAGAAGAAATATTTCCTTCATTGGAGATATTAATTCGTTTGAAAATTGCAACTAAGAGTTGGGGGAGGCAATAGCAGGCTAATGTTGCATTAGGCAAGTGAGATAAGGGATTAAAATTGAGTAGGCTTGAGCAACACTCTAACTCGATGAGAATAAACTAGTGGAAGATATTCTCAATTAATAATGCAAACGTTTTTATTAAAGAAGGATGAAGCTTTTATATTCCGCGCGTATTCTTTTATCCCAACTAGCGCGCTGTATAATGTATAAGTCGCATAGCGCCCAGCTGCGTTTATCCCCACCATTGTTGCCTTGGATTACACTTCTGCGTTGTGTACATATGTACACGACCTGCTGATATAAGCCTGTTCGCTCTAAAACAATAGACACATACCGCGGTCAGTACAAATTTTATTGTTCTAATTTTGAGCAATCTTTATTGTTCTTCTCCCCCCCACCTTACTGCCTCTTCTTTTTATCTGCTTTCTAAATTACTCCGAGAATTACTTCATTGTCTGCAACTATAAACATAGAGACGACAATGCATTTAACAGCATCAGCAGCAGCCACACTGTCCGCCTTTTATATATAAAGCAAAATTTTCCCCTTCTGTAATCTTCCAACTTGCCTACCAAGCTTGTCCAGTTTTACTATATTTTACAGCTCTTATAGTTATACCGTTATCGTTTTACACTAAAGGTTAGCCAGGTACAGAATCGCCAAGACAAAAGAAATAGAAAGAGCACAATAGTTATCATGACACACTCAATACACTCAGTAGCCTCAGAGACTGTTAAAGAGCATAATAAGCATATCATTCGCCCACCAAAGTTCACGAGCAAGGCAATAAAAAATTATATTAAGACAAGATTTACCTCACTATGGGTCGGGTGGGACGAGTTGAAACAGTATAATTGGTACGAAGTTATCAATCTATTTCATCCGTTGGCTGAAATGAACCTCCACCAATGGAACTTTTTCTTCATGGGCTTTTGGGCATGGACTTGGGATGCCTTTGACTACTTTATCACCAGTTTGAATGTTTCGAACATCGCTAGTGATTTAGGTGTTAGTACAAAAGACGTTACTTGGGGTATAACGTTAGTGTTGATGTTGCGAACAGTGGGTGCGTTGATCTTTGGTGCTATTGGTGACAAGTTCGGTAGGAAATGGCCATATATTATCAATTTGGTGCTACTTATGGCTCTCCAAGTTGGATGTGGGTTTGTGCAAACTTTTAAACAGTTTCTTGCAGTGAGAGCCTTATTTGGAATTGCCATGGGCGGAATATTCGGTATTTGTGCCGCTGATGCTTTTGAAGATGCGCCCAAAAAGGCGAGGGGTATCTTATCCGGTATCTTCCAAGAAGGTTATGCTTTTGGCTATTTGTTAGCAGTGTGTTTCCAAAGGGCATTTGACGAGACACCCGATACATGGAGAAACATGTTTTATTTCTCGGCTGGTGTTCCAGTTATATTTATTGCATGGAGATTCATTAACCCAGAAACAAACACATACCAACGTCAACAAGAAAGATTGGCTAAGCAGGCAGCAGCCAAACAGTCGAAGCATGCCGAACTTTTAGAGTTCTGGGTTCAAGCAAAGAAGGCTTTGAAAACGTACTGGTTAATCTTAATCTACTTAGTGTTGATGATGGCTGGTTTCAATTTTTCTTCCCACGGATCACAAGACTTGTACCCAACCATGTTGACTGAAACGTACCATTTTGGACACGACAAGTCCACAGTCGTTAATGTTTGTGCCAACTTGGGAGCCCTTGCTGGAGGTGTTGTTATTGCTCACCTTTCGACATTTATTGGAAGGCGTACCGCCATCCTAGTTGGAAATGTCTTTGCTGGTGCTTTTATCTATCCATGGGCGTTTAAACCTATGTGGGTGACTGCATTCTTTTTGCAATTTGGTATTCAAGGATCGTGGGGAGTTGTGCCTGTTCATTTATCAGAGTTGTCACCACCACAATTCAAGACTATTGTCACTGGTGTTGCCTACCAGTTGGGTAACTTGGTTAGTTCGGCAAGTTCCACCATCGAGGCCACGATCAACGATACTTTGGATGATTATGGGAAAACCATGGCCATCTTCATAGGAGCTGTGATTGCTTACTTGATGCTAATTGTATTTATTGGTCCTGAAAATAGAGGTGCAGATTTGAGCATTGAAAGAGACGATGAGATGAGTGTCTACGATGTTGACGAAGATGAAGACAAAGATGATACAGCTTCCAAGATTGAGGATAAGGAAGGTGTGTTTTATGAAAAGCCCAGTGTTGACCACAGGGAATAAGCTAGTTGTGATTAATCTCACTACTGTTTATAGTTTGTATTTTTATATTACAACGGGTTAATATAATCTCGCTGATTATATCATGTCTACATATTCTTGAAAGATGAGTTGTTTTTATCAAGTTGTAGTGGCATTTACTCCTAAGGTTGTGTTTGGTGGGCAATAGTAGTAACTTCTGCGGCTCATAAGTTGTTATTTTTGTGCCAGCGCAACCATTATCGATTCTCACATATATCCAGTTGGCTCAACTGCTACGTGCCATGAGAAGATGTTTTCATTTTCGTCCACTATCCTTGTTATAATCACACTTTTATTGGCTATTAATATCATTCAGTTCCTACTATGGCTTTTCCGGGGACCACTTCGCGATGAACAAGCTGTACGAAATATAAGCAAACCTCCTTTTGTTGATCATCACCATCAAGAACGTGTGACAAGCACCCACCATAACCGAAATGAAGCTACGGGAAGTGTTTATACAACGAGCTCTTCTGTTTCTCCGAATGAGAGCTACGCCAATTTTCGAGCTAGATTGTTGGCTGCTCGAGAATCTACGAGACCCCAGTCAAAAAGAAATATGTCATCATCGACGCAATGGAGAGATGGCAAACAAGTGATGGAAAAAATTAAAGGAGCCAGAATCAAGATGAAGCAAAAGTTTCAGAATGCTGCCGACAAGTATTCCAAGAGAGCACGAAGTATTGGAAGACGTAATCTGTCTGCCGGTGAAAACTCTATTCCATCGACAGCGCCAAATTATGATGATGACGACCCGCCTCCACCCTACACTTTCAGTATACGCTAATCTGAGGGATAAATTGTTAATTTTAGTAATAAATTCAGTGGATCTCATAGAAGTAGACTATTTACTTTGTCATATTTGCATACAGAAATAGACTTACGGTGCAGTTGATTCGCAACTGAGACATCTTCCATACCGAAGACTGTGTAATCATGTTGAAGTCTGCGGTCTGTCTTCTCGCTTACTCAAATAGCAGGGTTTGTGGATGTCTTTTTTTGTGGGATAAAGGCAAGATAAGCATTGTAATATTGCTCAGCTTAAATTGGACCTTAGTGATGTATCAGCAAGCCGCACATTAAGGAGGATAGAATAGCAGATGCACGATAATTAAATCTGCTCAATGGGAATTGAGGAATTTCCGTATAAAATTAACGAATTATTCAATTTGATTGAACAAAGACACTCAACTTCTTTACAGTTACCAACTTCCCAGGTATCAAGCAATCCCTACCGTGTGAGATTATGGTGATTAAACCCTTAACATGGATGGATGCACACACAACGGTTTTCCTCTAATATATATGCAAACAGAGTCAATATGCTCTCTTGTCCCTTCTAAAGCGTTTTCTTCTGTTGTGGTAATTTCCTGAGGTTGACTTTACGTGATGGTATCCATTTTGGTGTATTTCGTTTTTCCAAAATTGAGGAAATTTCAAAGAAAAAACCCCGTAACAAAATTATTTCAACTTTTAACTCATGTCAGTGCTTTGTCCTCAATGGCTTCAGGAGAAATTGTTATACCTATTGTTATAATTCTATCGATTGTCTCCGTATTGCTTCTTCTAGCGTGTTGTAGTTGTCCCGAACATGAATTGAGACAACTTCTGTCGACCATGAATCATGAAAATGCCACACAACCCCAAATTTCTGGCCAAGGAACAATAGTTCATCAAAAACCAGTAGTTGGACTGACCGTGAGCCTCTATGCTACAGAAGCTACCGTTACTGATGTTACTCAACCTCAAGCAAGTCATGCAAGAGAAGATGATGTTGCGCCACCAAGCTATTATGAATCAGTGGGGCAATCTAGCTCTTCTTTTTTCGACCAACTTTGATAATCTTCTTTGAAAGAACAGTGGGTCATAGGTCAATCTATTGCAAAAGAAATAGGAATCAGATATAGTGTACTGTATAGATGCAATCACTAAAGTGCCGTGACATCATCGATTAGAACATCAATTATGCTTTTCATTCAGTAGTAACCTCTGAAGTCATTATAATCTATATCAAGGTGTACTTGTTTTAGTATTTCAAGGGGCACATTTCTCAGGTTGAGAAAGCTACATCCTTAGTTTCTTGCTGCCTTGTTGCAAGAGCTAAATTGGAAGGATATTACAGGTGTTCTTTTCCAGAAAAGCTTGAGATTAAACCAAGTCTCGTTCTGGGACTTGATATGGACTTTCTGTCATGCAATTTAGGCTCAAAGTTTGGTACGCCAAAAAAAGTCACCAAAGGATTTTTTGCAACACTTTTTATTAATATCTCATAATCGTCGAAGACTTCATCACCACCTCATACAGGAACTCATTAGAAAGGCAGAGCTTCATAATAGAAAGTGTATTATAAGTCAGTGGTCAGCAACAGCAACATCTTTCCTTCCTTCCTTCAAATCGCCATACTATTGACATCACTGTTTTAGCGACTATATCAACAACCAAAATTCGTATTCACGCCATATCATTATTCGTTTACATTTGGGAATAGCCAAATATTACACATTTCGGTTAATATATTAGGGATTAGAAGAGACAAAGAGCAATCATTTCACCATGTCAACAACCGAGGCCGTTACTAGCCGCATGGGTCACACCGAAGAACCGTTGAATACACAGGTTAGAAATACCAAAGAGGAACCCACTTTTATTCCAATGCTGTACCAGGACTTTATGAGTTTATCTTTTTTGGACAGATTTAATTTCTTAGTTGTCTTTCTTGCTGGACCGATTATCAACAGTAATATCAAATTACCAGCCACTATCGATATTAAAAAATGGGCCTTTCAACGTGTATTCACTGTGCTCAGTTTAATTGACTTAGCTACTACATACAAACTGTCATTATCCTTTGCTCCCATCAAGTCTAATATTGGCAGCTTTAGTTTGCAAAAGTATTATATCCTGGATCTTCCAAATTCGTTAGTTTTACACCGCTTGTTAGTACTTGAAAAAGAAAAGAGTTACATGGATTGGTTAGTATCATGGGAGAAGCAAAGACGCAAGGATCAGAAACGCAAAATAGAGCAACGAAAGAGGGACGAGCGATGGAAAAAGAGAGAGCGACAACTAGCTAAACAACGCAAAAGGGAAACTCAGCAATTGGCCGAACAGCGTTTAATTCAACGACGCCTAGCAGAGCAACTGTTGGTCAAAAAACAACGAGCCAAACAGCGGTGGTTGGTTGAAGTGCAATCTGAACATGTTTCAACTGAGCCGAGGCATGAAGAAGGACAAGAGACAACTAGTCAATGTTTGGCATGGGTATCTTCAACTCTTGGAGTCGCAAGCCACATGCAGCCTCAGGGCAATACACATAATCATCATCAGAGACATGCAGAATGTTTTAATCAAAGCACCACCCAACCAGATAGCAATTCCCCATTAACTAGGCAATGGGTATTTTGTAGAACAAGGCATCAACCAAATTCCAGTGAGCCGCCACAGACCCAACGAACATCTAATCCATCCCCGCGTCTGCACGCATTTAATCCATGGGGCTCGAATAATTCTCTTCCCCCGTACTCAGTGTTTGATCAACCAACCAGCCCGTTCAATACATTACTGCCAACACTTACTCCCAACATGTTTGTTTACAATATTTTGAACGAGCAGTATGCAGACCAGAGTTGGGAAGACTTGCCGCGATATGCCGCAACACCTAGTGAAAACGAAGCAACTTTTGACAGTTTAACGGAAGCTCCACCTCCAGCTTACCATACACTTTTCCCCAAGAGATCCTTACATATTTCTTAACTTTCCTGTATAATTTAAATTGTTTTGGCTTCCCGTTCACGGCAGTTTGTTGATTGGTTAGTATACACCATTTCTAAACACTGTTTATTTATTTTTTAGGTTTTCTATTCTTTCCATTTAAGAAATCATGCATAATCTATTTAATCTGTGGGTTCGTGTAAAACTTTCCCTATTGTTGTTCCTTTTTTTACAAATTAACTCATAGTGAAGTAAATCTATGTATAGTTTCCTTCCTCAATGTACTCCTTGAAATCAGTGAAACGATTCTTTTAATTTCAGTTCAATTTGGTGATATATAAGAGTTGCACCGTTTCCTGGCTGTCATAGCAACAATTTTACTTTACAGTTGATACGACGTGGGCTAAAGGTGAGGTATAAACGATGGAGTTACTATTATTGGCAGTTGGTGCGACACTTACTATGTCCGCGTATGATGATCGCTCCTCGAGAAGAAACACTAATTTTGACTATGATTATGGTTGTGATTATGGGTCCTGCTACTCCTCAAGAAGGCTGACAGGATTGTGCCAGTCACGTTGTCGCAACTATTATAGCTGTCATAATTCTCACCAGTGCAAAGAGGGCATAAGTGGAGCTGCACTGAGTGTCCAGCATTCTTTGTCTAGAAGTGGTAGTGCTAGTTATAGCTCAACACCTGTTGCAGGTAGGACCACACAAACAGTAACGAATAAATCACAAACGAGATCCAAGCCAAAAGGTCTACCAAGACAAGTTGCAAAACCTGCACCCAAAGCTGCCTCAAAGCCTGTTCCAGAATTAGCTAATAATTTGAAAACTAGAGATTGTCCTCTGGAAGCTAGTGGCTCTACCAAGCTCAACAACTTGAAGAATAGTCCAAACTTAAGTAAGAAGCTGTTTTCATTCTCTAGTTTTTTTAAAAGAAGCCAAAAGGATAATATCATTGCTCAACCGGTGAAGCTGGATCAAGGTGCGGCAAGTTCCAAAACTAAAATCAACAAAAATGAAGCTGGTGTTGCAAAGGCAAACAACGACAACGTAAAAGAGTCAGCTTTGAAGCCACCATCGTTTGAAGAGAGTATGGGTGATGAAGTTCTTAGAGTCGAAGATGAAGATGAATGCGTTGCTTTACCAGGGTATACTTTCGAACCACCACCTTCATACGATGACTAGGAAAATTCATCTTTTGTCCTTTTTTTTTTATTTTCCAGTACATTACTTCTTACATGTACTTATATGTCTAATTACTCTAACAGTGTATTTACTGTTTACTAGAGCCATATATATTCAAAAATATGAACTTTTTTTTAAAATTAATCTTAAAAGCACCTATATGAAAACTAAATTAATGCACGAAAAGTGTGTTCCTCAATTGGAAAGTCAAAAAATAACCTAGGGTAAAAGAAGTGTGGGTAAAAATCATCAGACAGAAATATAAAAACAAAACAATACCTTCAACTAAAGGGAGGAAAGAATAGTTTAGAACTGATTAGAAAACTAAACCGGCAGCAGCAAAAGCAAAAGCAGCCAAACCAGCACCACCAACGGCAGCTGCGGCACCTTCGTATGACGTGACAGTGGCTTCTTGAGAAGCACCACCAGCAGCAACACTACTAGAATGTTCTTCAACTGGAGTGGTTTCAGCTGGGGCTTTGGTGGCTTCTCCGGTCTTGACATTTTCAACAGTAACGTGACCAGGTTCAGAAACAGTGACCTCAGTTTGTTCACAAACGGTCTCACAAACAGTCAAGGTCAAGGTGGTTGGTTCTGGGCAGTAAGTGGTAAAGACAGTTACAGTCTTGTTTAAGTAAGCAACGTCAGTTGGTTCTGGGGCAGCTTCACTTGAGCTTGGTTGTTCTTCTTTAGTAGCATCACCGAAAACAGCAGTAAGTGTCAATGGGACTGAACCTTCGGCACCAGCCTTGACAACAGCATATACTGATTCAGAGTATCTGTATGGGTCATTGATGTTCTTGGCAGCAGCGAGAGCATCGGAGCCTGGGAAAGTAACTGAACCGTCTTCAGCAATATCAACTGGCAATGGCTCTTCAGCAACAGTCAATGACAAAACATCACCGGTGAAAGCAAGGTATTGAGTAGCTGGCGGTTGTGAGTTCAATTCAATGTAGACAACTCTAGCCTCGTCGTTGTATTGCAAAGTTTGGCCAGAACCCAAGAAAAAGTAGTTGATACCAGCTCCTTCGTGAGTTGAGTATAAACCTTGGCCGTTAATTTCTTCATTGTCGGAAGAAGCAAAGAATTGGACTGGTCTAATGGCAGCTAAAGCACCTGTTGACAAGGTCAAGAGTGAAGCAGGGATAAAAAATCTCATTGTTGTAATCGTAGTAGTTCAAGCGAATGGTCCTTTTAGGAATCAAAAAAGTAAAAGTTGGATAGAGAGAAAAGGTGAAAGTAGTTTTACCAGTTGAAATGGGGGAAATATACTCTGATATTTATACCTAAAAATAGCCCCAGGAACCAGGAAATAGTTGTTGTGTCATACGTATGCAGTAATAAGAAATTCAGTAAACGAAGGAAAATTTGACAAAAAATAATACAAATTAGAACAATCACCAAAAAGCAACAAACACTCCCCCCCCCCCCCCCCACTTACCAATGTCACTGTCACGTAAGAATTAACAATAGCATCAACTAAAATAATAGTGAGTAAACCAAGAAAAATATGGAAAAAGGCTTGGTACGAAAAAAATTTACACTTGAAGATATAACCACTGAGTTGGTTTTTGTGTTAACAGTCTGCTCCCAATAAACTAACCCCATTGGGTGTGTGTGCCTCATTATGCATGGTTTCTTAAGAACAATAGGAGGTAAAAAAAACAGAAACAGAAAATAAAATAGCGATCTCATGATAAAAACAGCACCACACACCGCAGTTAGTGAGTCACAAATGGGAACAGGTACATACCGCACAAAACGTTAAATAATATTCACATTCAGTACTGTGGCTATCAATATTATTGGCCAATTACGTAATTGCTGGGTTGAAGAAATTATTATGCAATGGTAACGCATACTTTGGCCAAGACTTTATGAAAAGTTTATTAGAAAAGTAATGTAACCTAGCACGAAGAAAGGTGGGAAAGAAAAATACACTTTGGGCTGTACTGAGGTGATACAAATGCCAAGACAGCTACTGGTTGACACATCGTCAAAGGGAACTAGACGAAACTTTCAAGAACTATAACAATAAACTATACTGAACCATAGTTTTGTTTGCATAAATAACAACTAGCACCAGCAGTCATTCTTCAGCCTAGACAGTTTTTCTTGGCAGTAGCTATTGACCAGCAAATACATAGTAACTAATATATACATGTATGAGTGTATATATAACCTTTGCATTTGGTGCCAGATGAATTTCCTTTATTGTGCATATTTGTGTCACACCCCGTGACCAATAAGTATGCACTACGGTTTAACTGTAAGCCAAATTAGACACGAGAGATATTAGATTTATTTTCAATCACTACTTCTTTGCTCGAATGCTTTGACTTATTTACCTTACATCACACCACTTTGCTGTTTTCAAGCATGTTTTGCGTTCAGTATTGTAGCTCTCAATCTTTCCATGATCTCTATCTGATCGCCCCACAAAATTACGAGTGATCAATAATCATAACAATAAGCCGGTTAGAACAATAGATCAAATTGGTCCAAACAATGTCGAACGTGGATAGTACGAATTCTCATTAATAGATAACAATTGGGTTTAACATTTCCAATTGTTTATTGCTAAAGTTGGATAGTTCATTACCATTTTGAGGTGACCCTCACGACTGGTTTATGTTTTGTTGTTTACGTTGTTTCTAAATTTAGAAATCCTCAAACACAAACACAAATACAAAACAAAAACACAATTTAAATTTAATTTTAATAACAATAAAGTGAAATCTATGGTTTAACTTTTTAAAGCCACACAATTGCCAGTTACCAGTTCCCATTACCCCCTATACACAAAGATAAATCATCATACGCAATTTTCAAAATATCATGACGTACAGGAATCACTTGCAATGGACCACTTAAAGGAGAATCGTAGTGTAACAGATTGCGTTTAGTAACACACAAAAGCAAAGAAAGAACAAAACAAAACAAAACAAAAACATTGCACAACTCTTGCATATGCGCATATTTTGTTTACAAAACACCACTTACTATAAAACTACCAACCCGTTGCTATTTGTCATTCTTTGTACCCTAGTACTCCCTTTTCTTTTCTCCTGGTTATCTCCGGACTTGGGGGGGAGTTGTTACCATTTTCGTTAGCTGGTTTGTTCATTTTAAGAGACTCTTGGCCTGGGAATAAGAGTCTTTCTCATTCCCATAGACTAAGAGAAAATCCTTACTTACTTATACCTAGGCTGCTCGCGGTATTCCTTAAATTGCTTAATGAGCATCAGCACCTTGACCTATTCCCTATGTTTGCTACCATTGTCTTAAATTTCTCGGAGCCAGTCATGAGCCTAAAACATTGTAGAGTGTTTTAAGACTCTAATTACTAGCAGAATTGTTGTGTGAATGAAGATCGATTTCAAACTTTAACAAGGATTTGGTGTAGGTAGCTCAGTTACCTGGGCACAATTTTTGATTCCTTGGCTGGGGAGAAGAAGAAAAATACGCGCCATGCGCCTGAACATGCTTTGGGTATGGGTCGCCAATACCGCCTTAAAGAATGTTTTCAATGTCAATTGCCAGAAACACAAGACGCGAGCATCACTATTACTAGTACCATTTGTGAACCACAAAAAATATTTTTAATTATTCAAAGCAAACAAAGATCTACTGACTTAAACTTATAGACAAGGTTTTAATTGCCAAAGTTCTTGATTTGGTTTCTAGGTACAACAACCGTGTTGTTCAGTCTTCGTCCAGCCAAAATAGAACAAAACTCCGCACCCCATTTTTCAGAAGTCTACGGATTATAATATTATATTGCTGGGCAGTTGCTAAAAAAGTAAACATTTCTTTCTCTGTTTGGAAAGGTAAACAACGCGTTTGCAAATATAATATCCTATTTTTAACAGCAATGTTCCTAATTGGGGTGGATAGAATCAACTTGAGGTGGAAGAGGATGGATAAGGTTCTCAAACCGTGCCGCGATTATTACAATATGAAAGTAAAATATCGCCTCAAGAATGGCGTAAACATCGGACTGTTCTCTTCTCTGGACAACGGTATAAACAAAGATAATGAGGAAAGTTAGCTTTAAATCCTTCAATCTAAATTCATCTAAATACATCCTAAAGGCATCTAAAACAATCTTGTCCTTTCAATTTCATAAGTAGCCACCACTGGTCTATGGTCAGAAAAGTGGAAACCCTTCAAATAATTACTCAATATACCAAATTGCTTCAACACAATTGAGTAGTATTCATGATGATCCAAATTGTAGAAATTGTTCATCTTCATCACCTCCTTAGCGGCTTCATCGTCATAAGTGCCATCCTTTATTACATGCGGCTTGGTGAAATATGGAGACCAAATATAATCAATAATCGAATATGGTTCATTGCTTACATCAAACCCAGTAAATGTAGTTTCATGCCCATATGCAAATTTCTTATCAATCAAGATTCTACTATCTTTGAAACCGGCTGCAGTCAAGATTCCGTACGGTTCATCTCTTGGTTCGGTATTGAAATCACCGCAAAGGAACGAAGGATAACTGTTGTAATTCTTCATCTTATCAACAATCAATTGCGACGACCGGCGTCTGGCAATGTGACCTCGATGATCATAATGTGTGTTAAACACGTTGAACTTGACTAATGGGTTGAGCTTGCTTTGAAATGTCACCATAGTCACGATCCTTTCCAACGCGGCGTCCCATCCTTTACTTGGCTTTTCAGGCGTAGGACTCAACCAAAATGTGGTGTTCTCCAAGACTAGAAAGTCCTTATGCTTGAACAAGATAGGTGCAAACTCCCCAGCTTCTCGTCCGTCAGTACGGCCAACTCCATAATAAGTCCATTCATCATCGTCATTGGCATTCAATCCTTTCAAAATATCATGCAATTGATTAACAAGCACCTCTTGTAAACAAATGACATTGGCATGGCCTATAGCTGTATTAAATTCCATTGAGTTGATACTTTGTACACGACGCTTAGTCCACAACTTCTCATGAGGGTCACGATACTTGATATTGTCGTAACGGATATTGTTTGTGTATAATCTTAAAGTCAACGTCGGTCCAAGTAATGAAGTTGAGGCAATCTTGGTTTCAAACTGGTAGAATCTGTAAAGGATCAAACAGATGAAAATTGAAGGTATAGCGAAGTAGGTAAACTTCTTCACCAGTCTCGAGCTAAAAACGCGATTGGACTTGGTCATACCGCCAACATGGACGCTATCTTGATACCCATTCAAAGGAGTGGTTTCCTCAGCCATATTCGATACGTATACTTCAATTTCTTTTAAAAGCAATGTTCAGTCTAAGAAACAACTCTAAGGCATTAGATTTGCTCTGCAATTTCGACTCTCGCAATTATGCAGTGGAACAATGTAATGGAGAAAAGGTCACCACGTTGACAAAGCCGCGACAAAGAAAAATAAAAAGAAGCAAATCTCGGGGTAATTCAAACAACTGGTTCCAGCACGACCTTTGGGCTGAGCCCCAATCGCAAATAATTGGGCTGAAAGAGGGGGAAGTTAGCTCTTACAAAGGGTAGTCGTTGCTGGGTCTGTCAATCTCAACATTGATTGTCCTCGTTCGTAATTACTGATATCATTTTATTATTGAACATATTTTGCAGCAATCTGGTGCAAAAAATAAATAGAAAACAACAAATTTATTTCGAAAATTGACTACTTTATATACACTATCTAGTAGCATTATCGTTGTCTCAAAGTTTGGTCGTCATCTTCTGCATCCTCCACTTTCTCAATAGCTCTGTTGATCACAACAATATCATCTCCGTCATCTGATCTGTGCCTATTCTCATTGACCTCCAACTCTGCACTTCGATTACTAAATACAACAAACGTCAAAACACTCGCGATTCCGCCAACCACCAGCACAACGAAAAGGACAATAAAGCAATAGATCACAGTTCTAATAGGATGCGATATGATTGTTGTAACAGGATCAAGCAAAAGCTCAAAAATGAAATCTGAAAAGTCCAAGTATTCCTTCCTCGTCAACAATTTAATGAAGATAACAAATTGACGCAAATTGGATACATCGGCATCATTCAAAATATCGTCAAAATTCGGAGGAGGTGAAACAGGCTCGTTAGGCGCTTTCTGAGGATTCTTTTTCTTGTATTCATATTCCAATTTCTGCTTTACCAGAAATGTTTCATTGCCAATTAATTCAGCTTCGGCAATGGAGTTTCCAAGATAAATATTGTCGAATAGTACTCCGCCATCCATGTTCCATAATTCAAACCCAAGACCACCAACAGGTTTATCCAACTGACCGGGGTTTTCCATTTCATAGTAATCAGGATTGAAAATTCTTCTTGGTTTCCAGGTACCCTGGTAATTGGGGTTGACGATATCCGGAGGGAACCATGGACCTAGATAGTCATCGTTGGCAATCATTGGCGGTGTCCATTTACCACATCCTGTTTCACATTTAGGGTTTACAATCAATGGCGGTTGCCAGTCATTGGGTGCATCTAATGGTCTTATTGCATCTGGGTCGGGTATGTAACGAGGCGCTAATTCATCCCAGTCGTCTGGTTTGACGGCATTAGGGTCTGGAATAATGTGGTGGGCGTGCAATTTTTCGTAATCCTTAGGGGGCTCGACATTTGGGTCAGGTATGTGTTCGCGGTCATCCCAGTCGGCTGGTTTTGTATCATCAGGATCATCAATCATCTTTGGTGGATTCATTGTAGGGGAAAACAAGTTCTCGTCAGTTATTAAATTGCCCAGCTCAACCACCTTCCCATTGATTCTAATCTCAAAGTCGTTATTCTTCCTGATGATCAATGTGTACAAGTTGGTCAAGTCATTAATTCGAGCCAATGGTGGGAATCGTAACTGTTTCTCCTCAATCGTGCCATTAGGCAAAGATTTCCGTAAGATGAAGTAGATTTTATTTTCACTCCCACATTTGTCGGGACCAAACATAATTTGATATGGAGTTTCTGAGTTGAAAAAATGATAGTTAGTCGATTTATCGAGGAGTTTTATATAGGCACCACCACATTCCAACCCTTTTTGTAGTTTCACCTCGTATTGAACTACTAAATCTTTGTCTATATTTTCAATTGTATGCGGTAGTTTATATGCTATTGAGTAATGTGAAGCTCTTGACTTCATGACTAATCCAAAATCATCTTCAAAGGCAGGGTAAATGAATGGTGGTTCAATTGCCCACTCACCTGCATACTTGACAATCTCGTCTCTGCCTTCATCATATTTCTTTGCCCGTGTCACTTTCCATGGCGAATTTGAAAGTGAGGGATAGTCAAACTGCTCAAGAATTGAGTCTGCACTTAATCGCGACTTATCAAAATGGTAAAACTCTAGTGCGTGAACTATCGATGATGAAAGTCCGAGCAAAGCAATAAGGTATTTCATCTGCTTTGATGTTGCCCCAACAGTATTGTCTAAGTTAAATCCCCCTCTCTTGATGGAAAAAAAACAACAATTATTTGTCGTGTCGCAGTATTAATCATCGTGTCGCAATGATCAATTATCTAAATGTCTCATATTTTTTTTTTCTTTTTATCCGCCGTTATTGTTTTATAATAAGAGTAAGCGGATTTATTTAATAATAGAATCAGCAAAAGTAGAACTCATTCCTGCTTTCAACATCAGCCCAGAAGTCATCACAAAATAATGGGGAAAATAACCAGAGTGCGGACAGGCTGTTGGACCTGCAAGAAACGGTATGTCAACCAACCTAACCAGTGTTGTGCAATATTCGCGTACTAACCCCAGATTTTGAAAAGGCACAGGAAATGCGATGAGGCGAAGCCGTTCTGTAACAACTGCAAAAATACCGGACGAAAATGCGAAGGGTATGAGTTACGACTTTCATTTGACTTTTTCCAGCAGGGTGGTGGGAAGAAGAAAAAGGCGCTGCATAAGACGTCTCCAGCGGTTGCCGAGGCGGAGGTAAAGGAACGGTGGTCGAAAGAAACTATGGTCAAACAAGTGGGTGAGGGACCATTGATGCAACCTACTAATGACCCACATTATTCGACGCTGGCCCAAAACCAGAATCAACCTCCAAACGATCTGCATTATCCTTTGCGGGTCCCAAATAAACCTCTACAGCCCACACAAGCGGACAGCCTGCCGACACCTGTACTTGGAACTGCTTCATCAAGTACAAACTTGAACCAATTCAGCAGCACCCTATTTGAAGATCTTCAATCACTTTTGTCGTCAACAATGTATGACCCATTGAGGGAAAGCGACGTCTCACCCGACAGTCAAATCTCACCTTCTTTTTACGATTTTGCCAATTTCGATCTTCAAATTATTGATTTCATGGACAAGTCTCAGATTTTCGATGCTAATCACAGACTATTACTTGATAATTTTGACTCCAAAAGTTCCTCTGGCACCATACCAACGGCGCCGCCTGATACGCCATCCTTATTTGCCATGAGCCATCAAGAAGAAAACATGATGTTGAAACATTTTTTTAAAAAGTTGTTGCCATTGTTGGATGGGCATCCGAAGTCGCCTTGGCCCGATTTAGCATTGCAATATTGTGATTTTGATATAGCCAGGAGCTGTTTCATATCATTGGCTTGTATCCACATGTACGAGAGTCGAGCTGGTGGGAGTGAGCTATACCAAAAGGGTCTTGCTCACATCAACAACACCATGGACCATTTAATACATTACATTCGTGAGAATTCAAACAAGATGAACAATCACCATGATGCCAATGACGCTGCGATTGACACAAACAAGAAGTATATCAGCTATTTTGTCATATTAGTTCTAATGAATGTGCACGTGCTATTTGCTGTTCTCGAAAAGGGCAAGAGCTCCATTGTTCGAGAGTTTTTTAGAATATTCGCTGTCATATGCAAAGATTCTATATTCTACAACCAAGTGTTAAAGACGAGTCACAAAAAGAGGTCTTTGGCAGTTGTACTTAGCTGGTACGATACAGTGGGTGCGATTGTCACTCCAGACTGCCGTGAGCCATTTTGTTCACCGCAATGGTATGGTAGATCTAACGACGATATTTCCACCTCGAAGATGATGGGATGTCCTGGTGAAATCTTTGTCGCAATGGCTGAAGTATGTCACTTGAGACATAAAAAATACAATGGTTCTCTAACATCCGAGGATAAGGATGTCGCATATCTGCGAATACGATATTCGCTAGTAAGTTACCGTGACTACGTTTTAACCCACGAGGAGGATAGCAATGAATCCTACCCCAACCGACTAAATTGTGCATTGTGCTGGTCATTAGCCGTTTGGATTACTTTGAATCGAGTAGTTGAACCCGAGGACTACCTCGCAACGAACCAAAAATTAGCCAGCGAATTCATTCATACTTATGACAATATGGACCCCAAGTCGTCGTTGGTCACACAAATGGTGTGGCCTGTTTATGCTATCGGATGTGAATGCAAGAGTGATTGGGAAAGATCTAATGTGATTCGGTTTATGGAAAATCTTTATGAGAATACAAAAATGGGAACAACTGCGTCGTTGAAAGAAATTGTCCAACAAGTGTGGGAAAGGAACATTACACAGGAGCAGTATTTAACTGAGTGGTTAGGGAAGAATGTTGATTATTTACCAGTGTAGTTATAATGTTTATAGAAATCTTTAATATTATGCGAGAAAGACACAAAGAAAAAGAAAAAGAAAAAGTACTGTATATAAACCTAAGCTCAACGTGGTAGCACCCGTGGTTTCAGCAAACGTGAAGACTTTTTTTCAGAGAAGAAAATTTTTTTTTGTTTGGTTGGCTTTTCTCTTCCATCACATCAAATTTACACAGGCAAAAAAAAAAAAAAATTCTTCACCACTAGTATAATTCCTTTTCTACTTTAGAGTCAATTCACTTCCATAACATTACTACATATCATTACATCATGTCATACACTGATTTCAAAACTCTTGAAACCATCAAATCATTGAATGATTTCTTAAAGGACAAGTCATACTTTGACGACGGGTATGTACCAATTTCTCATTGAGAATAATTATTTATTCTCCCCCCTTTATGCCTTTTGGCGGCTTACACCCACCGTGCCTTCAATTAGGTTATCCAATCAATCAATTGGACTTTACAGCCAACATTTGAAGCTTGTTTCTAATTACTATGATGATCATAATCTTTGGTCCGTGTTTATGAGGTGGCCTCAAGACCCACCGCATGAGTGACAAAGAAGATTTAAATCTTTTATCTGACAGTTACTTTACAAAGTTCAACAAGGGCAAAATTTTTGCCATTGAATAAAGGTTGCGGGTGAGAGGGAGAGAATAAAAACTCATTACATATATACTAACCACTTTGTTTTAGTGCTGAAGCCACCCAAGCTGATGTCTCTGTCTACAAGGCTTTCCAACAAGAATACCCACACTTTGCCAGATGGTTCAACCACATTGCTTCATTCACTGAAGAGTTTGACTCATTGCCAGCTGGTAAGGCCCCAGCTGCTTCTGCTGCTGCTGCCGAAGATGACGATGACGTTGACTTGTTTGGATCTGACGATGAAGAAGTCGATGAAGAAGCTGAAAAATTGAAGCAACAAAGATTGGCTGAATACGCTGCCAAGAAGGCTGCTAAAGGTCCAAAACCAGCTGCTAAATCTATTGTCACCTTGGATGTTAAGCCATGGGATGATGAAACCGACTTGGACGAATTGTTGGCCAACTTGAAGAAGATCCAAATGGAAGGTTTGACTTGGGGTGCTCACCAATGGATTCCAGTCGGTTTCGGTATCAAGAAGTTGCAAATCAACTTGGTTATTGAAGATGCTTTGGTTTCATTGGACGACTTGCAAGCCAGTGTTGAAGAAGATGAAGACCACGTTCAATCTACCGATGTTGCTGCTATGCAAAAATTGTAAGTATTTCGTATAGAATGTATTAAGGAGTACTAGTCGTGGTAATAATTGCTAATGATTGAAAACGTTTAAAATTTTTTATTTATGTTAATCTAAATTCTATCTATATAGTTCTAATTGTCGGCGAATTTCCAGTACGAGCTTTCAAAGTTGGCATAGCACCTGAATTCGTTGCTCAACCCATTCTTGTGTTCTGGATAAAAGTTGGTCACCCGAGTATCAGCAAAGTTCTTGGTAACGACTTCATACACTCTTTCACCAGTTGAAGAGATCAATTTGTACTTTTTATCTCCCGACTTTGTTCTTTCCAATCGTTCGTCTTCCTTCACTAACAAGTTCTTTGCTGCCTGAGCGCTTTTTGTCTGGCATTCTTCCTCCAAAAATGGTGGGTCTATAAGGAGACGATGGCATTTATTTCTCAAATGTTTAGGGATATCATCGGGCTTGTGATAGTCATATGTGCTAAAATGTTCACTACCGGCCAAAACTTTGAACCTTGGGTCATATTCTAATAGGTAAATATGCTTGGTGGGTATCTCATCCTGAGGGAATTGTTTAATGGCTGCATACACTGACGGAGCAGAAGCAACAACAATCACAGTATTCTCATCGGCTCCCTCCAACAAAGCCTTCCCCAATATCCGAGCAGTTTCATCGGTGTACCAAAACTGCGACAATTGCCAGTCTTCTTTGAAATCATCGATTTTTATGTCATCCAAGTTTGCTTGCTGTTGCTCATCGAATTTGTCCTCCGATGCTTTGTACAAAGACTCAAATTTTTCAACTCGCTGTTTCTCCTCTGCTGCAAACTCTTGCAATGCGGCTAAGGCATGTGCAGATAAAGAAAGTGGCTCGTCATCAAACTCAGTCATAGTCTGTTCAACAATGTATATAGTTGCAAAAAAAGCTTCTATGAATGCAACCGAATGCAAACCAACAAAAAATAAACAGACAAAAAAAAAATAAAAAACCTTAAAAGTAAATGACAGTGATTACGTAATCGAAAACTATAAACAGAGAGGAATATAATCAGACACAGTTTTCATCACCTACAATTTGGCCATTAGCAATTCTTGACAAAGCTTTATCCATGATGCTGTTTCCGTTTATCCCTTATGAAGTGGTTGCGTTTACAGCAGAGAAGTTAGCATTTTCAGGGTTTCGAGGTTTACTATTATCGGAACTATGGGCCGTGATTCAACGGGAATTCAAGCAAGAACACGAGCTAAACAATTTCCAAAAGGATATAATCTGGAAGTGGTTATTTTTTGAGTGCAGAGATGAGCAAAACCACGAAGATGTCAAGTTCTATGTCACGTACGATAAAGATCCAATTACCATTGAGTCAAACTATCAATCATTCCTTGCCAAACAAGACAATCCACAGGAATTGAGAGTCCTCCCGACGGAAGAGACTCAGTGTTATTATCTAACAGGTATTTCGAATAATAAGAAGTTTATTCTTACACTTGGTGCGTTTCCCTATCAGTTGTTGCAAGAGATTGCTAGACATGGGGAAAAAGGTACTTGGGCCAGTGATTTACCGCTGGCTACGGGACAAGACAAGCGCTCGATGACTGGACGGTTGAATAAGTTGGAAGAAGCAGGATTAATAGTAAAGGAACACAGATTTTACGAAGAGAAGAGGATACATAGTACTTGGGCTGCGCATTACAAGTTTAGCAATGCCTCAAAGGCTCGCAAAGGCGATGATGATGATAACGGACTTGACCATACGCCGGTGAAGATGCGAAAGTTTATCATGAATGCATTGAAGGAAGCCCATAATAATATACGAACATTTAGGGATTTGAAAGTGGAGCTCAAAATGAATCGAAATTCGCAAGCTGCAAGGCTATTTGGATCAGTGATTGAAAATCTATGTGATAACGGGTATATTGAAAGAATTGATGTCCAAGACCAGGCTCATCCAGCGAGGAAATTATACGCATTGAGGTTTCTTAAAGACTTGCCAAGTCTGAGCACGGAAGGCGGGTATGACGGCTGGGATTTAGGGTTGAAGATGGAGGCAGAGCCCAACAGCAAATTTAATGATGACGATGAAGGCAACGAGTACGTTATAGCAACATTCAATGACATTTACCCACTTACTGCGCAGGTATATCAAACAATTAAAAGTTCTGGAAGTGAAGGCATCATTGCTAAGCAGATTGTAACATCTATTCTGGGGGATGTAAAGCATCGACAAATTACAAGACTTCTAGAAAACAACACCGACTATCTATTCAAAGACGGAGGACTAGAGCCACTTTTAAATTACATCCCTGAGCACGCTAATACGGCGATTGTAAAACAAAGTGAGTCTGATGGAAGACTAAAATATTACAGATACTACACAATAGACAATTTCAAAGCCAAGTTAACAAAGGCACACAAGAAGAAACGGCCAGGACGAAAAACGCTTAACAAATCGCTTGTTGACTTGGAAAAACAATTTTATGTAAAGATGGAAAAGACACCAGCTGGACCATTGCTTGCTATTCCAGATTTCATCAAGCCGGCGGGGGATTCACTGAAGGAGCATGAATCAAAGAACCTGGGGCTAACGGAGAATACAACTGTGGTTAAGAAAGATGGTGAACGGTCTAAGAGGCGGAATGATAAAGCTGCTGCTAACTCGAATGAAACCTGCCACAAGAAGCGAAGATTACGTCAAAGGGAAACAAGTAAGCTGGAGAGAGGTGCTTCGATAGAATTGTGTGATCAAAATGACGATGCTATGGATGTCGATGATGATGAAGATGATTACAAACCGGAAGAGGAAACTAACTCCAAACTGGATAGGAAGGAGTCCTCTGTGGTTAAAATTGAACCCGGCACAGAACAGGATACCAAACCGACCGCAATAGACTCCTCTGATTTGGTATTAAGACACAATGAAAGCCAAGCTCCCACCACCGATCTCTCCAACCGCGTATTTACCCCTCAAATTAAGCAGAAACAGAGAAACACTAGACTCAGGAAGGAAGAAGAGAAATCAAAGATAGATGACGCCGACGTAAAGGGGGCACTTCGACGCGAGCAATTTGTTCAATTGATTACCGAATTGGGAGGAGCAACCTTTACTAGTGCAAAACTCGGTAGGATGCTTGATCAGAGAATACAAGTGGAGAAGCCAACCGATATTAAAACAATTGCTCGTGATATAAACAAACTTGTACATAGTGGTATAATAGAGGTGCAAGTGGTACCAGTGCACCAAAGTGGAAGGGAGATCAATCGAAGATTGATTATTTTGAATGACCCCAAGCATCGCCCAACTGATGAATTCATTGAACAAATCAAGTCCAAGAGCAAAGAGCCGATAAAGAATACCGCAGAGAGAGGCGAGCAGATGCCCCGCAGGCTCGTGGAGACAGAATATACACTCATAAATACCAGGGAAGCTTTAAAGAGAAGGACTACAAGGCTAAGCTCCTTGAAGAGCAAGGATACTTCACAAAGGAGCCGTGAACGAGCCCGGGTTAAAGTCAAGCTGGAGTTTGACAGTGTTTTGGACTTTAGTATTGATCAAAACTCGCCTAAAGATTTTGCAGGGACATTTGAGGGCCAATTGGGTACATTTGAATTAGGTCTGACAGGTGTTGCAAAGAGAGGTGAAGCCAAAAAGAGTAGTCGTACTAAAGGCAAGAGAAAAGTCAAAGCCGAACACAAGCGCAAGCAGCACAAAATCAAAACTGAATTCGACATCAGCGATACGACCGCACTTTTCAGAGCTATCAGTATATGTAAGGCTTTCAACAAGTCATTCATCAATTATGACTTGGTTGCGTCTTTTTTCAAAGACTGTGATGCAAAGTCGTTGAAAAGAACGTGGGTACATGTTAGAAAACAAGTTGGTGGGCTTGATGCCGTCAACAAAGGGGTGGAAGAGTTTGAGCGAATCGTAATGAAAGGTATCGAGGAACTTTATATTACAGTTCAAGATTTAGAGACAATTGACCTTCCGTTTTACCTTGATTTATGGGCCACTTTTGATACGTCCAAAATTGAGATCCTTGACAAGTTCCCACTATATTCTACTTTGGAAGAGAATATGGCTAATTATAGCAAAAAGCACACGGTTGAAATTCAAAGCGATTTATTTGACCAAATTGATTCAGACTCAATGAAGCAAAAGGAGGAAGCTCTTGCAAATGCGCCCTTTTTCTACTCTATACCACAGCAGTTGACATTGGATCCATTAGAACCGATCAAAACTACAATAAAAGCGGTGTACAGGCACCCCAATAGGAAACAAGCTAAACAAGTCAAAGAAGTTTTATCACAATTTGACCCCGCAGATGTCGAAGCAGCTTTCAAAGATTTGGAAAACGAGAAGGAAATTGTTCGTGTTGATGATGATACAAATCAATATAAATTGACCGAAAAGGTATATTCTGGTCTTACATCTAAACTTGGGGTTACTTTTTTCAAACATGCCGATTTGTTTAGGGAAAATATAATTGAGGTGATGGAATCGCAACGAGGTTTACTTTTGTCTCAGGGTATTGAAGATGGTAGTGTTGCCGAGATATTGAACTTGGTATCTACAAACGGAGTTTCGTTGAGTCATATCGACAGCGATTACACCTTTGAAGGGTACGAATCTAGATCTATGGATAAGGATGCCTTGAATTGCGACTTGATTGTGTTTAAAGGCGCCACCAATGACCCCATAAATCAAAGTGTCTCAAAGGTGCGAGTGCCAGTGGGCAAGCCCTGTTCTTACGTTTGGGTCGATATTGATGGTCAAATTGATGGCAAATTGTGGACTCATATAATTGTTTCCTTGTTGTACATTATCCATTATAGACCTGGTATTCCAGCTACTTGGTTGTATGATAAGGTGCATAATTTGTTGAGTGTTGACGAATTTGAAGTTGTTACAAAGTGGCTTGCTGATTCCAGATGCATTGAAGTGGGTGAATATTCTGGAATTCTCTCTACTCCCAATTGGCTGTCCCTATTCGGTTACGATTAATGTATAGGTTTGCTTACTAGCCGCAAACTAATACAATATCAATACTGCGGTTCACAATCTTCTACAAGGCAATCACAAACCGGACTGTCAACCAATCTGTCATTGACTTGGTCAAACATTATTTGGGAACAGCTCGATTTACAGGAGCTATTTCAAGAAAATTTCCGGAAAGGCAATTCAAGGCTTAAATTTCAAAGAGAACGCAAATGCTCTCAAATTTGAGGAGTTGGAAGGAAAATTGACCTCCATTTCAAGCTACTTCAAGGACAGAAGGGGCATTCAGTTGAAGTATCCAACTTTGCCATTGCTTGAGATTGTCTCTTTTTGCGTATTTTCCTATAGAAGTTGTCTTGATTGTGCCTCATCAACAGTTCAAAGGAGATATTTGGGATACAGGAACTATAATTAGATTAACCGCTATGTGACCAATGAATAAAGCTAAACTCACCACGTAGCAGAAAACATCAACCTTTGGCGAACCAAACTTTGGTTAAGTTGGTTCGCAATTTGCAAAAGTACCATCGAGAGTTTTGTCGGCACCTGTAATCGAGTACAAGAACAAAAAAATCGTCTTCAAAAAGGAAACACTTAAAGGAAAAGGTAAAAAAGCCAAGGGCAACTGGATCCTTGAAAGAGCACAGCTTGTTGAATCACACAAGAGTAAGAACATTTACACATTTGGTGTGTGTATTTTGAAGAATCAGCGTTTGGAAAGAAAAAAGGATGACTTGACAGAAGCACGCTCACTTCCTTTTGAAGATTTGGATAATTTCAACAAGCTTTGCACTGTACTGATATTCCTGTACATTGTTATGTTTTGCATGACGAAAATGAGTACACCTCAGACGACATACAAAAGATTACTTATAATCTCTGTCACACTTTCAGTAGAGCTACCAAGAGTGTCAAGAGTGTACCTGCAGTGTATTACATCGATTTCTTGTGTAAGCATGGAAGGTATTATGTTGACTCAGCTGTGAAAGAAGGAGCTTCTCAAGAATTCCATGTTTTATATTTAGTTCATCTGTTCCAGATTTGATATTAATTCAGTTTAGTAGTGCTTATTATATTATTTATGGTGTGATTTATCTACTACACAATATGGTGTAAAGAGAATTGTTTGAATAAAATAACCATGCAATATTTCTGTCACTTTAATAGTACTCCCCCCGTCCAGTGTAATTCAGGTCTTGCTTTTCTTGCGTTTGTCTTGGTGAATAAGCACCAACTTGGGACACGGGTATCTTGCACCCAATTGGCCATTTAGAGTCACTGTTTACCGCCGACCAATGTACTAGTTCCTGAAAGTACAAGGTGTTGTTTTCCAGAGATATTTTGAGATTCAACTTTATCAACTGATCGAATAGATACGACAAATCGTTTAAAATTATCCCCGATTTCCCACTAAATGCCGACTTGTTTATGTCCAAGGTGGAAACTGAATTTAGGTTCAGGAGTATGTTTTCTTGTTTTCGTTGCGATAATTTATCTCTAAATTGTTTCAATGTGACTTTTCTACTTATAAATGATGACGTGGGTAGATCCTTTTTGCTCTGAAGCGACAACAAACTAAACTGGATCAATCCAAGTGCATTGCCAAACTTATTATCTCGGTAACTCTGTACAGCTAGGTAGAATCCAGCATAAGCACTAACATACTTTGTGATAATCTGCAAGTACGTGTCCCATTCAGAATAATCTAAATTTATTACTCCAGGGCCTGTTTTCACGCTCTTTTCCACAGAAAGATTGAGATCATCGAGTAGGCGTTGAATAACATCTAGCTCATTCATACAATAAATCGCAACCTTGGCCAAGGTCATACTGTTGCCTGCACTGACAATTTCCTCTTGGTCAAACGTATATCGGCTGATCCATAAAAATTTGGATAGTATCGACATTTGTATTGATAAATCCGTAACCTTCATAATGGATGAAAAAATGGTTGCATTGACATGTAACACACCTTCGTTTAGTTGTGGTTTATCTCCCCCTATCTGTTCAGCAAATAACATCATTGAGATTGACTTTTTATATAAACTCATGACTTGTTTCCAGTTTTCGTTATAATCCTCTGGCTTTGCAGGGGGCTCTAGGTCCAAATTTATTGTCTCATTTGCTAAATCAGATGCTACTCTGTTATATATTAAAGCTATCGATATCAATGTCATGGAGAGCTCATTAGATAAGGTCCATTTGTTGACAACGGGCTTGTTTGATTTCACCTTGAAGAGCTTCATCTTGATTTCACCCTTTGACACGCTTGACCAGGGAATATTGGTGCTTATAAATGCATTTGAAGCATCTACCGATTCAGCTAGCTCAATGACTGCATCAAGATACTGCTCAAGGTTTATCACATACCGAATTGATTCATTATAATTGGACAAACTTGGCACTTGTAGGGAGGATCGCAACGTTAAAACATTTTGGGGTAATGCCAGGCTTGGGTCGTTTAATTGAACTGGCATGGGAGGTGTATTTGGGAGAACAATCATACTTCTGGAATCTATCTGTGGGTAGGGCGCGGACTGCCTCTGGTATAAGTGTAGAGCGTGTTTGATTTTTGGCGTGTGGTCTATTTATAGAGCCGGCCAGCTTTTGCGTTTTTTTTTTCCCGAGGCGCCTCAAAAACACCCATCACCCATATTGATCGCACCAACAAGGTTACCACTTGGACCCACATACAAGGAATACTGTGATTGCTACCGTTATGCTGCAAATCGTTGACGACGAAAACTATGGTATAGTTATTGATTCGGGATCTTCAGGGTCTAGGATACAGATTTACAAGTGGACGAATCCCAAGTCGCAGTCAAAGTCCACTGATCCAGAGATACTTCTGTCTCCACCCAAGATTTCACTACATAAAGACTGGACAAAGAAGATAACACCAGGTATTTCCACGTTCAGGTCAAAGGACCAAATTAAGCAGATATGGCCCAATCATTATTCGGAGTTGATGAAATTTGCTGAGGGCATTATACCTACTGAAAACCATTCTCAAACGCCCGTGTTTGTCTTAAGCACAGCCGGGATGAGGTTAATACCGAAAAAGACTAGGAAGAGTATCTTAGCCGAAACATGTTCATCTATCAGGAAATATACAAATTTTTATTTGCCCAATTGTGAGAATTTTGTGCAGACAATCGATGGTTCGACGGAAGGTATATATGGCTGGTTGGGCTTGAACTATTTGATGGGTCAGTTTAACAACTACGATGCCAAATCAGACAATCATGAATCGATCGGATTTATGGATATGGGAGGCGCGTCGACACAAATTGCTTTTGTTCCGTCTTCGAAGGGCCAAATTGAAAAGCACAACAATGATCTTTCAAAAGTGACGCTACGAAATATAAATGGTGAAACGCAAAAATGGAATGTCTTTGTTGAGACATGGCTTGGATTTGGTGCTAATGAAGCACGACGGAGATTTATTGAGCTGTTGATTAATTTGTCCTTGGTCAATGACAACGCAGGCAATAGCATCAGTGACCCTTGTCTACCACGAACTGCCCATACATCTTACAATCTAGAAGGAAAATCTTACGAGATAATTGGAGCAGGTAATTACGAAATGTGTATCAAATCTATTTATCCGTTATTGATGAAGTCCATACCGTGTGTGGATGAACCTTGCTTGTTTAATGGAATTCATGGGCCCAAAATGGATTTTGAGAAGGACAAGTTTGTTGGGATATCTGAGTACTGGTACACCGCCAATGACATTTTTCATAGTGGAGGTGAATACGATTACAAAGCTTTCAATGTTAAAGTGAAAGAGTACTGTGAGAGCCATTGGAGTACTATCTTGCTGAATTGGGAAAAGGGTGACTACTCAAAACTTGATCCCAATAAGTTTTTGAAAGATGCATGCTTTAAAGCGAGCTGGGTGATGAATGTTCTCCACGAAGGATTTGGGCTTCCCAGAATTGGATTTGAGTTGGATTCCGACAAGGAAAAGGACAAACAGCCAGATGATGTCACAGATAAACATGTGCCGTTCAAAACAGCTGACTCAGTCGGTGGAGAAGAATTATCCTGGACATTAGGGAAAATGTTATTATTTGCGTCATCTCAAATTGATCCTGCAAAGTCTAAAGAAAAGTTAGAGATCGGAATATACCCTAGCGAGATCTCCGAAAAACACTTTATCCCAGGTGGAGCGGTAGGTGAGGTACACCTTTTAGATTATGATAGTGATGACGAAAGAGATTCGCCATTGGGTTTGGCATTCTATTCACTTATAGTCTTTTGCTTTTTCGGCTATTTATTATATACCTTTGGCTTTGGTCAACTGGGAAGCTGGAAAGGAAAGCTTAGGAGATTACGAGTCCCCGCTGTGGTTAGACAAAGAATTGCCTACGTGGGTTCTAAGGTTCCAGGGTTTGAGAAGTTGCTTGGGACAATTTCGCTGTACGATCGTATAGATCAGGACATTAATTTAGAAGAAGGAGCTGGGATGGGCCCTAACAGCAGTTCGTCACCCTCGTTGCAAGCAGCGGACACTACTTTAGGTGCATCGGTGTTGCGTACTAGACTGGCAATCGGGTTGGATACTGACTTTGACCAATCGCCAATTCCACGTTTCAACTCGTCTAGCCCAGTTACAAACACCAGTAACTACAATTCCAAAATTAATGACTTTTTGAACAGACCGTTTGTTGTTCCTAAGAAGAGCTCGTTCTATCAAGCTTCAGAGAGAAATAGTAGAGAGTCGCTATCGAGGAGCTTGAGTAATTTATCATCACACAGATCAAAGCCATCCATAGACTAGTTAGAATAAAATACAACACTCACATTGTGATAGATTGAATAATGGTGTAGGACTTGCTTTATTTTTTTCCGTTGTTTTACGATATGTTTTTCGGGCTAATTTAAATTCTGTTTTAGAGAATATGTGCTAGACAAGACTGTTTCTTCTGTTGAATTAACCAGATCTGATAGGTTTTGCTAATTTTCAAAGAATGCAGTCCATCACTGTCTTCTGCTTAGCGTGCTTTCTAACTGGAGCTGCTCATTCCGCAATAGTACCATTCAAGGACTCGGTGGAAATCGTATTCACACCAGAGGATATCAAAAAAGGTACAGACTATGTCTTGTGGAAGGTCCCTACCGTCAAGAACAATTTCAAAACAACAGTCAAGCAGAAGTTACTAAACAGGTTGTTATCTAAAGACCTTCAAGAGTTGAGGTTAAATTCTCGGTATCAAGAGAGCAAAGGATTGTCGCAAAATAATCAAGTGCAGGCTGAAGATACTACATCTGGTTTAGTGGTGCTGGAAAACACCCCTTTGCAGAATATTCAACTTGAAGTGCAAAGACCAAAGGGTGTTGTAAACTCTGTTTTGAAAGGACCGTCCAAGACTGAAAAACCACAGGGGAAAGTGAGATACTTTGATGAGAAGAAAGAGATAACCCAACAGGCGGTGGGCCTAAATGACTTGCAGACAAAAGAGAAGGTTATAGAAAAGGCACAGAAAGACCTTGGTGAGCATGTAGGATACCTGAAGCCGTCCAAAATCAAAAACCAGAAACATAATTTTGACATAGGAGTCAAGATACCCACAGATGAAGGTAAAAGCGAGGATAGCGACAGCGAAAGTGAATCGAAAAAAAACTGAAGGGTCGTTTGGTGATATTTGTTTGTCGTATGTTTTGTCTCTTAATTGGTACCATGTTAACTGCCTACTCTTTAAATATCTTGATTTTTATGTGTACCTATTGATTGCAAAATACAAAACATCCTCTCTTGATCAATTTGTCTTTGTGTAACTGTGATTTGTGTAGGGAGATGCTTTGATGTTTTTTTTTCTTCTTTCTTCTTTTTCTATGCGAAACATTTTAAGGGCATCTCATCTACAATAAATTGATTTAGTTAAGTTACCACTTCTATTGCAACAAACAGCACCCACAAGTATGAGAGTCAAGAAGCCGACTTCCAAAAGAGTCACCACTCGTATGAGAGAAGGTATCAAGAAGAAAGCAGCAGCAAAGAGAAGAAAAGACAAGAAAATAGCCAAGAAAGACGTTACCTGGAAATCAAGACGTACAAAAGATCCAGGAATTCCAGCCAGTTTTCCATACAAAGACCAAATAATATCTGAATTAGAGGAAAGTAGACGTGTGGAGAAAGAGAGGAAAGAGGAGCTCAAATTGCAGAGGCAAAGGGAAAAAGAGGAAGCGTTGGCTAGGGGAGAGGAAGTTGATGACAATGATATGGAGGATGAGGAGCTTGGTGAAGAAGATGATGGAGCAAACGGTTTGGCTGCATTGCTTGAGTCAGCTCAATCTGCTGCTAAAGAGTACAATGGTGAAGATGACAGTGATGACAATGAAATGATTGACTCTGATGAGGATGTGGAGTACGAATTGAGCGAAGCTGAAGATGATGAGGAGGATGAAGAAGCAACAGGCTTAGAAAAGTCACGTAAGTCCTACGACAAGATATTCAAATCCGTTGTTGAAGCATCCGATGTCGTTTTATATGTTCTTGATGCAAGAGATCCAGAATCCACCAGATCAAGGAAGGTAGAGCAAGCGGTGTTGCAAAACCCAGGAAAAAGACTTATTTTGCTTTTAAATAAAGTCGACTTGGTTCCTACAGATGCTTTAAACCAATGGCTCAACTTTTTGAACTCGTCATTCCCAACATTACCCATCAAGGCTAGCCCCGGTGCAACAAACGCAAACTCTTTCAACAAGAAATTAACAGGAACTATAACGTCTGATTCTTTAATGAAGTCATTGAAAAGCTATGCCAACAAATCGAACTTGAAACGATCAATAATTGTTGGAGTCATTGGTTACCCTAACGTTGGTAAATCTTCAATAATCAATGCCCTTACAAAGAGGCACAATAACAGCTCTAAAGCTTGCCCAGTTGGAAATCAAGCTGGTGTCACAACTTCAATGAGGGAGGTTAAAATTGACAACAAGTTAAAGATTTTAGATTCTCCTGGTATTGTTTTCCCAGATGAGATTATAAATACTAAAAAACAATCGAAGCAGCAACAAATGGCCAAGTTGGCATTATTGTCGGCCATACCACCTAAGCAGATTACCGACCCAACTGGTGCTGTTAAGTTGCTTTTGAAAAAGTTTTCTCAAAATACTGAAATGGCTGAAGGATTGAAGCAGTATTATGATTTGCCTCCATTACCATCATCTGACTTGGAAGAGTTTGCTAAGCACTTTTTGATACATATTGCAAGAACAAAGGGAAGATTGGGTAAAGGCGGTGTACCTAACTTGGAGTCAGCCGCAATGGCTGTTCTCAATGATTGGAGAGATGGTAGAATAATCGGTTGGACTCTACCTAAAGCATCAAAACGGAGTGCTGCTGATACTGAAGTAAGTTTGGATGGACCAAAGAGCTCATTGCGTGGGGAGAAGGAGCCACCAAAAGTAGAACAGACTACAGTTGTTACCGCTTGGGCAAAGGAATTTGATTTAGATGGTCTATTAGGAGACAACTTTGGTCTTGAGTAGGACATATATATGTGTACCATAGATTCGTTTAATCTTTCTTCATCCTTGTTTTTAAATCCTGTTCGAGTTTGGGCACTGTTACCAAATTGGACATTATGCTTAAATTTTGAACAACTAGATCATTGTGACCTCGTAGCAATTCTGTCATGGGTTTTTGTAGTCGGTGAATACTCTCATTCAATACTGCGTATGGATCGTGTGGGGGGACTCGATTACTGGGCTCCTGCTTCAGCATGGTTGTCTTGAAAGAAGATAGCCATCGGGGTTTTGAAATTATTTTCGTGTCGCGCATATTTTCCTTTACGCGTATCACTTTACAATTGCACCACCACCATCACCATCACCACCAAACATGCAAATAATTGATGATATTGAAGATGACTGGGAGTTTTCAGATGATGATAACGACCCAGTAATACAAGACGCAATAAACGGAGGTCAATTAGTCCAGAAGCAAGCAAAGAAACAAAAGCCACGACTGCAGAGACTGCAACAACTGCAACAATCAGCTTCAAAGATCCCACCAGCAAAGAACTCCAAACAGGACACTACTGTTGCTCCGAAGACAACCACCCCAACCCCCAAAAGAACTATCCAGCATATACTACCCATATTACCTAAAATAAATATCCCTACTCACCATGAAATGGACTTTGGAAACTTGCACACCTATATCTACCCAACCAATTTTGAAGTTCGAGACTATCAATATAACATTGTCAGAAAAGCATTCTATGATAACTTATTGGTTGCATTACCCACGGGGTTGGGAAAGACGTTTATTGCATCCACGGTTATGCTAAACTTCCTACGATGGTTCCCCAATTCCAAAATCATATTTATGGCCCCAACTAAACCATTGGTGGCACAACAAATCAAAGCTTGTTGTTCGATAACGGGTATATCTAGCTCCAAGGTTGCCATATTGTTGGAGAAGACCAAGAAGAATCGAGAAGAGATATGGAATTCGCGTCAGGTGTTCTTCACAACACCTCAAGTGGTTGAAAATGACTTGGCCTCTGGTGTGGTAAACCCAAAGTCAATAGTACTATTGGTTATCGATGAAGCACATAGAGCAAGGGGAAACTATGCCTACAACAACGTGGTCAACTTTCTCCGTCGTTTTAATGATTCCTTTAGGACTTTGGCATTGACGGCAACACCAGCAGCCGACGTAGATGGTGTACAAGACGTCATTGATAACTTAAAAATCTCCAAGGTTGAAGTTAGAACGGAGCAAAGCATTGACATTATCAAGTACATGAAGAGAAAGAAAATCAGTCGACGAACGTTGAATACATCACTGGAGATTCAAAACTGTGTTGGTTTGTTGTCGAGAGCAATTGCCCCGGTTTTGAAATCAGCTAATGAAAAAGGGTTGCTTGAAGTCACTGATCCTGCACACATCAATGCTTTTAAGTGCATGGAAGCTTCACGAAGACTTATTGCCAATCATTCAATTCCAGAAGGCCTCAAATGGGCCAACTATTTTATCCTACAGCTTCTTGGTACGGTTGGACAATGTTATCGACGATTGAATATCTACGGAGTGAACTCGTTTTATAGTTATTTTATCAACAAGTATAATGAGTTTGACACTAAGTGGAATAAGAAAAAGTCCAAGAATAAGTTGAATGCTGACTTTTATTATAGCGAACCCATTAAGGAGCTAATAGAGAGTCAAGAACATACATTATCCAGTCAAGCCTACAGTCATCCGAAAATTGAAGCACTTATGGAAGAGCTTGAAGACTTTTTCCAAGAAAAACATGATGATGCTAGTTCTCGAGTAATCATTTTCACGGAATTTCGAGAATCTGCGTTGGAAATTGTCAAGAGTATTGAGAAGGCAGGAGACGAATTTAAACCACATATTTTCATAGGACAGGCCAAGGAGAAGGAGAAATTTGACGTGGAGAATTTTGGTAACAAGAAGGGAACCAAGAAGAAATCAAAAAAGGATGATCATGCGAGGGACTCTCTGCGTACCAGCTCCGAAAACGCTCAAATAAGCGGTATGAATCAGAAATTACAAAAGGAAATAATCAAAAAGTTCAAGAATGGAGAGTATAATATTCTAGTGGCCACTTCAATTGGAGAAGAAGGGTTGGATATCGGTGAAGTTGATTTGATTGTTTGCTACGATTCGACTTCGTCACCAATAAAGAATATTCAGCGAATGGGTAGAACCGGTCGTAAGAGGGATGGAAAGGTTCTTTTATTATTTTCAAGCAATGAAGAGTCAAAGTTTGATAAAGCAATGGCAGGATATGAATACATTCAAAGTCATATAATGAAGGGTGACTTGATTACTTTGTGTCCTCAAAATAGAATCATACCCGATCAATATACACCAGAAGTGGTTGAGACCTTTATTGAAATTCCTGAAGAGAATGTAGAAATTGAACAAGAAGATGATGAAGATGAAATTATTAAAATTGCCACTCAATACATGTTGGGAAATACACCAAAGAAGAAAAATACTCATGGGAAGAAACAACCAAAACATCAAAAGAAGTTTTTCATGCCTGATAATGTTGATACTGGGTTTAAAAATGTTTCTGAAATGTTAAAGGAGGTAAACAATAAGGCGAAAACTAAGTCACCTCCCCGTCGGCGGATCAAAACTGCGTTAGATTTTCTTGAATCTGATAGTGATGATGATCTAGAGATTACAACGGAGAGAAGCTTGAGAAATGAAAATGTAGGAATCAGCAAGGAAAGGGTTTTGGAGAACGGAGATGCGGATGAGGATTTGGAGGATGATGATATAGAGATTACAATGGTGAGAAGCTTAGACAATGACGATCATCCAAATACTACAGAAAGCAACGTAGTCATTTTCACTGATGTATCAAATGCCAAAGATGAAGAGTTGGATCATCATCATACTCCATCGACCAGTTTCAATTCAGCGACAGATAATAATTTTAAACCACCGGCGGGAGAATCCAGTACAGTTGACGAAATTGACCTCCTTAATGATTCCTTTTCATTCAGTGATAATGATGACGTTGAGGATTTTGAAGTACCAGCTCAGCAAGTCGATGTCCCAGCTAAAGAACTGAGAAATGATTCACATAATGTTCAAAGCTTATCAAACTCACAAAACTCTCAAAACTCACAGACCTCGCAAAGGACGCTTGGAATTAAAAAACAACAGCATGTTCTAAATCTCGACCATTTACCAAGAAAGCGCATATTAATTCGTGATGATGAGTTGGATTCATATGAAAGTATAACCAGCACATCGACACAAAAGAAAAGGTCATTAGGAGTGAAGAAACCAAGAAGAATAGAGTCAATAAGCGCAGCTGTACTGAAAGTCAAGCCAGTTCACCACTACGTGAATCAGGGAGAATCAACCCCAAGTGAATCTGCGATAACACATGATACAGATAAAGGAGTTGCCACTGGAAGGGCTGCTGTTTGTAAAGACGATTATGATGATGATAACCTTTTGGATGATGATTTAGACGATGTAATTGCTCATTATACTGGTATAATTAACAAGTGAGTAAAATACATTACATCCACACGTGACTTTTAATATACAGGAACAAATGAAAATGAAAACTTTTTTTCATTAAACGAAAACAAATTTTTCCAATTTTTCTTCTTCTTCTTCTTCTTCTTCTTCTTCTTCATCTTTATGCAGGGGCATTACGTGTTTCAGTGAGGATTCAGTCCGAGATCATGTTTTTGCTGGTTGAAAACTTATAAACCTGACAACTTCTTGTTTGATTTATGTATTTTATACATTTTACAAATGAGAGAATTTTTGGAAAACCATTCTCCTCACCCTTTTTTATTATGAATCTTTATCGAAAATGGATGAATGGAATCTTTTGATTTATTTTTTCCATTTCGAAGATTAGAACCAGTTGGAGATTGTGATGACGATGATAGCGATGATCAATTGATTTACTGTTGTTGATTCATCTTCTCCAGAACTTAAGTTTTAGGCTTTGAGTTTGTTGTGGTGAAGGATTAATATATTTCATCATACTCCGAGTGTAATGCTTTTGATCTACTGGAGAAGATGGAAAACACAGTCAACTTGTGTTTTTTGACAAGCAAACTAAACTATTCTCGATAATTCATCGTTTGAGGTTGTTTAGTTGGCATTAATACTAGTGCTCCTTCTACCATTAACTAAGCCTTGTTCCTCGCTCGGTTTGATTCGTATTCAAAAACGAGCTATCAAATCTTGAGCTGGATACTTTCTTTTCCAAAAGGGGAAGGGAGTAATGGGCAAGATTGAGTTTTATCTAAGATTTCTTTTGAGTGCGATGACACCAAGGTTTGTTTATGTATGGACTGGATGGTGGCATTGTAATTATAAATCTTGACATCTTTGCTTCTCTCTGGTTTTCTCTCTCTATCTCAACTTGTTTGTATTTGTTACAAGTGGGCACTCTTTTGATTTAGGCAGCTTCAGGATTGCGAACTTCGGGCCATCAATTTTTTTTCACCCTCTTTTTTTTCAACTGAAACCAACAAAGAACATCGAAGTTATAACGCTTCACTTTTATTTCCAACTAATCGATTCTTGCACATTCAACCATGTTTAAGAAATTCAGTAAAGATGATATCCATTCTCGTTCAAATATCAAATCATCAGTACAACGAGGTTTGAAAACAAATTTCGTCAACTCGTATCCAGATTTATCCAACGCAATTGATAACATCATACCTAAGAAATCACAAGTCATATTGATAAAATGTGAAGACAAGATCCAATTATACTCTGTCAACAACAGTAATGCCACCAACCAGGATGATCACGAAGACGATGATAATAATAATGAAATTGTTTTGATTCAGCATTTCACCGATATCATACCCACATTGAGAACCGTACATAAATACCCCGAATTGTTTCCTCGAGTGCAAGTCGATCGTGGTGCCATTAAATTCGTAATGAGTGGAGCTAATATCATGTGTCCTGGATTGACTTCCAAAGGTGGTCAATTACCTGAGGACAATTTGCCCGTAGATACAATTGTTACTGTTTATGCTGAAGGTAAAGAGAATGCATTGGCTATTGGGAAGTTGGTCATGAGTGTGGATGATATCAAGAATAAGAATAAGGGAATCGGTATTGAATTGTTGCACTACTTGGGTGATGGGTTATGGAATCATAGAGAATAAGAGGGGAGTCATTTTGCCTCGTATGGTAGGGAGCAAGTGGAGAAGAGGATAGAGATATAACACTAAGTTTTGACTTTATATATCTATGTTAGGCGTAACGATATCAATATAAATATTTTGATTATCATTCAATGAATAATCATTTAGACAACTCAACCAATTTTCATCTAATGTATAACGAGTAGCAAAATTGGAATCTTCATTTATGAAGTAATAGATGGTAAATTGTAAAATCGATAAGTTTGATAAATATAATCTTGAGATTAGTCCTTTAAATTTCAATATTGATGTTGTTTTTAGGAATTTATGATTTGATAACATTGTAGATTGAGAATGGAAGTTAGCAGTGTTGGATCCTTCCTCTTGTTGTTGTCCTATAGCCTTTTCGTCTTTTACCTTGTTGCAACATATTTTCAATTTCAAGTTGATCCATCTTTTAGGTTGAGTAGAACTTGAAACAAGCTCTTTCTTGTCAGTATCAGTTTTATCATACTTGTGTAACAAGTTGTTCCATCGCATTGAATTATTCACTTCATATTGGCCCGATTGGACTTTGGATATAAAATATAATTCACCATTTTCAATCTCAGATGCAGTCAAGTTAGACCCATTTAACATAATCAGTTTGTTATCCATTGTTGTTGTCATCGCACATTCAAATCTTCCTATTAACTGACATGTCATTTCATCAATGGATAAACTATCTAGTATGGGATTATGATTGATGCGTAAATCAACCAAGTGAGGAAACACTTGTGATAAATTATCTATATCTAACCAAGTTGATAATTTATTATATCGAACATCAAGTGATTTAATCATGTCGATTGGCTCGGTCGTGTTGCTCACTGATTTGATTTGACAGTGGGACACGTTTAATGTCTGTATTGATGATGGAAGACCAGTGGGGATTGTGGCCAAGTTATTGTAAGATAGATCCAACACGGATAATTTACGATTGTTGACAAGATGTAGCAAGTTTATATCCTCATTGGTGTAATTATTCCCCGATATGATTAGTTCTTGCAAGTGAGGGAAGTGGGCCAAGATGGAATTCAACTGAGGTATTGGAATCATAGTTGATGCCATTTTTAATCTATGTAGATTAGACTGAATTAAATCCTGCCGCCCAGCTTGGTATTCCTTCCCGTGTACTATCTCATATGAAGCAAATCGATTTCCATTGATATTCAACACCTTTAAATTGGGTAAACGAGAAACAATACTCCAAATATCAGCCATCTGAGTAAATAAATTACCACTTAGATCCAAATTAGTCAAATTTTGTAACCCAAGAAACACATCATCATCAACATTGCCAACCACATCGCCAACCATATCATTAGCCACACAATAAATCAATTGATGATCTAAACTCAAAGAATACAAATTCTGCAATCGTGATTGGTACTGGTTCAACTGCTGCCAGCCTAATTCTTCAACTACTTTATTCCCAAATTTAATCTCCCTCGCTTTATGTTCCAGCACGTCAAGATACTGTTGATGGATGACTTGTACAAATGATTTGCGATCACAGTTTAAGTTCTTGTTGGTTGATTTGATAAAACTGGCTGAGTTGGCAATTGTCGGAGTAAAGTACTGCACGCCCTTTAATATGCCGTTGTTTTTGCCTCGGTTAGAATCATCCCATTCTAAGCCATAGGCTAGTATTTGAGGGCCCCATTGTGGAATATGGCCTACATATTTGATTGTGGCTGTGTGATTGTCAGTAGTTGATACCCGGTCATATAGTTTATACTGTGTCAGCATTGAAAGACCAACAAACTGACCGGTGATGTTTTTTGTTTCTGATTTGAGTTTGTTTGAGGGAACGCGCGGAGGTGGCATTTTGCTGCAAAAACGCCATCATCACTTAATTCGTAAAAATAGGCGATACATCTATACAACAGCAACAAAGTACACAGAATTATACACACCCCTACTAATATAGCTAACTCCATTCATTTTACTCCTTCTTTAAAAATTGTTTGATTGTATCAGGCAATTCTCCTTTAAATTTGAGATACTCCTTTTCCCAATACCCAATCATATCAACCACTCTAGTAGATCTCTTGAAATTATCACCACTTGCAGGCGACACAGTTTTTGATTCAGTAGCTTCTGGGTCTAAATATTTTTCAATCTTGAGCTTCAATTTAGTATCATACTTAATTTCTTGCCAATCACCAACCAAACCGGGAATATAAAGATAATTATAATCCGATTTTAAGCAAAAATAATTTCGAACTTGATAAAAGAAGGCCACAGTGGGTATATGTACTTGGCCGTCTTTTTCATCACAATCATAGCTACCCTTTCCACTAATCAAGAAATTGAGAATGTTGTCATAGTATTGAGTAATGTATAAGTCATCATCCTGAGCAAATGCCGCTGCCGACAAGAAAAATTTCATCAGTAAATCATGATAATTTGGACAAGTTGACTTTTTCAATATACTTCTTCGGCTGTGTCTTGATGTTTGCTCCAATATGTATAATCGTTGATAAATTTTAGCCAAAGTATGGAATTTAAAAGTAGAAACAAAGGAAAGTCTAATGATTTTATCAACAAGTAATTCTAAATCTTTTCTATGTTGTTGTGGTTCATTTGATTGACAGATATATTTGAGAATCAACACATGGTTATAGTAGTCAGACTTTTCATCTTCTGCTTCAATAAATAATTCAAACGCCTCCTTATATTCATGACGCAACATGGCAATAAATCCTTTGATTATTTTCGTTTGTTGAAAAGTGGAATTGTACACATTGCCTGAGGAAATTGCTCTAATGTCTCCAGCAGCAGCAGCACCATTTCCACCAGACCCATTAGCAACAGAGCTGATACCACCATTAATACTACTTCCGCCATTAATTGGAGTTAATCCACCCAAAAAAAAAGCTGATACGGTTCTTGTTTTTGGTGACTTATTACCACCAGCATTATTGGTTTTGGCTTGGTTTTCAATGAATTCGAAATACTGATTCATAATTGGTTCTAATTTCAACATTCCGTAATAAGCAATACTGGGCCCTAATACTAATATAGCTTCAACCAACAATTTAAGTGGATTCAGTTTTAATAATTTTCTTTCCTTATCCCATTTTTGTAATAATATATCTGCATGGTTAATTTTACCAATAATGATTTGGCATTTGCCGGTAAATGAATCTTTGGGGAAGAACTTATTTAAAGCAATTAAATCCAAAACCTGATCATCAAATGATTTGCATTTGCCATTGGTTGGTTGTCTAGAAGGTGAGTTGTTAGTAATAATGAAGATGGAAAACCCTCCCCGCCTCGATTTCAGCAAATTTCCAACAATACCTTTTACATACTTGTTTAATTTTGTCAATTCCAATTTATTTAATAAATTTCTTTCCAACTGGCATATATCAGCCTTCATTTCATCAAATTGTTTAGGACCTGTCAAATTTCTTCGAGAAATATCCAAAATTTCACCAAGACAACCCATAGCAGAATCTCTGTCATTTAAATCAGCATAAGTATAAGCTAATACAGTGATGAACTCTTTTCTATCGATCTCGTTGGGCGCCAAACATATAGCTACACCAATTTCTCTAAACCCGCTGGTTAATCTCCCAAAGTGGACCATAGTACAGCCAATAATTAAATGAAATATTGGAGGTATGATGTTTAATTGAGAAATGTGAGGGAGCAAAAACATGATTTCCACAAAGTTGTTTTCATTGTAGAGCTGTCTCATTTGTGAGTATAGCCTAATTGTTGTTTCATTTTGTTTAGTATCAATATTGTTGATATCACCATCTGGTGGTGGTAAACCATGCAAGTTTTGCAAACCAAGGGAATCATCTACTCCATTCATAATTAGCTGTGTCTGTTTATGTTGATTCTGTTGTTGATGGTTACCAATGATATCATCAGTTCTATCTTCTAGATTAATATATACTGGTGGATGATGCTCCATAATGGTTGAAAATGAAGACGGGTGATAGATGATATTTGTATGATATGGCAACCAAAAGTGGAAAGTAAATTGAAAAAGTGTTGCAAAAAAAAATCAGAATAAAAAAGAACAAGAGTTAGAGCCAGTAGAGAAACGCAGGAGGTGGAGATAGAGACATTGTGTAGCAGATGTGTCTGTGGTTGGAAGGGAAAGCTCTAACTTTTGATAGTGATAATAACCACACGTCTGCTATTGGTACTAACTCTGGTAATGAGAAGATGATATATCCCTCGTTTTGGGTGCACGTCCTATTCTTCTTTGTTTTAGTTGTTTTGTGTGTAGGGAAATAGATTATATTAAAGAGGGGAACAATTCTCTTGGTTTTACGAATAACAATAGTATCAAAACACACGACCTTTAATTTTAAATCTCAGCTTTTTTTTCTTTTTACTTTTTAGTCATAAAAAGTATGGGGTAACCCTTATGTTATGACAAAGGACAACGCCACATTCCACCTAACTTTTTCAATCAATTCCTAACCTTTATATATACTCTCCTTTTGTATACTCCCATATTGATAAGCTATATAAAACATTTATAAAAATTAAGGAGTAGTTTACTGTTATTTTGCTGCATTCTGTTACATTCTGTTACCTGTTATCTTTGTAAGACCAGCAATTACGTAATTGAAAGAAAGATCATTCATTTTTTGTTTTATTATTTTTGATCACGTGTACACTACTTTCTAATGACTCCACGACATCCAAACATAAACACATATCCCTTCCCATTATATCCCTTTATCTGCTTATATATTCGATATGGTACACATTTAGTTTGTAGGATATACAATATTATTCTCTCAAGGTAAACTAGTACACTCCATGTAACATATATTTTATTGAGGGGGGATATTATTGCTGCTGTTGCGAACTTTTCTCTTTCGCCGAAAGTTACTAACTAAACTAAACTAAACTGATCTCAAAACTTTTTTTTTCTCATTAAGAAAAACAACCACCACAGCATAAACAAATCTATCGAAACGTCTGCTACAAAACAACAGCCAAATCTGTATTACACCCCCTTGTTTTCAACTGCTACTGTTTTAGTATAATTGTTATTACTCTTCCATATTGATTGAGATAATTTGACACCTACGATTAACTGGCTTTAATGTCACAGTCATCCTCACCAGCACTAACCACCACAACTGCAGTACCTACATCACAGCAACAACAAAAACAAAAACAACAGCAGGACCAAAAGCAGCAGCAACAACAACAACATCTATCACTGCATCTACATCTATATCAACAACAACAACGACAACAGCAGCAGTCGCTACAAACGTCTGACAAGTTTGTTCCAATTAGTCTAAACAGCAAAAGTCAGCCAATATCGCAATTGCAACACCAGCCACTGGTACCTCAACCAACCACCACCACCACTACATCTGCTAATACGTCAACTCCTCCTAATCAAATGTCGAAGTTAGATCCTCCTTTAACAACTACAAAAGCATTACCTTCACCCTCCAACCACACTTCAGCTGTTGGTGATAACGATGTAAATAGACAACAATCACTTTCACCTACATTTGGCCTCAAGTCACTGGAGCATTCTAGAAGACACATCCCTCGAGATATTCTGATATACTATGACCCTAATAATGAGCAAATATCGCAACAATGTTCACCTTTTTCCACTCCCAAACGATTTTCATATGACCAATTGCATCAAAAAAATAGTCACCACCATCAACAACAAGACAACAACGTATCTCGAGATATTGATAAGGAGGCCATCTCTCCTCGTCAGCTATCATCAGGAAATGCTTACGATAATGAAGTCATGAATAAATTACATGCCAAACTAGAAAAGACTAATGACAGCACTACCAACCATCCCATATTTAGACTCCGGTCTCCGCATCAACAACCACCTTCAGCATTATCACATGTGCAATCACTGCTTGTATCACCCCTGCATTCTCAAGTAAACTTTAATATCAATTCCAGACCCACGACACCGTCTGGATATAATTCACCGGTCAAAGAAACCAAGCATGTATTATTAGAGTACGACCCCATGACGAAACGAAAAGTGCTCAATACTTACGAGATACTTAAAGAGATTGGAAAAGGTGAACACGGTAAAGTCAAATTGGCTAAAGATTTAATCAATAAGGAATTGGTTGCTATCAAGATTGTCAATCGAAAATCGAAAAAGGAAAGACCGTCATTGAGGATAAGAAATAATAATAATGGTAAAAGTAGTAGTATCAGTGAACACGAATTGAAAATCAAGCGAGAGATTGCTATTATGAAGAAATGTCGTCACAAGCATATTGTCTCGTTGAAAGAAGTTTTGGATGACACCAGCTCGTTCAAGATTTACCTAGTATTGGAATACATGGAAAAGGGTGAAATCAAATGGAAAAGGCTTCACCAGGATTTGTATCAAGGTAAAGGTCAACTGGAGAATGATTCGAGTGATCTGGAAATACCATGTTGCGGCAGAAATGGTGGTGGGCCTCGACAACCCCATCATCGCTTTGCTAGTGAAGATGATTTACTTTCCAATGAATTTAGTCCTAATTTGAATTTTAGACAATCGAGAAAAATATTTCGAGATGTCTTATTAGGATTAGAGTACCTTCATATGCAAGGAATTGTTCATCGCGATATCAAACCAGCAAATTTGTTAGTATCGTCGGACAATGTCGTCAAGATTAGTGATTTTGGTGTTTCAATTGCCTCCTCATTAATCGAAGAAGATCTGGGTATTTTGGTTAATGAATTGGATTTAGCCAAGACTGCTGGTACTCCTGCCTTTTTTGCTCCTGAATTATGTCAGCTCGATGGTGAAGATGATGGCGAAGATGACATTGATTCGACTTCTTATCCAAAGTCGCCCAAAATTGACTACAAAATTGATATTTGGGCCCTTGGTGTTACATTGTACTGTTTGTTATTTGGTAAAGTTCCGTTCAATGCAGAATCAGAATATAAGCTTTTCAATGTCATTGTCAATGATCCAGTACAATTCCCACCCGACATTAAATCATTTAATTCGCCTGGTTGGGTAAGTGATGAAGAATTTGAATTGGCAAAAGATTTACTTTCTAAGCTATTGCAAAAGAAAAGCTCGGAACGTATTTCGATTCAAGAGATCAAAGAACATCCATTTACGCTTATGGACTTAGATAATAATCTTGAAGCATTGCATGAATTGTTCAATTTAAACTCCTCAACGGCAAACAGTCCATTAGATTTCAATTTGAGTGATCAGGATGTTGTAACCAATGACGAAATTGAAAATGCAGTAATTGGATGTGGAACTAGGATTAAACGAAGTTTAGTCAAAGCGATCAAAGCCGGAGGGATCAAAGACTCTGAATTGAAAAGTAAATTCCAAGCTTTGCAAATGGAGCATTCGAGAAGTGAATCCAGTGACGAGTCTTCAAGTGGGTACTCGACCTTCAATTCGAGTTATAAACTCAACTCCATGCAGCAGAATAATCACTCAGTGATTCTATCAGAGCAACCAATGGTTGTGTCTTCTCCATTGCAATCGAATGGAGATGCTCAAGCAACAAAGACGAGGTCAAGAACTGAATCAGTTACCCATAATCCACATGTGCCATCACACTTATCCCAACAAGTTTCCAGCAATTCAAGCTCACCTATTTCTGCACAAATTCCCGTTGCATTTTCTGGTGGTGGACCTAAAGAAGGAAGTAAAAGCCTACTTCACGAACGATTAGAATCCCAAAGTGGAACTCCAAGTAGAAGAGGTAGTTTTGCTCGCAAAAGCTTTATTCACGATATTATTGAGTCACACAGTGGTGCATCAAGTAGAAGAGGAAGTGCTGCTGCTATTCCGATAGTTGAAGCACCACAGATTGAAACGAAACGTAACGTTGGTGGTAATTTATATTTAAAGAATCAGTCAATTGTGGATACTTTTAAAGGGATACAAGAACAAGATGATAAAAGAAGACGGTCAAGCTTATTCTCAAATCATGTTGGGTCTACAAATAAAAATTCCATTTCTCATGATGCAGCTGCAAACCAATCGTCATTTGCAAACCTGGTGTATACATCATCACCATCTCAGTCGGTACAGCAACAGCAACATTCACAACCAATCCTGCTCCCACAGAAGGATAATAATAACTCTTCATTGGTTACCCCCATTCCCGTACCTGCAGTTAAACCCAATTTTGAATTTTTCCGTAATAATGGCATGAACCTGGGTGATCTGTCAGATCATGATCCTACTCAAGGAGCCACGCGTGAACTGCATTTGTATAAATATGTTGATCAAACTGAAGGTGAAGACCCGGGAGAAGTAGATCCTGTGGGATCTTCATTCATGTCATTACCCTTGACGGGAAGCTTCGCATCATTGGATAGTATCAATGATGAGATGTTACATTTGAAGTATAAACCATATACTATAACTGATCCAAATGAACAACGACCAATTACATCCTTGAGAAAAAGGTCTAGTTTTTCCGATTCAAATTTACTCAAAAATAATCACAATAATGCATCTAATGAATTGAATAACAAATTTGAGTCGTTTAATCTTGAAGATCTGATGAGAGATCTGAAACAAAAACGATCACAAAAGAGATTGAGTGATGATAATGGTGTTGCACCTGGCACGAAGCCGGTGATTTCGTTGACAAGACTGTCAAGTAGTGAATCGTATTCGTCATATTCGTCAAGCAGTGGCATTTCAGAAAATGATTCTGCAGCTGAAGAAGATGAAGAAGACGAAGAGGGGGATGATTCAGATGAAGAGAACTTGACACTTGCTTTCCATTCTAAAGTGACACCATCAAGACGTCCACCGTTTTTGTCTTTTAGTCAACGTTCGCAATCGCATGATTCAAGACTTCCTTATATCGCCTCTCGTGGACAAGCTGCTACTACAGATGCAGTTATATTCAACAGTGACTCCCATGACTTTGAAGACGTTCCTATGGGTTTGATTGACTCTACTACACCAGACAATGTGTCTAGATCCACGGTGCAATCTTTACTGTTCAAACAAGGGCCACCATCTAGAGAAGATGCCAGTAATGGCTCATTATCGGTGAAGCATCTTGATTCATCGACAACTCCGTCGCCCCGACCTCCACGACTGCAACCAGTAACATCATCAACAACCTCCCTGAAGGATAAACGACCCCAAATCTTGGCCCAATTCACCGCGTCCAAACAAAAACAAGAGACATCGACTCCCACGTCCATCCTTCGAGAAAACATATTCCATCATCAATTCAACAATCATTATAATAAAGCTCCGGTGTATTCAGAATTCCCCAACTCAAACCATTTAGGTAATAATCATCAACAAATTATTGAATCATCAGTAAAGAAGTTTAAACAAAATCGTCCCAAATATTATCGATCAAATTCTGTCGCGGTGGGCATTTTGCAACATACACTGGATGAATTGGTGGATGATATGATTGAACAAAGAAAGGAAAAAGCTTGAGCGGAGAGATGAAGTAAAGGTAGGATTATTTTTACTTTATAGACTTGGTAAAAAGGATGTATTGTAGAATTATCTCTTTGGATATTTAAAAACCCTGAGGTAATGTTCTTGTACTAGATCTCTAAAGTATCGATAGTATTAGTAGGATGATGACGCACACAGTAATTATGTGTTTTGAAAAACTTGCGCTTTTTCCTCTCTGTAAACTTTTGTAGCACCGTTATATGAATGGAGGACGGATTGGACCGAATTATCGTGCTTCATATAGGTGCTGGGAAACATAATGAAAAAAGTAGGAACGACTATGTCAAATTAATGAAAAAGGCTTTAAAAAAAGGTGATATAATTGCGGTCAACAATATCTTAGAGCACTCATCATTAACAAACACTGGATATGGATCTAGTTTGAATATTTTAGGGGAAGTTGAAATCGATGCCAGTTATTACAAGAGCAATGGTGAATCAGGAGCCCTTTCAGGCTTACAAGTTGATTCGCCAACACAGGAGATGTTTCGAATTTTCAATAAAATCAATGATCAACATAATACTACTGGAGAACAGAGACTAACACGACCGGTGAGCTTAAATTGCACCAGTTTGAAAAGATATATGGATATCCCAACTAATGAAAATCTTGTATCTGCCAAATCAAAAAGGATTTACGATATGTATAAGGATCGAATACTAAAGTACCATGGTGATGAGGTTATAAATGACACCATTGGATCCATAGTAATAGACACAAGGTTCAATCACACTGCATTAGCTACTACATCAGGTGGTCACTTCTTCAAATTACCAGGAAGAATTGGGTGTGCTGGTATAGTTGGAGCAGCTATATACTATGAAAAGATTAACGATTTGGAAATTAGTTGCATGTGTTCAGGAAATGGAGAACAAATTATTCAAACTTCATTAGCACAACTGATTGTTAAAAATGTTCGTTATATAGATGAAGGAGACTATGGTCCACAATTGGAAAGGCTAATTCAAGAAATGACGCCCCAGATTTACTGCGGTTTCATTGTTGTATTGAAACGATCAAATGGAAGGATACAGCTACTATATGGACACACTACTGAATCATTCTACTTTGGCACTAGAGTTCATGACGCAACAAGAGTTATTCTCAGTTGTGCTGAACAAGAGGGTAAATTTACCTTTGGCGAATATAAACTAAGATGAAGAATAAAGAGACTCCAACGCTTCAATCATTGTATATATATTTCATGGTAAAACAACAAAAAAATACACACACATATATTTATTAAACTTCTTCCCTTTGGTTTTCAACATTCTCTTTTTAATTTGTACACTGATTGATCACCCGCAAAACAAAGTTTCAAATCACTTAACGAGAAGTGGCTTTAACTTTTTGGAATGAACCTTTAGCGCTTTGCTTAGAGACAACTGGGTTACCAGCAGCAGCAGCCTTAGCCTTTTCAGCTTTTCTAGCAGCCTTAGCAGCCTTCTTGGTTTCCTTATCCTTGGCCAATTTAGAGTCTCTGGCAGCTTTTCTTTCTGATGGCTTTTGGCTTCTTCTTTCTTTAATCAATTCCAATGAAGCACCGACGATAGCTCTTTGGTGCTTAACGGTCTTTCTGGTTCTCTTTTTAGAAGTTTCTTCAGAAATACCCTTTTTGTGGTGTCTTCTGTACAAAACAGTCCATGAAATTCTTCTTGGGTTCTTTCTTTGGTGGAAAAGGGAGGCAGATTTTGATGATTGGAATCTAAAGATTTTGGAGTCACCTCTGACAAACAAGGTACCTCTACCTGGGTAAATCTTAGAACCTGAAAAGGAATCAACTTCGATCTTCATTTTTCTAAAGGAATAAGATTGTTAGTAAAATTGTTGAAATACTGAGTCAACATTCAATATCTGCCTTTGGGAAGCAGTCGTAACTTGGATTGGAAAAGGAAAACATTAACTCAGTGGACAATCTCCTGATAGTGATCTGAGCTAGTAATCAGGACTCACTCTTTTGAGCATATTTCTATTATGTGCAAATTAAATTGTGATTATCCTCTTCTGTCTATTTCTCTGCGTACGTAACGACTCTTCTTAATCTCGCCAACAGTTCCCACTTGATGTTAAATATTGAATCTCCATGTAGTTGGTCTCCTCACATACCTATTGCGTTGTTAATTGGTCAAAGAAGGTAAGTCTGATAATTTGATGGTAAATTTCAAACCTTCTATGGATTTTTTCGGTGTGTGTGCGTAGTGTGTAGTGTGTGTAGAGTGTGTGTAGAGTAACAAACGAAAAAAAAAAAATTTGTTCAAAATAAATTAGGGCTGTGACCCGAGATTTTGTATATTGCACGTGCGCCATTACAAGTGTGCTTTTCTCACTTTCGCTCTTTCCCTCCATTGCGCAGAAATAAATTTTCATCTTCGTAAGTATTACCACTGGTTTGAGCTCTTTCTTTCACCACATCAAGACCGGAGTGTAACCTATTGATATAAACAGATAAATAAAACACAGAGATGGTCCGTATATTTCCAAGCTAAAGATACCAACACAATGACTTTGAAGTATTCACAGCTTCAGCCTAATTAGGGCATTGCATTTAATGTATGTCAGGGTTTTTTTACAAAAGTCCAAGTCGATGTTGAAGTAGATTCTCAGAAGGGCCAAAGAATACTAACTAACCTCATTACAGGCACCAAAATCAGCTAAGAACCAGGAAAACATCAACGCCAAATTGGCTTTGTCCATGAAATCCGGTAAATTTACCTTGGGATACAAATCAGTTGTCAAATCAATGAGAACCGGTAAGGCCAAATTGGTCATCATTGCTGCCAACACCCCAGTTTTGAGAAAATCTGAATTGGAATATTACGCTATGTTGTCCAAGACCCCGGTTTACTACTTCCAAGGTGGTAACAATGAATTGGGTACCGTTTGTGGTAAATTGTTCAGAGTTGGTACCTTGTCCATTTTGGATGCTGGTGACTCCGACATTCTTACCTCAGTTTAAGTTGGTAATATAATTTACATATATAGTATATAATTGTGTTAATGTATTATTAATTTGGGGAGTACTACAGATGTAAAATCCTTAGTTGGGATGCCATACAATGAAGATGCACACAGCCACTTACTGGGGGCGGGGCTTCACTCACACCCTTTTGTCTAAAGTAGCTTGCAACTGTCTAATCTTGATTTCTTCTTTTTGTATTTCCGCGTCAAGATCAATCAATTCACCGCTACTCACAACATGGTCAGTGGGAACCTTGAACTCCGTCCACAAAGCTTGTTTTGCATTGGCCAACTCCTTTTCCATACCTTCAATTTCATTACTAACGTGAACGAATTCCTGGCGCAAATGCTCTACTTTACTCCTGATTACATCGTAATCTTCAATCAAATTGGGATATTTATCAACCACAGCAATAAAATCCTCAAATGACTCATGCAAATTGTCACTCTCTTTAAACTGAACCTCAATACTGCCAGAAAATCGATCAGGTCGATATAATGTGGGTAGCCTAACTATTGGTTGTTCATAATCAACATTCTCCGACTCATTCATCAGAATAAATGATGGATCATCAAAATCATGTTCGAGATACATTGATTTTCCATCAACCCGCTCCACTTTGGGATCATCTAGACTCGTCTGGTTTGATGATAATGATAATGGTGTCGTTGTGGTTGCATTGATAACTTTATACAATCGTCGTTCGTCAGGTGTGGGATCTCGTAATAGTGATTGAATCGGTGGTGGATTAACTATAGCATTGGTAAACATCCCCGGGGTTTCAAAACCAAAAGATTCTATCGATTGTGTAGCTTTGTCTATGCGGTCTAGCTCGGTTAATAGTGTCATCGTAATTTGTGTCTGGGCAAAGGATTATCTGGTTGATAAAAGCAGAGCAAAGCGTGTTAGTTTTGTTTATGTTTTGGTTTTTGTATGGCAAGCCGCACAGATAACCGATTTTGGATGTGTTCATCGAAGTGAACTTTTTTTTAAGATTTAGATGACTGGAGACTATTATTCAATAGATACCAGATAACACCACGCAAAGAAGACTTTGACCATGGCAGTCGATCTAGATCAATATTTAAAGCCTGGTAAAGATCATTATATAGCGTTAGGCCTTGAAGGATCAGCAAATAAGTTGGGTGTAGGAGTTATAAAACACCCAAAGGGACAATTATCTGCCCTGAATCGAGCTGAAGTATTATCCAACATTAGGGATACTTACATAACACCGCCTGGAGAGGGGTTCTTACCACGGGATACGGCAAGACACCACCGTAACTGGGTTGTGCGAGTCATTAAGAGAGCTTTAGCTACTGCAAACATTAGAGGTACCGATATTGATGTCATTTGCTTCACTCAAGGTCCAGGAATGGGGGCACCATTGCAGAGTGTTGTGATGGCAGCCAGGACATTGGCACAGTTATGGGATTTGCCATTAGTTGGAGTCAATCATTGTGTCGGACATATTGAAATGGGACGTGAAATTACTGGGGCCAATAACCCTGTTGTGTTATACGTCAGTGGTGGAAATACTCAAGTCATTGCTTATTCGAAACAGCGATATAGAATCTTTGGCGAAACTTTGGACATTGCGATTGGTAATTGTCTTGATCGGTTTGCAAGAACTTTGAAAATCCCTAATGAGCCAGCACCAGGGTATAATATAGAGCAATTGGCTAAAATGGGTAAACATTTGGTCAACTTACCCTATACTGTCAAAGGTATGGATTTATCCATGTCGGGGATATTAGCCTATATCGATGGAGTAGCTAAAGATCTATTTAATGGGAAGCAAAGCAAGAATCTTATTGATGAAGAAACTGGCGAACCAATCACGGCTGAAGATTTATGCTTTTCATTACAAGAAATCTTGTTCAGTATGTTGGTTGAAATAACGGAACGTGCGTTGGCCCACGTGGATAGTAATCAGGTGTTGATTGTTGGCGGTGTTGGTTCAAATGAACGATTACAAGAAATGATGAAGTTGATGATTGAAGACCGTAAAAATGGACAAATATTTGCCACCGATGAACGGTTCTGTATTGATAACGGTATCATGATTGCTCATGCCGGTTTGTTGCAGTACAGAATGGGACAAACGAACGAACTCGTGGATACTGTATGCACCCAGAGATTTAGAACCGACGAAGTGTTTGTCAAATGGAGAGACGATTGAAAGAGTGGGAACAGTGGATTTTATTTAATAGATGCATCTTTAGATTTATTTGGCAATGTAGAGAGGGACAATCTTACATCGACCGATCCGCGAATTGAGATGTATGTAATCTCGTTTCAATTTGCTTAATTTGTGATCGTATATTGAACGAACAATTTTCAAAAGACAAAAAGGAACAATATCTAAAAACTAATGGCCTTCTTGTCAGATACGGATTGGACATATTGATCAAGCACGGCATTGACTGTTGGATTATCCGTCCATTCTTTGCCCTCGGGACCGTATTCCTTCTTGCACGACCGTAGTAAACTTGCCAATTTGCGAACTCCAGTACCATCCCATTTCTGCGCCGTTGAATAATCATAATCGACTGCTTCATTTAAATCATTTATATTGTCAAAGTGGATTTTAGCATATGCATAGTTGTCATCAACATTGAGCAACTCCACCTGCTTGACTTTACCAAAAGTACTCATAATTTCCGTTATTATACTCTCATCAATATGCAACTCCGGTCTGTATTTGTATTTCAAACGAGCTATGAATTGTCTATTTGTTTCAAAATCGAGCATTTGCAAAAGCGGTAAATCATGGATACTTACATTGGCTTTAGCGGGCTTCGTGTTTGCCCTTTCTTCATAAATTCGACGTTTTTTAATTCCATCTTCATGTAGTTGTTCAATATTAACTGCTCGTCTTGGTACTGCGACTTTATGGTTTTGTTCCTTGGATAACAAATCATCCTGAAATTTCTTTATCAAGCCATTATCTCTTGCTCTCTTCAATGTCTTTGGACTCTTCATATGAATGAGACGATTGTATTGTTTGCGAAGCGACTTATCAGAAAGGACTTGGAAGCTTGTTAGAACCAAATCAAACTTGTCCGATGAAGCCGATGGGGAACCTGTTGACAAGTCATTATGATTAACTTGCTTATCGGGATGATGAATCAATGCCTGTTTATGATAAGCTCGTCGTATTTCTTCAGTGGATGCCTTTGATGAAATCTCTAGAATTTTGTATAAGTCTATTCTATCTTTTATAATTTTCTGGACCGTTGGTGTCATTTCGAAAGTATCCGTTTGAATTGAAGATATCTAGTGGGAGGAGGAGTTAAGAGGTCGTACTTATATCACCCCTTTGATCCAATATGTTTTTTTTTTCTTCTAAATAATGCGAGATGTATATAATTTTTGCAATCAAAACAACATTAACCGCCCGCCACACCAACGACAGCAAACAACAACTACACCATTGGCTTGACTCTCACTTCCAACATCACCAACCTTCTTAACTAATCTAAAATCTTTTTTTCGTCTTTTTTATTTAAAGTTTGACATTATACAATTACCTAGATATATCTATATATATATATATGCACTCAAGGTAATACAGCAATAGTGTTTTTTTTCATCTTTCTCTTCTACGATAAGGCTCCCCTTTTCCATTCATTATCTTCTCTTCTCTTCTCCCTAAGCTTTAACTGTTCTCAATCCATGGTTAGATCTAAATATAGCATCACCTTCAGAGTATCCTCTACCTAATCCAAATCCAATACCTAACCATACTGGGAATTGTCTTCTCTTGAAAAATAATATGGATGCTAATACACCACCACCAAAACCTAACCCGGTTTTGATCAATGTATTGGATAATACTACATCCCACTTATCGTTGAGTAAGTTTTGTGACGATGTTGGTATGATTTGGGAAGCTGGTGTGGCTGGGGCCGATGGAGTAGATGCTGTTGTGCTTGACATGTTTGTTTTCTTTGCTGTATGACAATAGGAGAATATATCTTTAGGACTCAATTATATGTCTGTAATAGTGGTTGAGCTGTTTGGTATGTATGAAATTGGTTCTTTTACCTGTTGTTTGTTTGTAATTGCTATGGTTAACGTCGGCTTCTCGTCGTTGTCGTTGTCGTTGTGAGTGTATTTTTTTTTTTTTTCAAGTTTTAACTTTTTTTTTTTTTCTCGTGCAATTTGGTTGGTTAACAACCAATCAATTAACAAACATCTGAGGGTTCGGCTTATGGGTTTGAACTTTTTATAACAGAAAGCAGTAGAAGTTACAAGACCTTTAAAGTCTTGAAACATTTAAACAAAAGAGGTCTTGCTGTTTCTGATTCGTTTCGTTCTTTGCATTTCAGTTTTTATACTTTCTCTCTAACATTCTGTTTGGCGTACAATAACCAACAATTGTAAAATTTTGGGTGCAAATTGAAACAAAATTTATGTTACAACTACACTCTACCCAAACAGTCTTTTATTACATAGGTGATTCAAATAACAAAAGGTTTAATTTACTTTAATATAAAACGTTCTAATTACATAAAATATATGTACTAATATACATACCCAGACACATTTTCTTTCCCTTTAAAAATTACTATTCATCATTCTTCTAACATCACTTTTCCTATTACTTGGTAACAAGTCATTTTCAGGTCCATTTAAGTCACTATGACCAAATTGGGCATGTAATTGGTTGTTACTAGGCAAAGAACCAGCAGGTCTGAATTTACGCGATTTAGTAATTTCAGTAACTGGATTCAACATCACTACTGATGATCGTGATGCTTGAGTGGCTGAAGGAACAGGCATACCACCATTTGGTTTATTGTTTTGATATATTGGATGCTGTTGATGTTGGTGATGATGCTGTTGTGGGTGTTGCTGTGGTTGTTGTTGTTGGTGATGATGCTGTTGTGGGTGTTGCTGTGGTTGTTGTTGTTGGTGGAAGTAATCACTTTGATTATGCTGTGGTTGAGGGAACGATGCTTGTGATTGGATACTTGGTGAATTTATCGGCGATGTCCATACATTGTCATTTTCAATAGGCACAAATGGTTGTTTGCCTTCTGGTGGAGACATGACTGTTTGGTTCTTGGCACGAGGTCTAAAATCAGTAAATGTTTGGAGGGTAGATTTACGAAGATCTGATGGGTTACGCAATTGTTGTAAAGGAGGCAATGGACGAGGCGGCCTTTGTTGTTGTCGAAGTTGCTGTTGTTGTCTTTGATAATAATAGTATTGCTGTTGCTGAAATTGTTGATACAATTGGGGATCAACGGGAGCTCCATATTCTTGTTGATATTGTTGATTGAAATGGTTGTAATACATTTGTTGTTGTTGTTGTTCATGGTGATAAGCCTCATCTGGATCCATATACACCGATGATGTATTACTATACCTCTTTGCATAATCAGCATCAACCATCAAGTCATCGTTGATTTTATCCCCTTGGATAGGTTCAATATCTTCTGCTTCCTCTGCTTCTTCTTCTTCACCTTCTTGATCAGGATTTCTTTTCATTGGTTCTCCTTCTTTATCGAAATAAACCTTGTATACTGATTTCATACGTTTAATTTCTTCTTGTTGTTGTGGAGTCAACCTATCCAATTCTTCCTCTTCTTCACCTTCTTCATCTTCAGCATCACTGTCATTTTTCAATAAATTAAATGCTGAAATTCTTGGTGACTTGTTGATTTTGGTAGACTTTTTGTGGATTGGATTAGTATTAGATTCAACCGAAGATGCAGACTCTCTATCTCCATCTGGGACATCGTCATGCATATCCTTTTTCAAAGTTTGCATAGGAATTGTATCCAAAGTAGTGTCTTGTGTTTCATGTGGCTGATTCTTGTCATTGAAAGGCGACGTGTCAGTAGTAGAATCATGGGGCTCAGTATCGTCGTCGTCATGATTTGTGTTGTTGTGGTTATCATCATGAATCACAATTTGTGGAATGGCATTATTGACTGGCACTTCCGACTCATTTTCATAAGTTATACCAAACTTATCATCTTGAGGGGATACAACACCACTGTCGTCCGAAGCTGAGCCACCAGATTCATCCATGATACTTGAAACTTCGTGCGATGCTTCCTGTAATACAGGATTTGATTCATTCGGTATATTGGTGTATTGCTTCCCATCAACTTTCTTCAGCGGACTGATTTGAGAACTGGGTTTTCTTGAATGTGTATTTGAATTCATTTTCAAGGCAGTATCAATATGAACTGAATTACCTCTAGTTTGTGGAGTTGGAGTGCGATATCCTTGCAGGTCACCCAAATTTCTAGCATAATCGTCCAATGAAAGTTTCGATCCGGTTTGATGTTGAAAAGGTAAAACAAAACTATCTAGATAAGGATCTTGAGATTTTCTCGCCATGTGTTGCGTAAATCTTTTTCCATTATCGCCGCCATAATTGCTCTCTCTATTGATTTGTTCCATTGGATATCTTATTGAGTTTCTGTTATGGAATGGATCTTCATGTTTCATTTCAGGATAATCAGGTAATGCAGTAGCTTCACCAGTTTCATAAAAATCAGGATCACGTTCCAAGTCTTCCTTTCTATCCTTCCGATAATTCCTGTAAAGGAAATAGCCCAAAACACAAAGAATGGCAATAACTGGTAAAACAATTGACAATGCAATAGTAAGACTATCATTACTCACTGGTTTTTCACATTCGGAAGAATTGGGATGTTTTTTACAATAATCTGAACTGGTTTCACTGTCATCGGACGTTTTGGAAGCCCGTTCATACAAGTAGCTTGTTGGCGTCGCGTTTGAATTTGAAAACATTGTAATGCTCTTTTTCGACAATGGTGATTAGTAGTGGTGGTGGTAGTGGTGGTGATAATATTAATATGCAAATTGAAATGTTTTTGATCTTGAAACGAATGACTATAGCTTGTTATAGAATGACTAAGCAGCTCGATAAAGGACAATCAGATACTTTTCCTTGATGATAAATATGCAATGAAATGACAAGAACTTTCTGTTTTCTTTTTCTTTTTCTTTTTCTTTTTCTTTTTCTTTTTCTTTTTCTTTTTTCTTGTTTACCCGCTGGAATATAGATATGTTAAGTTATGTTATGTCGGGTATTTTCTTTCTCCTATTTTTAATTCCACCTTTTATTCCATCAAAGTGAATGAAATCAGACCAGTAAAGTAACAGTAGCAACAGTAGCAACAGCAGCAACAGCAGCAGATAGTAAAGAAAATGAAAAAATAAAAAAATAAAAGAAACCAAAAAAATAAGTAGATCAACTTAGAATAAAGCAGTTTCTACTTTTGCTCCAATGAGGTTTTTTTCTAAAATTGGCAAAAATTAAAAAAAAAAAAAATGGGAAAATTTTAAGAGAGCGTGTTGTGTATATATTTTGATTTACTTTGATTTTTTAAACGCCCAAATTCTGAATTTATATTTTTTCTTTTTTTTGTGTGTTAAAAGTTGGGCTTATATATATAGTATATAGTATATAGTATATAGTATATGTAGGTATATATTTGATATATATATATATGTTATATAGTATGTATAGTATGTATGGTATGTATAGTATGTATGGTATGTATAGTATGTATTTATTATTTTTGTTTACCAATTTTTTTTCTCTTTTTACATTTTCACTGAAGACGCGTAGCACTTTGATTTTAATTTTAATTTTAATTTACGACAAAAACAAAAAACAAAAAACAAAAAACAAAAAACAAAAAACAAAAAACAAAAAACAAAAACAAAATTAGTTAATTATTTATATACAATTAAATACAGAGACATACTTACTTACTTACTTACTTACCATTTTGAATTTTTTTTTTTTTTTTTGATTGAAGTTACAACTTAACAAGGCTCTTTATATTAAAAGAATAAGACAAGACCACAGCTTTACCTAAATGGGAATGTAACAACCAAAATAAAAAATGGTAGTTAAGCACTACTGGTTATATCTACTGATCCATTTGTCTACTCGTTTTATTATAAAAATATTTTGACATCAATTGTTTCCTCTCTTCTCCCATTTTCTTTGTGCAATGGAAGTTACTTCTCTGCTGGCGTATAAATCACGTAGAAACAGATTGTCTCGTTCCATCCCAAACAATAGGACCCACCAACACGAATGTTGTTGTGCTCATTGTTTTGCCCTCCCCCCTCGATGCGAAAAGCAAAAAACGTAAATAAAAATAAAAATTTTTATTTTTGTTATTTACGTTTCTATTTGTGACCCTATTGCCTTAACCCGGTACAAAAGATGCCAGGAAAATTGTTGCCATTTTTATGACCTAGTGGATCCAAGAGCTAGATCCAAACTGATTCCGATATTTACGCTACGCTCTTGGACTTTATTAAATATTAAACCTTCGTTAAAAGATAATTTCTATAAATAGCTAAACTGCAACCTAAAATAATAATAATAATAATAATAATAATAATAATAATAATAATAATAATAATAATAATAACAACAACAACAACGATAACATCAACAACAACAATTACAAAATCTTTAATACAACATCAAGCATATCTCCCTTACCAACCTTGGATTTGTTCAAACAATTCAATTCTGTATTTTGAATCATCCAAATGATCAGCAACTGATTTCCTAACGTCATCAACCATTGATCCATGTGCACAAGAAGCAATAGCCAATGGAGTCACTGTTTCCTTGATTTCTTCACCAATAATTTGGTAAAAGTCAGGTCTGTATTCTCTAAATTCAATGTGACTCAATTGCTTTCTAAGTTTAACGATGTAATCCTCCTTTTCATATGAATCTGATTTCTTTTCTTGTTCTTCTTCTTGTTCCAATTCATCATCAGTTAAGGCGGTTTCAATTGGTTCAGTCAATCCAACATGTGGTTGAGTCACGTAAACAATTGGTGTAATTGATGGCAAGTCCTTCAATTTTTGTAATTCTTGATAAAACCATTCCAAGCTACGGTAATGACGAATGACCCAATAGAATTTAATTGATCTTGATTCTCCAAACTTTTTAGCAATTGAAGTAGCTTCGTAATAAAGACCTGGAATACCATTTCCTCCAGCAACAAATACACTGGATTCAAATCTATTGATAGCAATTGGGTTACCATATGGACCTTCAACGGAAACCTTGATCGAAGCAGTTTGACTTGGTTGTTTGGCCAAGTATTGATACAATCCATGTGTCATACCTCCTTTAACTTTCAAGTAAAAAGTGATGGTCTTGGTCTCAACCACCGAGTCAATAATGGTAAATGGATGTGATTGCCAGAAACAAGTAGGTCTCATAAAATGAATAAACGCGTGACAACCAGGGAATGGAATCCACCAAGCTGGTCTAGAAACAGTGACTCTAACGGTTTCATTGGCAATTAATTGAACTTGAGCTGTATGCAAACCAAATGAAAACAATCTACCAAGACGAACAACATGATCAAATACCCAAACTGAAACAGCAGCAATCATCCAGTAATCGAAACTTAGAGGTTTAGTATGGAGCCATAAACCAGCAATGGCAAAGACTGCCAAGATAATATGACCCATAACAAACACTTCATAGTTGTTTCTTCTGAAAAACATCAAGGATTGGAAACACATTACACCCATGGCAACAATGGAAACGGTACCCCAACGAACATAAGGTTGTTGAAATCTGGATACATATTTTCCAAGAATACGTCCGTTATAGGTCATACCAACAGCATGAGCAATCGACATGATGAAGACAATTCTTGACATCCATTTGTGAATGTAGACAAATCTAGCATATGGCCAGCCACTGACCCATTGCATGAAATTGTTTCTGCCGGCAAACAACACCAATGGCGGCATCAACCACATGACGATTTGTCCGGTTCTATCAGCAACTTTTCTTCCAATTTCATTAGCAGTGTCTGGCCAAATATAATTAGGTACAACGTGGACATAGTTGGTACAGCACATAGTCAAAGCCATAGCAAACCATCCAACGACAATCAACGACTCCAATCTGGTAGGGAACATAAGTACCAAGTACTTGAAAACAACTTTGTGGTGGACATGAGTCTTGTTGAACAATGCTGGTAAAGTCAAATATTTACGGAACGCATTAACCAACTTACCTTTAAAAGACTTGATGAGTGATGGGAAAAGGAAGTAGCACAAGTTGACGATACCAGCGATAAACAAAACACCAAACCAATACAGCATCAAAGCAATACCAAACCATTGGGCATAGTTGTAGTTGTACCACCTTGTAGCAACGGCATCATAAGCTCTATCAACCTTCTTTTGAGTTAACAAAACTGGTTTGTAGTATAATTCCGACTTGTTGAACCCCGTTTCAGCAGTAGTATTAACAAATCCAAAATCAGTGGCATTTTGCAAGGCAGCGTAATATTGGTCTTCAGTTAAATTCTTCTTTTTACAACTGGTAATAAACAATTTACGCGAGTTTTTGTTTTTGTAATTCATCATCATCTCAATACACTCAGCCATAGTACCCAAGGCTGGTTGATTGTTAACATCACAGTATCCATTCTTCGCAGTGCTGGGGAAAAATGTGGCGGTCTTACCAATGATACCGGTACATGCTTGAACTGGGAAATCATCAGCATGGTAAATTGTATATCCATCGTCACTTGCATTAACTGAGACTAGGCATACTGAAAGTAATGCAAATAATGATTTACTAAAGGACACCATTATTATTGAATTGTTGTTTTCTTTCTCTTTTGACCCTTGAACTTGGATGCTTGATGGCTCAATGAAGTTGCAAAAAAAAAAAACAAAAAAACCAAAAAAAAAGGAAACCAAATCTAAGGAAAGGAAAAGGAATTGATTAGAATACGAAAATTTTGACAGAAAGACAAGGGAGACATTGTTGAATATATATATGTTATCGGTTACATCTATCTATTCCAGCCAGAGATACTTTTGGGTGTGCATTGTGTGTAAAAAAATATAAAAAAAAAAAAACCAATACATTACTTGTTTAAAGTTTAGCTATTTTGTGTAATGGGGCTTTTTGGTTTAGTAAATTATTTTTAAACAAAGGAACAGACCTGTATGTAAGCATATAAAAACAGACATTTATTTTTTGTCCTTCACTTTTGCAATAAATTTCATTTGACAAAAACCCCCAACACAATACAATTGGGGAATATTAATCTCTTGTTTATTTGTGTAGAGGCTCATTACAAAAGTGAACAATCTTATTGGGTTTATTACCCTTTCCATTATTACAGAATGGGAGTGCTCTTTGGCTTATTGTTTGCCTAGCGATCTCTGCAAGTTCTAGATCAAACTTTCGAGTCGATTGAATAGATTATGTACCGGACAATGAAGCACCGGGTGGAATATAATGTAAACGTATGCAATGTGAGGTGTATATTACCGAGTATCTTATGCTTGCGAAACATAATATACCCTGCACAAAGTATAGTCCTTTTAATCCTCAGTTCTTCTTCAATTCATCCATTTACTCATGGAAGGTCTCGTGGGTTACAAGTTAAAGTCCATTGACCAGCGCTTCCTTAGTGAGCAACGTATGCCAACCCAAAATTTCTTGGCTCCGTGACAATAGTAAAGGGCCAAAAGTAGCAGCTTTCGGAATTGGAAATGTTATTTCTTTTGGCGCTTAAACGGCATTCCTGAAGAAAAAGATATCACAAACGAACTAAAAAAAACGTCTGGGAAGAGTTACATTTCTTTGTTGGTTACAAATTTAGCGAACATGTAGCATTGTTGTTGATGGATTACCGTAAGGAGGGCTGTTATTGGCTACAACTATGTCAAAGCATAACAAATACGAATAATGGCAGTCTCCACAGGTATGGATTTTTAAGTTAAATCATTCCTTTTTCTTGAAGTTCTATAGATTGTCTGCGCTTTGCCGCCCAATAAAAATACAAAAGAGAAAAAAATTTTTAATTTCGATTTTTGTAGTGGTTTTTTTTATCTGATCAAATCAATCAAAGGTTTTATTTTTTTTTTAAAAAAAAAATAAGTAACACACACTTTTCTATTAACCTATTGTTTTTGTAGATTCTCCTGTTATTCTTTCTCTCTTTCTCACTCTCAATAATTGAACTAATTTTAAGTACAATAGAAAGTACCATAACAATAGGCCAATTTATACCCTATTGTTTTTGCTTAAATTAACTTAAATGAGTAAATATAAGATCCCTTATTGGCTACAGCCTTCTACTTTCTTTTTATAAAAATGCTAAATTTACCGCTGGTTTCTCTGCTTCCTTTTCATTTCGCCTCATCGTAAAGCGTGGTTGGATATTTGAGAAAGCGGAATAATTCCACAACTACACAAAGAACTAAAATATGACAGGTGGTTAAAAAAATGAGAAATAGAAAACAAAACAGTGTCAGCATTTATTCCGTTTAAAATTTTGTGCCTCACAAGTCAACAAGTGAGGTTGGCTGGTTTAACTGAAGCTCCAAGTACCGTTCACTAGCTGGAAGTTGTAGAGTTGTAAATGTGCTTGCGTAAGCAATCAAGGGGTAATCAAATTTAACTATTTTTTGACAGAATATTAAATTAATATCCCTCCCTCCCCCTTTGACTAAAGATTACACTATACATTAAAAGCATAAAACAGTTTTGGGTGGCTTAAAAAATGTTTTTATTTTTTCTTGTTCTTCTTGCGTCGTTGGAGAGAGAGTTACGAGCCTATTACCTTCTTGTTCAGCCAAAGTTCCATCAATACCTGTTCGTCCAATTAAATATGTAAATAAAACCGTGTCAGACATGTCTGTGTGCCGCATCAAGAGGAAAAAAATCAGTCAGACAAAAAAACTTTAAAAACAAAGGGAATATATAATAATGGTTTGCATTTGTGTAATATAAGCAATACGTTTTATTTTTTTAATCAATTTAATCAGAGACTAATTTAACACTAAAATGAAGAAACAGTAGCTACCCGCCATACCTTTGAACCAACAACAACAACAACAACAACAAAAGTTTCTTTATTTGTAAACAATATGTGTCACTGTTCAACACATTAACAATCATAAGTTCGTAACCTCAAAGTCTTTTATTATTAATCAATTACTAAAAGAAGGTTTCTTTTTGTACCAAGTGAAACTCTGTTGCCAGTACGTAATTAGAATGCCAAGATAATACTATTTTTCCGTTAAGGTTAAGTATTGACATATTTTAGTGTTGCGTTTGGTAAGCTTTAACCGCATAGCGGGTGTGGAAGGGGAAAAAACTTGAAAAAAGGAATTACTGGTTAATACACACGAACGCAAGAGCGATACCGCGGAGTTGAAATTAAAAAAACATTTTTTTGATTGGTTTATCTGTCCTGTGCGCTATGCATTGAAGCTAGCTTTGCTGATTTCTTTTAGTTTGGGAGGGGAGGATGGAAGAAAACGTGCAGGTTTGGGCAAAGAAATGCTGACAACTCAAGTTATCCAACAAACTTTGTCGTAATCTATATCTTTAGATGTCTATTTTTAGAAGCTATTAAGTAGGTCAAGTAACAACCAATACTTTAAACTTTGGTACATACTTTTGTGTTTGAAGCAGTCCTGTAAAACGTTGAAGAAAATTTTGCTTACTGATCGAATCAGATAACTTCTGTTCATCATCTCTTCCACAAAAAGGAAAAAACACTGGAATGCAATTGTCGTCTTTTGTACTTGTCACGATAATACAATTTATGTCATTCGTATTTTATCACTTCAGCTGGAGTTCTCTCGTGGTTACTTGCGAACTGTACAAGGCGTGAATGGGATCCTTCTTCTTTTCTCATATTTACAAGAATCGTTCAACATGGAAAAGAACTACTATGTAACATTTTCTGTTGTGATGTGATAAAGCTGCAGCCTTGATGCAAGAGGTATACAATTTGATCAATATACTCACCGTTTACAGTTCAGATGAGATTGTACGTAGATTCAAGCTGTTATAAGTAGTGAGATCTCATATATCGTGGGGTATGAGTTAGTGTGACAATAGATAGTGAAGTCATCGAGTGATACCAATACCCAAATATAGTTTTACCAGAAAATAACATCCTCAGTGAACATAAAACTTATACTAATAGTGCTATATTTTTATTTATTTGGGACTATAAGTGAACTTTCCCAAATCTAGTGATTCTATATACAAGAGAGTGTTGGTATTGTTATTGAATAACTGAGTTTGAACCTTGCAAAATCTTCTTCAACATCATCACTGAACCATCTCCGCTTTCAACTCCAATTTACCACTTGGAACCGCTGACAATTCTCCATCCGAATATGCTGCTTTGAAGAACGAATAATGTAACACAACATCATCGATGCTCCTCATGTTTGGATCCTTAGCAAAATCGGGATCAATGAAAAAGAAAACGGGCATATCAACCTCTTCACCAGCACTTAATCGTTGCTCCTCAAAGCAAAAACACTGGATCTTGTTGAAATAAGCAGCAGCATTTTCCGGGATGATTGAATACGTAGCCATCCCTATAATATCCTCCTTACTCATATTCTTGGCGCGATAGAAAGCCAATGCAGTTTCTCCGGGGACAACATAAACTTCACGTTGCAAAGGAGTAAACTTCCAGGGTAAAACCCCCGATGACTGACAAGTAAATTGCACTCGGATACGCTTATTGGTATCTACCGGAATCAATTTATCAGGTGTGAACCGTGAACTATCAGTGATTGGAATACCACCCCATCCTGTACGTTGACAGATAGCACGATATACGGGCACAGCACAAAATGCCAATGCAAGAAATACTATGCCTAGTGAAGCTGTGTAATATGTTGCAGTTCTGTTTTTGAAGCGCTGGCGTTCTTCTCTTTCTTGTGTGAGTTTATCAATACGAGCTCTCTCAGCCTCAAGTTTGGCCTCCTTATGTAAATGCGATTGGTCCTGTTGTTGATCCTGCTGTTGGTTGTGTTGGTTTCGGATGACTGATTGATGAAACTGACGAGCAAAACTGGGTCTGAAAAGTGGTTTACAAGGTCTTAATTTAGCCATTTGAATAGCCCTTAGCCCGATAGTATGTAGTCTTATAGCCCCAATCATTGTGTTAGTGGAGTTGTAGAGGTTTTCTTCAATGATGGGGACCTTTACAATGGAGGAAAAAAAAACAGGCTACATTTTGATGAAAGGAAAAAAAAAATTATCAACGGTTTTATCCATCACCATTAACAAAAGCCGTTTTTCAACAATGATATCGCGATCACTTATACGAACCCCACGTCGGGTCCTTCTCCTCAGATCGAAATTTATCAGAGACTATTCGACAATTATACCCGACACTACTATAAACCCACCGAAGCCGAAAATATCCCAATTTGGTCATGCAATTTTCAATACCCTCACAATTTCGTTAACTACATATCTACTCTTACATACATTATGGACTAACCTAGAGTACAAAGAAGTCGAGACAGATCTAGTGGCAAAATCTAATGATTTAGAATCACAAATACAAACTATTGTTACAGAGTTGAAACAACAAGAACTTAACAAACGAAAAAGTTGGCTTGGAAAGTTAAAGTTTTGGTAAAGTCCGCATTCTTTGAATCACTCTCCGTTCTGCCCATTCTGTTTAAATCTTCCAGCTAATTGTGCAAGACGTGAATTCGAGCCCGGGCCCGAGACTGATCCAGAACTCAACCCTGACGTTTGCCTGAATCCTGGTTCTGCTCTGGGTGATGGTGATTGCGAAGGTGAAACAGGTCTCGAATTTGGATTGGAGTTGATGTTCAACCCTGGCGTGCTTTCTTCTTCATTGGATCTATTTCCCATAAGATTGGCAAAGTTCCTACCCGAAATTGAATGTGAAATTGAATTCATGGTGTTGGAGCGTTGAGGTGATTTATGGAAACTTGCACTGCGTGCCAATTTGGCATCTTCTCGTCCTTGCATCTTGCTTATCAACTGAACACCCCTCTCAAACTTTATGGAGCTGAAGTTTCTTGTCCTATAGGTGTTATTGTTCAAATATTCTTCATAGTTGTCCAATTTCAATAAATCGACACTTTGTCTCAATTCAGAAAATGTAGATTCAATTGAAACATTACCCTGCGAAGCATCCATTGCCTCCTCTTCTGGGCTGCCCAAACTTTGCACTGACTTTTCAAGATACTTGATGTCCAAATCAAAGTTGTCAATAAATGTGGAATTGTAAGTTGGGGCATCGTGTAATATCCCCAAAAAGTATTGAGAAACAAAGTCATAGGCTCTAAACAACCCCAAAGTACGCAATTGAGGTGACAAATTTTCAAAAATAGATGTAAATAAATTTTCCAAAAACATAGCAAAGTCTTTGACAGAAAAATTGGCCTCGGAATTGCGCTCCAGTTCCTGTGGTGTATAATCCTCGTATTCTACCAAATCCAATAACTCCTGCAACTTTGTGTCAACCATTTGGTAAAGAGTCTGCTCTGAAAACTTTTTCAATTTGGTAAATGTGTCCACTGCTCTCAAAGTGAACGAACCATTGTTGTCAATATTGTTTATCCCCATACCTGTTTCTTTTCTCAATTCACTATTGAGAAGCTTACCAATCTTCTCCAACCCCACGAGATAGTACTCCAAGTTGACGAAACTTTGAGCAGTGACCTCTTTATTTGTGGAATTTTTGCGTATAAAATCTTCCATCTCCCATGCTATTCCAAAACCCTTGTTCTGGCCCAAAAATTCTTCAAATATGTCATTCACGATAATATTTATTATTTCATTGGTTTCGTAACCGTAATGATCTGCAATAAACTTTAATGTTCTGGACATTAGTCTCCGTAAAAGTTTACAAAATGTGACGTAATCTTCACTAAATGGAAATTTGACAGGAAATCTATCACCAACTTTTCTAGGTGCAAATGGTGCGTTGTCATAATAAAAAATGCATTTCATGACATCCTCATAATCCTTCCTACCAACTTGCAATGAGGTGTACAACTCTTTTTGCATGGCTCCAACATATTGCTTTCTGAAGTCTTGCACAATCAATGGAGCAAAATAGTCTTTGAAAATGATCATCAAGACTTCATAAAGATCGCCAATATAGTATTCGTTTGAGTCCATGATTTGAATAAAATCGCCAACAATTTGCTTAAATACATGCAACTCTCGAAGGTCATAATAATCATTCCTCTTCAAATTGTATAGCAAAACAGGCTTCAACTTGGAGACATAAGAAATCCATAAATCATCTGCCTGCGTATTTGTACGCAATTGGAATTTTGTAATCAAATTCAACTGTTTATCCATTACAAAAAATGCGGCAATCTTTCGTAAATAGTCTTCCAAGTCATTGTTGCTGAAAATGATCTCCTTCTTATTGGCAGAGGCTGAAGTGAGGGGATAGATGATTCGGCTATATTTTTTCATCCACTCTTTGTAGTATACGTCTCTAAGAGTATCTAACTCGTGCAAAGTCTGATACACTAAAATCGCGTCATAAACATTGTCCAACTGGATATTCAATGAGCTATCTTCAAAAACATTATAATTTAGTGTCGGGTTTCTCAAACTCAACTCAACCGGTGAGTTCAACTTGTATGGTTTATATATTTCGTTTTTCTTTGTTTGCGCTAACCATATATCCAGTAATTGATAAAGATTTTCATAGATATTGTCACCCGCGGCCGACAATTTCTTTTCCAAATTTATTGATAACCACCTGGTCAAGTTTTCAAAAGAATCATCCTTGATCATCTTGGTTAGATGCGGTGTTGAAGCCACAATCTTCTTGGCAAAGCTAAACTCTTCGACTTTCTGTATATGGATATTGGTCATTTCATCAATCAATTTCAATGCCAGAAAGTATTTCGTTTGTTTTATCAAGTCCAATATTCTATTCATCAATTCCAATACTTGAATACATTCCGTCAACACCACATGAGTTTCGTTGATTCTATTGCACACTTCTTTGTATTTGATATAGTTTTTCTTTCTTGTTATAAGCTCATATGCAGACTTGTTTAAGCCCTGGTTCACAGTAAGGAACTGGCTGTTCAATTCATCCGCACTTCGGTGTATACTGGCAATTGTGTTCATGCATTGGTTAATCTCGTCCATCGAGTCAATGGAAACTTGATTCAACTCTTCATCTTTCTGATGCACTATATCGTTCAACTTGGTTATCAAATCATTCAAACCATTCAGTTTGACTGCATTTTTGATTATTGGGGCAAGGCTATCTAGATAATCATCTGAATTTAACGATGTCTGAAATATTTCTTCGTCTCGAAGTAGCAAGTTTTCCAATTGGATGCTATCCACCGCTTGCTTCTTGTCATTGGCATCTTTAGCTGTTGCTGTCTCACTATGACCATTAGATATTGGTACACTACTTCTTGATGGAGCCATAGTGGTCGCGTCTTGTGTTGTGTTATGGTTGAGTTATTTTCGACTGGTGTTCACGAACGGAAATTGTGTTGATTTTTTTTCCTTTTGCAAAACGTAGGACCTTGCGGATCAGGATTTAGTTGATACACTGGTACACTGGATTTGACCAACAAATCTAAGTGAGCTCTACTCCAGAGCTTTGTAGGTGGATATTATCTGTTTGGAGAGTACAGTATCATGGCTATACTCTGCAACAATGGTGTACACAACTTGTGTTTATAGTAGAGCTGTAGAATGACTATATCGAATATCAATCAAAATAATGCGTCCCTTCCTATGTCTGAGATGAGGGTTATATGTATCCAGTTAGCAGTCGTCTTCCACCGTTATTTGTAAGATTTCAGCTTAGTTCTTGTCATTTTAGAGGTAATTGGCGCGTATTAGTTTACCAAATTTTGTATCTTCTCTGCTACATTCAAACGCCCAATCCCAAACACGTCTATTATCAAATGTTACCTAACCATGTACTTATTATAGGTCCCCCAAATAGCGGCAAATTGCGTATGGCTGACCTTATTCTGAAAAGCGATCCAGCTTCTACGAGATCTGGAGTGAATGATGATTCACATAGCGGGATAATCCAGATGACCTCATTCTCCACAAAGTACTACACGGTAGATTTGAAACTCATGATCGACGAATACCCATCCAACCGCAACTACTCCGCCTACGAAGAATACATAAAAGAGTTACGAGATTGGAAGGATGAGTTTTTGGCTGAAGAGGCTGAAGAATTAAGAGAAGTGCTTGACGGAATTATATTCACGATCAATATGAACTGGGACCAATCCGACTTCCTACCTTTGTTGTTGAATGAAATAGATGACATTCGAGCTAGAGTAGAACAAAATGGTGATTGGGATGGATTTTGGGCTGTTGTCGGAACTGTGCCAAGTGGAGAAAGCGCAGAACTATTCAAAATGGATGGAATTGAAGATGAAGTAATAACCCACGGATTTGAATTCATTAATATGGAACAAAGTGGTATCAATGAACACCGAGAGCGAATGGGAAGAGATAGACTACTAGAATTGTTTGAAACACATGACTGGACCAATATGGAACTAATCAGGCAAGATCAAAACCAGTATCACGACAACAAACTCAACAAGTTAAAAGAGATGCATACAGGCTTGTTGGATGAGAACAATGTTGATTTGGAACAAATGTTTTCCAAAATCAACTTGGCAAAAGAGAAAGCCAGCAAGCTACCACAAGCTGAGAGAGAACAGTATGCAAAAGAGCTTGTCGATGAATTTATGGAGTTTATATAACTTATAATTTTGATGAATCTAATGTGTACTCAACGTTGTAGCCGGGATTGAAATAGCACTCTTGACAATCTTCATCTGCGACACCATTCTCGTGTATAAAAACTGCAAAATCCAAGTGGGGGATAGTCTCGTCAATCACAACCATTGGTGCATGCCATATTCCTGCACCGTATGTGATAGATTGGTTTCCTTTGCATATAAAAGCCTTGATTTGAGAGGGGTTTGGTAACTGCTCAGAAGTTGATTCGTCAGTTTTAGCCACAATGACCAAATAGGATAATTTCGCCTTATCCTGCCCCATAGGTACAAATGTTTGGGTGCTAAATGGATGTCTTTCCAAAACCTTCGATAAATAAACGGCTTTTGATCCACCGTGCTTGATTAAATGTTTTGGTGCAGTACACCGAAAGATGTTCCAGTTAGCCGTTTCTTTGGCACCACTAGGTGAGTTGTGAAAATTATTGACAACTGGAGCCACTTTATGTAACTTTATAGCTGTACCGTAGTTTGCTTCTGATTTCTGGACATTTTGAAATTGATGATCTGCACTAATGACACCACCGTAGGGTGCAAATGCCTGAGGAGTTAATGGTGTAGCAACAATTTGTTGCTTGTTATCCAACTGAAAAGTTTTAAGGGCCATGGTTAAAGAAAGATGTCGAAGTTGTGGGGATTTTTCAATTGAATTATTGTTATCTCAAAGTATTTATGGAGATACCCGAAGAAGAAGGGAAAGAGAGAGCGTGTAAGTCACGTGCAAGGTGTTTAATATCCGTGATCACAAAGAAAGAAATTTTCCATAACGAGAGATCATTCCATTATTTTACCGTTTAATGTTTATATTGCCTTCAGTTATCCAATTTACCAACACAAAAACATTAGCTTAGTCTATAGCTACCACACACACACACACACTACACTTGGGGTGATATATTTACATACTACCCAATATGGCTGGATTCCCCAATCTTCAACCGAAGGAACCAAAGAACAAGTCTCCTAATGATGATGACAATGGTGGTGGTGATGACGAGACTCTTATAGATGGGTCTTTCAATAAACCGTCGCAGTTAGTGTATATTCCTGGTGAGAGTCACTTATCCCATGACGGGACAACTTTACTTGATGGCGTAGAAGGAAGTAGCTCGTCAGATGCTACACGAGGAATGGCATTTCAGAATCATCAGCATATCAATGCCTCATTGCAACAACTTAAGTATAACGACAACAAACTATCATTGGATAGATCTATTAATCAGACCATCGAACTCATTGATGAAATTATAAAAGAGAATAAAGAGCGGCCTGTTTTCTACCCAACTGAAATTGAAGACGGATCAAAAATCTTGTTGAACAGTGCAAAGGCACACTTGGGTTTAGTGAGACAAAATTCAAGCATTAAGCAGTTGGCAAAACAAAAAATTAAGGAAGAAGATGTTATCAGTAAGGAATTACCAGAATTTAAGATTTTGAAAATCAACATTCGCGGCGGCCACGGCGACGACAATTTGGTTTCGAACTTGGACAAGAAATCCATAGCTGCATTATTGGAGAAGAAACTCCATGGGCAAACCAAATACTTGCTTAACTTGAAAGAAAGAGTCGACGACACTTCGTCAAAAGTGTTTGTTACAGGAGATTTGAATGCAGGAAAATCCACCTTCTGTAATGCCCTTTTAAGAAGGAAGCTCCTTCCGGAAGATCAACAGCCATGTACATCTGTTTTCTGTGAAGTTATTGATGCTCAAAAAGAAAACGATGAAGTCGAAGAGGTCCATGCTATTCCTATAGAGAAGGAGTACAAAAAGACTGATGAATCTACGTATGAAGTACATCCGCTACTGGAATTAGAAGACTTGGTTTATGACTGTGACAAGTACAAGTTATTAAAGGTGTATGTGCTTGATAATCGTTCCTTCCAAGAGAGTTTGCTCCGTAATGGAGTTATTGACGTGAAGCTAATTGATGCGCCAGGGTTGAATATGGACTCATACCAAACAACCCAAGTCTTTTCACGTCAAGAGGAGATTGATTTGGTTGTTTTTGTGGTTAGTGCCGAAAACCACTTTACCTTGTCAGCCAAAGAATTCATTGCTGCGGCTGCTAATGAAAAGAGGTATGTTTTCATAGTTGTGAACCGATTTGACAATATAAAAGATAAGGAAAAGTGTAAAAAGAGAATTTTGGATCAGATCAAGAACCTTTCACCTGATACATACAAGAATGCAAAGGAGTTTATTCATTTTGTAAGCTCTACTGAGATTAATGGAGATGGAGGAGGTGGAGGAGGTGACGGTGACGATGGTGACGGTGATGGCGATGATGATGGCGACAGCAATAATAACAATAACCCCGACCACCCAGACTTTGATCTCCTTGAGGCTTCATTAAGAAAGTTTCTTTTGGAGAAGCGATCAATATCAAAATTGCTACCTGCAAAAAGCTATCTTCTCAATTTGTTGCATGATTTGCAAACGTTGAGCAAGATCAACGAAAAAATTTATAATGACGAAAGACAAGATAAATTGTTGGAGCTTAATAGCCTGGTTGCTCCAAAAGTTGATGAGATTATTTCAAAGTCCCACAAAATTGCCGACACTATCAACTCGGTTATTGAAGAAACATGCACTCAAGTGTACAACGGCACCACCCAAGAAATGGTTACTGTAATTGATAATCTAGGTGATAAGCCAGTCGTTCAATATGAAGGATTGCAATATCTTTTTGAGTATGCAAAGGAGTCACAGTTGGCATTGATGGATGTAATTTACGATTCCGTATTGAAAAGCGAAGAATTAGCAAAGCAAGTAACTGCAGCAAAAGTTGATGAAATCACAAAATATGGTAAAACCACATTGGGCGAGGAGTTTCTCAACGACAAGAGATTCAATTCTGAGTTGATGTTCTCTAGGCTTAAGGATGATATTGGAAAAAACATTGAAGATACTGTTGAGGTGTCTGATTTCTTTGATCCATCAGTCGACTCATTCTTGGTATTTGTTGGATTGCCTGAACACTATCTAAAGGCTACGAAGCAGCAAATATCATACTTTAACCCTGTTTCTGTCATCACTTCAATACCATCCAATGCGGTAGCATTGAAGGAACAATTACCCACTCAATTGACTTTGCACACAATTTATTCATCGGGTAAGCTTTTGACGACGGGTGCATTGATCAATAGATTGTACCACTTTAGTAACTACGTGACTCCCAACACAATCAAAAGAGTTGCAGTTCCTGTGCTTATTGGAGTTTCGGGTATTGCCATTTACTACCTTATAAGTGATATTCCCAATGCCTTATCCAGAAAGCAAGCTAGAAAGATCAAAAAGAAGATTCAAGAGATGAACTATGTTCACAACAATTCCATACGTATAGCTGGCGAATGTCGACAAGTATTGAACTATCCTTCAAGGCAAGTTATGAATAGTTTCCAAACTAGTATTGACAAGAACTTGTCGCAGAAAAAGAAATTGGAATCTTACATCAAAGACGCGGAAATCAGTTCTGGGTTCTTTAAGCAATTGTTGATGAAAGTTAATGATCAACAAAGGGTTTTGAAAGAAATTGATTTGGAGAGTCTCAATTTTGTTGATTAAGGCCGCTGCCACGATATGTTTATATAGTTCTTGTATATATGGATTACGAATTGTCTCATTTTGTATATCATTTAGTAGAACAGTAGATTGTCAAAAAAGGTTGCCAATAACGATTAGTTTGCACCTTTGATTTAGACGATACAAATTTGTCAACTTTACACGACCTATAAATTGATTAAAGTTGAAACGGAGCGAGCGAAAAGTTCACCACTTTAGTAATCTTTAAGCGTCAAAGGGCTGTATAACTGCAACTGATACTCGAATCAATCAAGTTTCCTTATACAATTTTATACGTCATCCCTTGTTGATATTAATCGAGCACGTCTACTACAAGGTAAAAACAATATCTCCTTCTTAAGTTTTCCATTGTTCATTTACATTTGCCTTTCTTAATCACATTATGTCAAATACAGAAGCTAGCAAGTTATACGAAACTATAATAGAGGATGTGATATCCGATTCGCGTCAGGATTTTGAAAACATGGGCATTGATGAAGCCACACTACAGGAATTGCGCAAGATATGGTGCGAAAAATTGTCGCAATCCAAGGTCGGTAAATTTTCGTGGGACGAGAATGACGAATATGGTGATGAAGAGCCTGCTTTGCTAATAAGTAATAACAACAATGATAGTAATAATAATAATGATGATGATGCAAGCGAGGGTATTATAGTTAAAGAAGAGTCAACATCGACATCGCAGCTAGGAACGATTGACAGCAATGTGCAAAACGGTGACGTTGCAGCTTCTGATGTGTTGAGTTATAATAATGATTTAGGTATAGAATTGCCATCAATCAAGAAGGAGCCTACTGAAGATGCCTTAACGCTCCCGTCACTACCACAAACTGATGGTACTTTTGAGATGACATTACATGTAAATAATCCAAAACAAGTACTCAAGCAGCTACAAAAGAAGGCCACGACGAAAAAGGCCCATCTGGATTTTCACCAAGTTGATGGGTCATTAGATGACGACGATGACGATGACGATGACGATGATGAAGATGGTGATATTTTCAATGATTCAGATGATATAAACTCCGATTTAGATGATGACTTAGAGAGCGAAAAATCTGACGACGAAGATGGTGATCAAGAGGGACAAATTATGTTGTGCTTATATGACAAGGTGCAAAGGATCAAAAATAAATGGAAATCAAACTTGAAAGAAGGCATTGCAAATATTGACGGCAAGGACTATGTTTTTCACAAAGCTACAGGTGAATGCGAGTGGTAAAAGAAGTACATATAAGAACAAATTTTTCTCGTATCGTATGTATATATTCACTTTTTAAATACAAAAAATAGTATCATTTTAATGTATTTTAAAAATTTGGTATATGAAGGTCCAATACTTCTCTGTTTGAATCCAGGATCGGTTTGCCGTTTTCGAAAATACATTCAAAATCAATCAAAATCGTACTCAAAACCTCAAGACTAATATTCAACGTTGGAACAAACACAATACACACATTCCGCAAGTTCATTCGATTGATTTGATTTTGGGAAATGATTTGCCTGAGGAACTTGAATATGATATAAGACAAATCGTAATTGATTTTGTCGATATTGTTTGGATCATTGAGGAAGTCACGGAAGATAAATGCAATCTGTGATGGAGACAACGACTGGGCATTGTTGAGCATAATGTGATTCAAATGGTTGTAAGTGGATGCACCTAGTATAGGATTCGGTAATTCTCGCAAATACGTCTTGAACAAGCCAGAAACGGTGTTTATATCAGGCCTTAATGGTGTTTGGAATAAGTCCAAGTCAAACTGCGTATTAAAAATTTCCTTCAACTGTCGAATAGTAGATGCCGAGCCACTCAATCGGAATATACCTTCTTCAAAAACTGCACCTGTTTTGTTCAAATAGTCCAAACAACGGTAGCAGATGCTGGGTATTTCGCGACCCATATATTCATGTCGCGATAATTCATAAGCCTCTTCAACATTTCGGCCAAAAATGGATTTGGCAATATCGTTTCCAATGTTCAAGTCATCAAGATACTGCTGTACCGAGTTGTTTGAGTTTTGATTGAACACAGGTGGCTGAGGAGGGGCGTAGTATCCATTGCTGGGTGGTGGCGTATAATTTGGTTGTTGTGGTTGTGCATATCGAGGATAAGGAAATGAATGTACTTGAGTATCCTGATCCTGCTGTGACTGTGGCTGTGGCTGTTTGCTATATTGTTGTTGCTCATCATTTGAAGCTTCTTTATTCCTAAAGGAGAAATAATTCCGAAGTTTTGACTTCTTGGCTTGGTCTTCACTGGAAACTGAGGCAACAGTAGTATTACTCTGGTCACCCCCATTGTGGCGATTGCCATATGTCGAGTCGTTACTATTAGTATATGTATCATACAGGAATCTTTTATCAAGATCAGTTGGAGTGTCCTGGCTAATGTAGGTGTTGCGGGGCGACGACTCATTCGATTCCAGTGAGGGCTCAGTAAACTCAATCAACGCAGTAACCCAGTCATCTCGTTCTTCATCTGTCTCAGCACAGAAAAAGTGCTTGCTTGCTGTAGAATGCAACTTAGACGCTTTTGCTGACTCCATAATCAAAAATGCATGTCTATATCCCTTGTCTTCGGCCACCGAGTCAGTAGCTTGTCGTCCTATCTGTGCATTTCGTAGAGATATAGACTCTTGAATTGGACCTCCTGGGAAAGTATAAATTTCAAGATAGTGGCTCTCAATTTGACACCACCGCACTTTCCAGCTGTTACCCAAACCTTTGTACCTGCGCACCAAAAAGCCTTCTTTTCTTGACCCACTCTTGAAATCATCAAGTGGATTGACAAAGTCTAATGACAAAAACGTACAAATTTTGTACAAAACCATGCGAGGTATATGAGGCATGACAAATATCGAGTTAAAATACTTTTGCAAAGTCGACCGTCTCTGTTCAATTTTGCTTGGAGTGGTTGATAAGAAGCTCGACTTGTCTGGCAAATTAGTGAGGCCAAAATACTCCACTATAGGTCTTATTTCATAATCAAATGCAGCTAATTGAGCATGAGTTTTGCGAATCCGCCACATTTCCTTATTAGTTTCCCTATCGTTGATCGTCATTGTAACCTTGGGCTCTTCCACCTTTTTGGAAGAATTTTGTACAGTAGACGAAGTGACGTGGATCGTACTGACAACTTTGATAAATATCGTATGAAATTCTTCAGGCTTGATAAACAATGAGGACTCGTCCATTTCCATTTTGGGGGTGTGCAAAACACTGAAACTAGATCCAGGAGTTTGTGGGCTCGAAAGATGAATGTTGTGTGCAGACGATGTTGGTGTTTGATAAGTAGGTCTAGATTGGTTTTGTTGTTGTGACACATCATATGGCGCTGCAAGTTCCTGACTCAGCACTGTATTGGATGCAGAGGTGAATAAATCCGGTCTTGATGGAAGATCATCATCCTCAATCCTCAATTTCGCTGACGAGAACGATTCTGTCTTGCTTTCATTGTCCAAGTCGGGTGTTAATGGTTCCTCTTTGCCAGTGAAGCTAGCCACGGCATTGTTGGGTGGCGTGTTGTATAAGGACACATTGCCACGTGAATCGTTTTTATCATTGAGTGTCTGTTTCAATGATGTCGGTGCTACTAGTTCAGCATTACTCTTTGAGTTCGATAATGTGCGCTGTGATCCAGGTGGTTTGATTCTTGATGATTTGTATGTAGACGCAACGCTACTGTTGCTTCTCCTTGTTTTGTTGTTTTGGGAGTAAAGCTGGGAAGCGGCGGAATTGGCAGTTGTTCCCGTGTTGGATTTTGCTGAATCTGTTGGTTTCAATTCTTGACTAAGCATTGTGCTGTCGTTGATGCTAGAATCTGCGATATCGATAGTGTTGTCTGTGTGTTCAAGTACTATGCCGTTAACTGACACGTTGCTTTGTTGTGCACTCTTTGTAGCTTCTGGGGAAGACAGACCTGATTCCTTTGCGTTTTTGACATCCTCCACTTCTGCATCAATTATGGCTGACGTTGACTCAGATTTCAAGGACCTTTCTTTAGACACTTCAGGCATGAGACGTTCCGATGATTTAGTAGTATCGTCAGTAGATGAAGTTGCCTTTTCTTCTAATTCCCTACCAAGATCGTTCTTAATGTGCCTTCTGCGGGAAGACCTCATTGGGACTTCGTAAGGCGAATTTGTTTGTGCTTTTCCCTGCGACTCTTCGACTTCTAGTGATTTATCTTCAGTTGATGCTTCTTTCTCCTTAATCAGCAAATTGTTTTTACTGTCAGCATGTTTCAACAAGGGAAAATCGTCAATGTTTGGCGTAGAGGCTTGATGAGGCGTTCCAACACCGCTGGAAACTAATGAACTTTCTGATGGTTTCGAAAGCTTCAAGGGGCTCTTTTTTGGGATCGGGGCTTCGTCTTTATCGGGGGTCCTATCTGGTTTTGTTATCTCAGTCGTTTCCTTTGGGGAAATATTGTGATTCCTCAACTGCAGCTGTAATTCTGTAATCGTCTTCAGTTGCGATTCAATCACACTCTTCAACTCCCTATTTTCAAATATTAATTGTTTAATAAACTCATCATCCGATAGTTTTGATCGGTCAAACCGGGAATCCGACGGTGGGTAGTCTGGGTGTGGAGTATGATTTCCTGTCGTCACTGACGCTGAGGATTGACGAGTCCTGTTGATCTCTAAAGGTGGGATATAGGGACTGTTTAGCGTCTGCATTATTCTTTTGTAAAAAATGCCTTTCCTCAGTAACTATCCTGTGCCACAAGTAGTTCTTTAACGTTATAAGCCTCTTCTTGATCGTCAAATGTCTCGTGTGTGAGATGTCTTGACTTTATCTCTTGTATGTGTGTATAGAAATATTGTTGGTGTATATTTATTTTAACAATGAAAATAATATAATGTGGGTATATGAGGTTCTAGGTGTTTATTGTTTTAAATTCGTTAACAACTGTTTTTTCTCTTTTCTTTTTTATACAGGAGCGTGTAGAATATGTCAACTCTTTCACACTTAATAGTACAAATTGTTTTCCCCTTGCAATTAAAGAAACCTTCATAATCATATATAGCTATAGGTTTAGGGACTTTATATGTTACTTGCAAGAGATTGGAGAAACAAAAACAGAAAGGAACCAATTTGCCAACTAAATGTTTCTTTTTTGGAGAGTTTGTTACCGCTTTGGGTAATGTCTCGCAACACGCACATCCTTTTTTGTTTTTTCATTCTGTTCTCACAACCAACCAATTTAGCCCTGGATGCAGCATCGTATTTGTTAGAGATGTTCATCTTCATAATCATCTTTTAGAGTTCTCATTCTTGTGAATCCGCCGTCTATTAAGTTGTCAGTAGAGCTCAAAAGGTTTACATTTAATTTACTTTTAAGGTTTTAGCTGGAATAGGTACACTGGTAGCGCGTTTACCTCTCTCCCCCACACTTAGCCCAGCCGCGTGTGCTACACACTACAAAGGTCTACTAACCAAAATATGCAATCTATTAATTCACTACCTCATACTGTCTTATAGTAGGACCTAGTGTGTCTAACTGGTTTTTTTAATTCTTCGCGATCTTCAGCTCTTTTAATCTTGGGAGTGTCGATGATCCCCACTCCTCCGCCATCCATAAGATCTTTCACCATTCGATTTATCGGCTTGCCGTTAACAACATCTGGTTCCTTTGACTGATCCCTGTATATGTGATTTGCGGGTAAGATAGCATTGGGCATCATGGATCGTCCCAATTTGATAACCTCATTGGCCCAGATTGTGATTTCGCTTTTGGGGTTCTTATAAGGCGTCCAATTTTTCTTGCATCCTTTAACCAATTCCTTGACTACTTGCTCTGATCCCCAGGTATGATTCCACAAAAGATCATCGTCATTGTTTAATCCAATAAGATGGGAGAAAATGCCTGTTGTTAATGCCCCGTCACTATAACCACCCTCAAGAAATGAAATGACTTTCCCTTCGGTGTGTATTTTTGCCAACTTCACCACATCTTTAGTAAATGTGGCATAAAATGATGTTGGTACATTTATTCCATGTCGCTGCATTTGTGGATCTTCATACTCAGATGCATCAAATCCAGCAGATATTATGATTAAAGGTTTGTATGCTGGAGGTGGTGTTGGTTTCTCGGGTTTTTGGTTTGGGTATAGATGTGGCTTTAACAAGTACTTGTTGTACTTGGCTAACTGCGTCAAATACTCCTCACACTCTTGATCATGCTGTTTCTTGGCATTATTTAAAAACTGATTGGCTCGGTTTAAAATCGCCACGTATTTAGTTTGATAGTGTTTATAAAATTCATCTTCAGTCTTCCAATTTTGTAAATGCACATTCCAAATATTTAAATCGTGATCCATGATACATGTTGATGCATTCTTGATATTTTCCTTTGTCGCAAATCCCAATTCCGTCGGATAGGATTTTATATCATGAAGCGAGAAATACCCTACTTTAGGGAACGTGGCGAATCTTTTGCCATATTCGTCGCGCGGGTTCAAAGATGGATCGTCGACTTCATCTTCAGCTTGTTGTCCATAATCTCCAGTAAACCCGGCCCTTTCCCAACAAATATCTTGCGATCCGTCTCCATGATGCAAATCGATGTCCAAAATGGCACAGTGGGTCACTCCATACGTTTCAAATGCGTATTCGATTCCAATCTGTACATTGTTTAATAAACAGAACCCGCTAGGTAGACAAGCGTGACTATGGTGCCCCGGTGGTCGAATCACCACAAATGCCAAATCATGGTTGTTTCTGCTACTTGAACCAATACTTGCTTGAGAAGAAGTTGATTTGTTCTTAAACAAACTATCCACTGCTGTTTCAATAGTCCCAATTACCCCCTCTATCGCATTTATCGTCTTTGGTGTAAGATATATATCTCCTGTATTCCAATCCTCTGGAACCTCGATTTCATCATTATTCAACTTGTCATGACTCTCCAAACAGAGCTCAAATAGCTTCTTGGGCCAATTCTTTCCATGAATTTTTCGTACATGTGAAGCAAAAATGGAGCTTCTCTTTGTAGAGTTGACTAGTTTGTAATAAAAAGGGTACATTGTAATCGCTGAAGCAACACCAATGCAACTTGCTAGTAATCGTTGTGGCCGTTCGAAAATTGTCGACAAGTACGACTTTGTCACCCATTTTCTACCAAATGCGTGTTCAGGACTATATGGTGATAAAATAACCAACGTCTTTTCGGAATTGTGTTGAAATCGAGGAGACTCTTTGTTGATGTGGGGATTTGATGCTATGAAATCACTAAATGTGTGGTGATATTTGATCAATTTTTCATCAATTAGTATGCTGGGTTTTAAAATGTCATGAAATTTGGGGTCGAGTTTTTGCTGAACATAGTACTCTTCTAGTCCAGGTGATCCGGTTTTTTTAAATGCCGTTTTGGTGGGGAGCAAGCTGTACCTTCTATTGGTCTTGAATTTGGGTATTTGCTCTGAAAATTGTTCGTTCTCCTCTAACTCTTCAATGTCAACCATACTCGTAGTGTCTCGAGTATAGTTTACGGTAGAGTTGGGTAATACAGTGTGATCGATGGAAATGTCATTATCTTCGTATTCTGTGGTGCTGGGTTTGATTGTCAAGGTTGTTTCAAATGCCTCGATCAATGAATCCTCACTGTCATTTCGATGATGATGATGGTGGGAGAGTTTATCTCGATGCGACATGGAATTCGAGTAGATGGATGAGATTAATCCTCCTTTTTCTGAGGTTCAAAGCTGTGGCAGGGGATGTAGTAGAACTTTATTAGAAAGAAGAAAAGGCCAAAGATTTGCGTTTATTGGAAATTTGACCAATCCTGATACAAAAGAATGATGCAATTTTTGATCTGGTCGCTGATTACACAAAATCAATGTGGAGGAAATCCGTGACGTTTCACCACCAGTAAAGCAAAGTCTGAATGTATCTAATATAGCTCAGTGCTATTTGGTATGAACGTAAGAAGAGGGTAAAGCTATTTCAATAGGTCAGCCATTGCTTTTTGTCCATCAATTTGATCACAGTGTTTCATTGATATATATATATATAGTTGCTATGTTTTGATCTTTCTCTAAAAGGGTTAGAAAAGAAGAAAGAGAAAGAGAAAGAGAGAAATTTCACAATTTTTCTATTGTCGCGTTCATTGTGAAACTTTAAACTTAAATCCTCTCCCCTCCCTCCTCCCCACCTTTTAACATCCTATTTAAATAAATACAAACATTCACACCTTTCTCTCTCTCTCTTTATGCCAATTCATGATCTACGAAAGATACTTGGTTTAACTTCTTGCAACATCCTTGGCGCTTCACCGACATTGTGTCTCCTCTTTTTCAACACATTTTCAATAAATGCTTCACCAGCTTTGTACGAAGATCTAACCAATGGTCCACTAGCAACATAAAGGAATCCCATATCCAATGCTACATCTCTCCAATAGTCGAATTTCTCTGGTGTCACGTATTCAACTACCTTCATGTGCCTCTTAGTTGGTCTCATATATTGACCAAATGTAACCACATCGCAGCCAACACCACGCAAATCTTTCAAAGTTGATATGATTTGTTCTTCAGTTTCTCCAAAGCCCAACATTAACGATGTCTTGGTGATTAATGAAGGTTTGGCTTCCTTTGCCGTCCTCAACACGGCTAATGATTGTTGGTACGTAGCTCTTCTATCTCTGATATGTGGTGTTAACGCTTCTACTGTCTCCATATTGTGAGCATACACATCTAACCCGGAACCTGCCAAGACTTTAACCATCTCCAAATCACCTCTAAAGTCACCTCCCAAAACTTCAACCAAGATCTGTGGTGCTTTCAATTTTATCTTTTCAACAGTCTCTCTCAAATGATGAGCACCACCGTCAACCAAATCATCTCTGTCTACCGTGGTCAACACAACATAGCCCAATCCCCATCGACTTATGGCTTCAGCGGTATTTTCGGGTTCCATTGGGTCGGGTTTTCCCGGTGCTCGACTAGTCTTTACAGAACAAAATCTACATCCTCTTGTACATGTATCCCCCAATAACATAATTGTTGCTGTAGCTTCTGATTTCTTACCACCCCAGCATTCACCAATATTGGGGCATTTGGCCTCCTCGCAAACAGTTGATAACTTCAATTCACGAACATCCTTTTTAACATTGTGGAAAGACTTACCCTTAGGGATGGGTACTTTTAACCAGCTTGGAAGTTTCGCATTGGGGTCTTTCCTAGCCACTTCTAATGGATCTTCAAGCATATCTTTAGCTTTACCACTTACAAAATCATCAAACGAAGGGCCCGTGTTTAGTTTATCGGTGAAAAACGTGCCCTTCCTTCTTGGTTTTTTGACAGTGGTTGTCTTTGTCGTGGAGACTTTGTTGGGTGCAATCGTAGTGGTGGTGGTTGTGGTTGTGGTGGTTGTGATGGAAGGTGTAGCATCTGTGGCTAACAACCTCAAGGATTGAGTTTTAAGTATAGAGTTAGTAGCTTTTGGAATATTTCTTGATATCATGTTGAAGCAGGTTTGCTTAGTGTATGGAAGTGTTGTTCAATGACTTAATGGTTGCTTCGGAGTACTGTGGGTCTTGGCTCGTCTCATGATTTTAAGATTTTCAGCGAAGAAGATGGTTGGGTGCAGGACTCAGAAGTCAAAATAGGTAGCGTCAATTTGACTCCATTTATTCTACATAGGATACCTGCTACAGATACATGTTCATATCTACATATTGCTACAATACACAAGTTAAATTATACTAAAACATGTAGTTGTCATGAAAAAAAAAATGTTGGACTTTTTGCAACAACCTTATAGTAAACGGTGGATTTCATCATCCTTGAATTGTGACAAGTTATCTAAATTAGACCACCACTTGAACAAGAATGTTTTGCAAATCAATTTAAACCATGGAGTGAAAACTAATGAGTCATCTTCAAACATTTGGTTCAACTCATCAGCACTGACATATTTGTAGTCCTTGACTTCGTTATCATTGGCATTCAATGTTATATCATTCTTGGTTCTCAAAATCAAAATATAGTCAATTTCATGTTCTCCCCATGGACTTCGTTCATCGCCACTAGGAGCTCTGTAATGGATTCTGGTCAAATAAGTAAAATTTTCAATGGGGACATCTTTGAAAGGAATCCCCAATTCATGGTCCAATTTTCTTTGAGCAGCGACTTTGGCACCTTCAACAGCTGTGGCCAAGTCATTGACATCGTTGGATGTAGAACTTATACCTAGTTCGCTTGGCACACATAACGGATGAGAACAACAAGTATTTGTCCACATGGCAGGGAAAGTGATTTTTTCATCAGCACGTTGTTGCAACAAAAGCTTGCCATCTTCATTGAACAAAAACACTGAAAATGCACGATGTAATAATCCTTGATTGATATTGTCCATAATATGGCATAACTTCTTGGTTCCTGCACCAAGTGGTTTATCATTATAGTCTAAAATAATGCACAATTCTTCCTTAAGTCTAATTTGTTCTTCATCGTGGCCATTGAATAAACTTGAATCTTGACTAGCGGTGTTGGACGAATCAGATCCTGCTGATCTGGGAATACCGGAAATTTTCTTTAATGGAGTGATTTCAGACCATTTTTGTAAAATGTCTTCTGGCGCAAGACTGGCTACCAATTTGGCGTAATCTGATGACATTGTGTTGGGTTGGAAATGCATATATGACAAATAGCGCTTGTTGGTGGTTGGCTAGAATATGTAATGTGAGTAGGAGAGATACAGTTGGCCTATCGTAGTGAAATAAGTCTGCCTTGGTTCGGAAGGTATGCTGGAGCTTCGATGTCAATGGACCAAAAGTTATGCTGAGTTTATAAGTTTTCCTTTTTCCCAAAGAGAAGAAAAAAAGAACATAAAAAAAAAGAAATATTCTATAAACGCTTGGTAGCGATGTCGTTTAGCAAAGCTTATACGAGACGCGGCTCATTTAAATATATTACAACCACAATATATGGGTCTCTGAGGGTATACGCTTTTAAGTTACCAATGAGAGAGCACAGATCATTGTTCTTAATGGTACTTTTACAAAGGTATAATTCTCTGTGCGCCACAGTTGTGACAACTTGAACATACGAGGCAACTCTCTCAAGCTTACTAGAAAAGGACCTAACAAGCACTATTCGAATTACTTCAGCTATTTCCTTTCACACCCGCTGCCCTACTCCATATACAATGGACTCTTCTTTTGCACAATGTATAGTAATGAAGCAAGACCAAAGTAAAAAAAACCCTGTGTAAAAGCCCAAGCCGCACCTCCAACTTTTGATCTGTCAATATTTTTATATGCAGTACTGCTTACGCTAATTTTTTTTTTTTCTTTTTTTTTTTCAAATTTTTCAACAACAGTTTGTCTCTCTTAGGCTTTGTTAAAATTTCCACGTAAGAGTTATTGAATGATCTCAACCTTGGTTGACTGCTGGTTTTAACTGAATTTTTTTTATATTTTTACTTTATACACCTTTACTGGGCATATAGCACTACAAACTCCAGCCTTCTATCCTGTCATTAACTTCCTCGTTTATACAATCCCATTTGGTTCTATTTTAAAATAATGTCTGCTGATTCTTCCGCCACTACTGCTTCTTCTGCCAACTCCAAGGCTACTTCATCCAGCCAAAGAAAATTCATCAAACGTCCTGATGACAAAGCTATGAAGGATGAAGTTGAAGCTTTGAAGAAGGAAATCAAGAAGTTGGATTTAACCAATAATGAATTGAATGCTCAAATTCAAAAGTTACAAATTGACCAAAAAGTTATGGATGAAAGAAACAAATTGACTGCTGAATTGAAATCCTTGATTGCTAAACAATCATCCTCCAAGAATGAGAGAAACAATATCAATGATCAAATTAAATCCATCGATGGTCAAATGAAGAAGAAGATTGCTGAGATTCAACAACAAACTTCTAAAAACAACTTCAAGAGCGTTAGTGAAATTGACGCCAGAATTGATGCCTTGGATAAAGCTATTGATGCCGGAAATTTGAAATTGGCTGATGAAAGAAGATTTGTTAAAGAAATGAGTGCATTGCGTAAATTGCGTAAAGATTTTGGTTCAATTGAAAAAATTCAAGCTTCAATTGACCAAGACAAGGAAAAAATTGCTGACTTGAAGAAGAAATTAGCTGGTACTCATAATAAAGAAGTCCAAGCTCAATTTGAAACCATTCAAAAGAAGTTAGATGAAATCAATGATTCGAACAAAACAATCATTTCCAAGAGAAACAAAATCTATGATCAAAGATCAGAAATCAAAAAACAAAAAGATGCCAAGTATGAAGGAATTAGAAAATTGAGAAGTGATTTCGATGCTAAATTTGAAAATTTCAAAAAGCAAATGGAAGAAGAAAGACAAAAGAGAGATGAAGAATACAAGGCGCAACAAGCTGAAAGAAAACAAGCTAAATTGAAACAAAGAGCTGAGCAAGAATTGGCTGATGCTTCAATTCCAGCATTTACCGAGGAAATCAACTCCATCCACAACTTGTTGTCTTATTTTGATCCATCTTATGTCAAACCAGCTGTCACCAGCCAAACCCAATCAGCAGCAAATGGATCTTCATCGGTTCCATCAACCACCAAAAACCAAGCTAGAGTCATTGAATTCCCTGAAGATTTAGTTGTTGTTAAAAAGGAACAAGATGATTTTTTCACCGGAACCAAGAGAAAAGGTAAAGGTGGTAAGAAGCAGGGTGGTAAAAAGAATTTCACCGTTGCTCCTGAAATTGTTGTTGCTTTAAGTGATTTGACTATTCCATTCCCATTGAAGGAAGATGATGTTCCTGAAACAATCAAGACTTTGAAGGAAACTTTGGAAGCTTTACAGGAAAAGCAAGAAGAACAAACCAAAATCAATATTGAAAGAGCCAAGGCCAAGATTGCTAAATTCAAGGAAGAGGATTTTGAGGTTGATGAAGAGGAAGATGATGATGAGGAATAGAAGCTATATAGGAAGTACATTTGAGAGAAAGAAAAAAAAATCATAGAGTGTGTAGAGTAGAATTTTAGTGAAGCTAGTGATAATTAGTGATAATTAGTGATAACTCAGTATAATGGCATATTTTAATAACAAGAGACTTAATTATAGACTGCAAAAATATTCTTTTCTTTGGAAAGAATGAGAGATTGGTAGCAGAAAAGATTTACTTGATGAGCATTGAAAAATTGTGATTCCTTTATTATAACCACACAATTACCACTTTGCGTTGTAAAATATGGCGAAAAGAAAAGCTGATGCTTCGCCAGAGGCAAAATCAACCAAAAAACCAACAAAGCAACCAACGGGTGCTGCATCGGTTTCAATTTGTATCCCATCCGGTGTAATATCATGTAAAAATGCTTACAACTTGCAACAGAAAACAATGATTGCTTATCAAATTGCCAAAGCTAGTTTGATTTATAACGTAGCTGAAATCATTGTATTGAAAGAGCTGCCAATTAAGCAGGAGGAGTTGGTTGCTGAGGCACCTGTAGGTGAAAAGAAGCAAAATGTATCTACAGTTGGGAAGAAACTTGTGTTTGATGAGGATGACACGAGTACAACATCGCAGTCTGCCGAAACAACCCCTTACAAAGAAAGGGGTGATGAAGAAGCAAATGATAACGTTGATGGTTCCAATGACGATAACAGCAGTAATGACGATGATGATGCATTATTATTGGCTAGTCTATTGCAGTTTTTCATTACTCCTCCATATCTAGTTAAAACCATGTTTCTGCCCCGATTAAATCCCAAATTTACCCATATTTTACCTAAATTCAAATATGCATTTAAATTACCCAAGATCCCCAGTTTACCATTTATGCAAAACAACAACGTATATCAAGATTTTAAAGAAGGGATAATCATCCCACGAGAAACTCCCAAAATTAAATCATCATCGCAGAAGGGCAAATTAGTACCATCGCCACATAAGGTCACGGTTAGTAAATATGCAAATATTGGTGAATCAGAAGCCATGAAGTTGGATATTGCTAGGGAAGTGCCGGTTTATTCACGTGTGACTATTGATGTACGAAATAAGACTATTGTTAGTGCAAAGCAGGCGTATGGCGTTAGTGGGTATAAGCTGTCGTTTGGGTATCATGTACGAATGGTGAATGAGCATCAATTTAATAAAGTTTTTACAAGTTCGCCGTTGAGTGATGGATATAGCCAAACGATATTTGTCAATTGTGATGATTATTTCGATAAATGGGGCAAAACGGTGGAAGAAGAGGTTGCCTTATCTCCGACAGAGTTGGGTACAGAGAAGAAGAGTAGTGATAAGAATTTATTGATGATTTTAGGCAATTATGCCACTATTCAACGTAATTTTGAGTCTGATGAGGCTAAAAGTGCCATATTCGAAGGTTTGGATAGTGTGCTGAAGTTGTTTGATTATAGGTTAGATACACCCAAAGGATGCAAAGTTGAAGAAGCTACATTGATCGCATTAACGAAGTTACTCCAATGAGTGGGGTGAAACGATAGGATTAAATAGACAATATACAAATGAGAATGTGTTTCAGTTCATTTTTCTAGGCATATAGAAAGAGGGTTAAGTAAATTTCTATTGGAAACATCATATCTGAAAAAAAAAGGAACCGCAGCAAGTCTAGACCTTTTAATATACGAATCGATAAAATATTTAGCTCTCAGTATAACAATCCAACAATATCTATGATAATACCAGGGGTCTGACTCTAGAGCTCCAAAGCTCTAGAGTAACTTCATATACGTTGATAAGAACATGAGTGCGCATATATAGACGTATATTAGATTGGTAGGAGTCTAATTGCTACTAAAATACAAAGTTCTGGAACTAATTCTTTTAGAGCTACCCAATGTGATCTGTCACTTTTGTTTGATTTTCCAAAAATAGAATTAGTGGGTGTTACATCCATACATACATATACTAGGATTGATGCATTGAGTGATTTGTTTATTTATTTTTTTTCGTTTATGGGCCGACATTGCCTTAATTAGGTAATTTAGAATTATATACAGGAAATAAGGTAGTGTACTATTGGACAATTATACAACAACACACAGGCAAACAGAAAAAATATATTTCGTAGACCGCAGTAGTTTAGTTAAGAGAGCAAAAACATTCAATAAACAATCAATCAATTGAACAAAAACAACAAAACAGAACGAAAGAAAAAGAAAAAGAAAAAAAAATCTTGCAACCCCAAAATCAACAAAAATATATCTTGAGCAAATAGAACCCTTTTTCTTCTTCTTACTACTACTACAACAACAACAGAGTTCAAGTGATACCCCCTCCCTTCTCCACAACTTATTACACCTAAACCACCTCATTCCACTCGTTAAGCCTACACATACACAACTACACTATGCAATTCAACTTCTTAACAGCTTTAGCAGCAGGACTTGCTACTGCCAATGCAATTGGTGATGTATGTATTCAGAGTAACTCCTTTTTTTGTTTTTAAGTTAAAAACTCCAGAGCCACCCATAAGACACAACCTATATCTCCACAATATGTCAAGATGGCTCAGTAGAAGAGGCTTTTCTTTATCTCCAATCATTGTGTACTAACTCCCCTTTCTAGCTTGCATTCAACTTGGGTGTCAAGGACAACTCCGGAAACTGTAAAACTGCTGACGAGTTCAAATCTGATTTGGAATTGATTAAAGGTTCCTCTTCAATCGTCAAAACTTATGCTGTATCAGATTGCAACACTTTACAAAACTTGGGTCCAGCAGCTGAAGCCGAAGGTTTCCAAATCATGTTGGGTATTTGGCCAACTGATGACTCTCATTTTGAAGCTGAAAAACAAGCCTTGCAGCAATACTTGACCCAAATCTCATCATCAACAATTAAAATTTTCCTTGTTGGTTCAGAAGCTCTTTATAGACAAGACTTGACTGCTGAGCAATTATCTGACAAAATCAATGATATCAAGCAAACCGTCAAGGACATCAAGGACAAAGATGGAAACTCCTATGAAAATGTTCCAGTTGGAACTGTTGATTCATGGAACATCTTGGTTGATGGTGGATCCAAGCAAGCTATTGAAACTGCTGACGTTGTTTACGCCAATGCCTTCTCATACTGGCAAGGACAAACCAACCAAAATGCCTCATACTCCTTCTTTGATGACATTATGCAAGCATTGCAAACCATCCAAACTGTTAAAGGATCCACCGATATTGAATTCTGGGTTGGTGAAACTGGTTGGCCAACTGATGGATCAAACTATGAAAGCTCTGATCCAGGTGTTGACAATGCTAAAAACTATTGGCAACAAGCTATTTGTGCCATGAGAGGTTGGGGTGTTAATGTTGCTGTGTTTGAAGCTATTGATGAAGCATGGAAGCCTGACACCTCCGGTATTTCTGACGTTGAAAAACACTGGGGTGTTTGGGATTCCAACAACAAATTGAAATACAGCATTGACTGTCAATTTGATTAAACGTCATTGTCATTTCCTCTTGGAAGCATCTGTCTTTTCAAACCTTGGTTGTGATATTGGCACATGTGTTTTCCATTTGATTTTCTTCGTTGCTTATTTTTATATAGCTATATAGGTATTTAGAGTTTGTTTTTAACAACAAAATAAAAAAGTGAAAGTTTATTGTGTTTTTTTTAAAGATAAGAAGTTTTAGGAAATAGTTGCAAAATGAAGAGGTTATACATTCCTCAAAAACAGCTTTTGCCAAAACAAGAAAACAAAGTATAAGATGAAAAGATGGCAAGTTAGTTTTTGAGAAATCTAGATCTAACACGAGTTAGAATTTATCCTTGTGTGTGTAACTGGTGATGTTGAGAGTATTGATACTTTTAATAAGCCTCTTGGCCACAGCGTATACCAAAACACCCAAATTCAATCCACCAAATATTCATGGCACATGGCAAACACAAAGCCAATCAGTGATGACGGGCCCACTGTTTTTCCAACCCGACACAGAATATTTAATTGAACCTCATGAACCTGGATTATCATATTCGTTTGATTTACAAACGATGACTTATGAAACGGCGCAGTATCTCGTTTATGGCAATGCGCAAAACCATTCTTGTCCTTCTGCTCAGTTGATTTGGCATCATGGGAAATTGAAAATCAAACCGCATCTAAAGAAGGGCTATGGTAAAAATGGTATTGATGAAAATGAGCATCAATTGATCATATTTCTTGAATCCATTGACCATGATTCACGCCAATTGGTTAGCGACCCATGTTTGGACGAAGGCAATCTGACGTATCAGCGGTACAAGGGGAACACGAAAGAAGTATGGAGTGGCATCTATAAGTATGATGCGTATGTTGATAAATGGAGTTTGATTTTGTATGATGAGTTTGGTGGCACTGGGCGGAAAGTATGGATGTGGTTGAAATCGAGAGATGTTGAAATGTTGCCAAGAGGGAGAGTCACAAAGAAGAAGAAGGTTTATGTTGATGCTTGATGGAAAAGTAGTTCGGATTCGAAAATAAGTAACAGTTTAACCAAATACATGCAACATTGTACAGTCATTGAATTTGTTGGAGTAAAGTGATACACAGAGAGGGATTTGGCTTGTTTAGGAAATGCCACCTCACGGCTCTTCTTGCGTTAGTTATAAGGAAGCTCTGTTGTGACTAAATTTTGTGGGGAATATATACCTATTACGTCGAGGGTTGCATGATGAAATGGATGATATCACTGAGGAGAAAATGTGTGATATAAAAGTGCTATGTGATGTGTTACATATATATATATATATAGCATATTTGGAAGTGGAGGCAATATTGTTATACCTCTAATAGATCATAAGTATGATGTTAGAGTGGCTTCTATAATTGAGGGGAAATATACGTTCGCTTTCTTAATACAATTTAGGTATCAATAAACAGCAAAATCCAAATGCACTCTCTATTGAGAGTTTTAAAAGATTTACATGTTAGTAGAGAGGTTTATTAGATATGTGGTAGTATATGAATAACAACATCACATTACTCATAAATAAGTGGGACTAAAAGGAAGGTTATCATTGAAAAGTTCTGGAAGTGGCTAAGTAAATATAACGCGGTTACTTTCCAAATAAGATTATAAAATAAAAGTAAAAAATATCTCACAGCAAGGGTGTGGGCGGATGCATATAATCTATTTCAATGTTTATGTGTGTTTGGATTTGAAGTCAGAAATTGGTTTTACATCTACTGTTTATTGTTGTTGGCTGTTGTTTGCAATTTATAGAAAGATAAGGGAATCAAATTGTTTTAATTTTTGTGTAACTAGTCTGTCAGGTATTATTTTCGACCAATTGGGTAAAAATTGGAGAGATCTCATTCTTAGCTTAGATAAGCGCCTCCCCAGCCCCGATGAATTGACAGATTTAATTAATTACTTTCGTTGTAAACTGAAGCAGTTATCAAGCGGCGGCACAAAGTGTTATTATATTCTCTTTTCCTCTCCTTTATTAACAAAAGATCGTCAATTTCAATTTTGATAGGGGTGATAAATGACATATATATATGGGCAAACAGAAGCCATGTCAAAGTCTCATCCCCTCAACAAAAGAAAAAGATAGCAACATATTTCCAACACTTCATCTATCAATTGGTCCTTTTCTTTTTTTTTTTAGAAAGCGATGACAGATTCAGTAGAAAAGAAGGACTCGTCTACCCAAAGACATAGTATCGACCATGGTCAAATAATCAACTACGTTCTATCGAATAAGTTAGCCCAACAACCAACAAATGTACGAAACTTGGACTCAATAGCTATGGCCCCTGGTGCCGCCCCTAATGAAAAGGAAGCATCAAGGTTATTACAAGAAGCACAAGCCAATTTAGAGTTTTCAACCGATACAGGGTACGCACCAGAATTGAGAAGAAATTTCAGCTTTATTTCATTATTGGGGATTGGCTTTGGTATAACTAATTCGTGGTTCGGTATTAGTGGCTCATTAATTGCTGGTATTTCTTCCGGTGGACCCATGATGATCTTGTATGGAATCATTATTGTCGCCAGTGCCGCCATGTGCATCGCTGTAAGTTTGAGTGAAATGGCATCAGCTTACCCTAATGCCGCGGGTCAGATTTATTGGACAATGAAGTTGGCTCCGCGCAAGTATTCGCGGTTGATGGCGTATACTACGGGGATACTTTCTTGGTTGGGTTCGGTGTTTACTTCGGCTAGTGTCACCATCACTATTGCAACGGCAATCACGGGTATGTATGTTTTGTTTCATCCAGAAACTACAGTACAACGATGGCAAGTGTTTATTGTTTATGAAGTGTTTAATATCTTGATGTTATTTTTCAACATCTATGAGGGACCGTTGCCAGCCATTTGTTCGGCAACATTGTACATTTCACTTGCGTCATTTATAATAATCATCATCACCGTCTTGTCGATGCATAAGGGTGATTTCGCCAGTGCCCAATTTGTCTTTGTTGATTTCAACAACGGTACAGGGTGGAATTCAGCTGCCATTGCCTTCATTGTAGGGCTAATCAACCCCAATTGGAGTTTCTCGTGTCTTGATGCCGCCACACATATAGCTGAAGAATCATTAAACCCCGCCGTGCAAATTCCACAAGCGATAATAGGTACAGTTATTGTTGGTTTCGTCACTGCCTTCACCTACTGTATTGCCATTTTCTTTTGCATTCGCAACTTGGATGATATTTTAGCCTCAAACACGGGAGTGCCAGTTATGGATATCTTTTACCAAGCAACAAACTCCAAAGCTGCCGCCATAGGGTTAGAAGTGTTGATTTTACTCACGGCCATTGGCTGCAACATTGGGTGTCATACATGGTCTGCAAGGATATGCTGGAGTTTCTCACGCGATAATGGATTGCCGTTGTCGAAATACTGGGCTAGAGTCAATACCAAAACGGGAACCGTAGTTAATGCTCACATCATGTCGTGTTTTTGGGTTGGTGTCATTGGATGTATTTATTTGGGTTCATCAACGGCATTCAATTCCATCCTTGTGTCATGTGTCGTTTTCCTCTTGTTATCATACATGATCCCCACATTGTGTCTCATTTTCCAAAGAAATCAAATTAAGCATGGACCATTTTGGTTGAATAGATTTGGAATTGGGTTAATTTGCAACTTGGTGCTTGTGGGTTGGTCAATATTTGCCACCGTGTTTTATAATTTCCCCTCAGTGATGCCCGTGTCAAGTGGAAATATGAATTATTCATCAGCTGTATTTGGCGTCGTTTTCGTTATATGTTTTTTTGATTGGGTGTTGAGAGGAAGAAAAGAATATGTTGATATTGAAGAAAGAGAACAACATAAGGAAGATTTGACATATCATTTATCGAATCAAGTATCAAATATAGAAGTGATGTTGTCACATCAGTATGAGAAGCCGTGAGAAATACTTAGCGGGGTGTGGTCAGTTGGGTTTTGCTTTATTTATTTTCATCTAGCGTGTATAGTTTTTCATTTCTGTTCGAATCTGATATTAAGTCTTTCATTTCATTGGCATTAAACAGATTTTAGTTTAATTTATACATATACATTTAAATTTACCTAGTATCAACAACGAAGGCTCTCCTTCCTTTCATTCACAGGTCGCCTTGTTCTGCTCTTTCACCCAATAATTCATTATACTTTTGTCTCAAAATATCTAAATTCTTCAGCAAAAACTCACTGTCTCGATTTAGATTCTTTATCGTTAAATCCCGATTTCTCAACTCTTGTTCATAATACAATTTAACTTCAGTCATCTTTGTCGTGTGTTTTTGGGAATATTCCTGATGAAGGTACTTCACTAGCGTATCCTCTTTTAATTTGAGTTCTTGTTGTTGATTGATTTTTAGTGCATCTATGTCTTGTTGCAATTGAGTCGCTTGTGATTCTTTAATGGTGAGTTGTTGTTTCAAGGTGGTTATTGCATCGAGTAATTTGTCAATCTCCGCTTTGTAAGTGGATATGTCCGACTCATGACTGGTTATAATCTGCGATTGAGTTTTAACTTGAGTTTGCAAATCAGTTATTGTTGATTTAAGTTGGTGGACTTCTCTCTGTACGTTGTTGTGTTTGGTGGTGAGGTTATAAATTTCGTCTTCTTTGGACGACAAGTCATTTTCGTATTTATTCTTTAAATCGATCAATTCTGATTCAATGCGGTTCTTATCTGACTCAATATTTTGAAGAAGCGACAACTTTGATTCAAGATGTTTTTTTTCTGAAACCACTTTATCAAAATCAACTGTTTGTGATTCAAATTGAGATTTGATAGAGTCAAGCTGCTTGTTTCTACTTTGAAGTTCCTCCGACAAATTGTTGACTAGTTCCTTATAATGAGCTTCACTGTGTTGAACAACCCGCAAGTCCGAAGACAACAGAGAAACTTTCTCTTCGTGTTTATCTTTCAACTTGAAAATTTCATCCTCGTAATTTTGCTTGGTTGAGGATATTAGATGGTCCAACTCCTTCACCAAATCCTGGTTTTCGTCATTTATAGCCACCAATCTTTTCTTTTCGTCTTGCAACTGTTCAATTCTAGCCTGTGAACCGTCAAGTTGAGTCCTGATATCAGTATTTGTCAGTCGCAATTGCTCATCTGACTGTTCTAACAACTTTACATTCTCCTCTAGGTGATCAATTTTACTGTCGTATTCTTGCTCAAGGCTGCCTAGTTTATCCAACAATTCTTGCTTTTCATTAACAAGTTTTAATTTGACATTTTCAAAATCATCCATTTTCATAGTAAATTCAATATGTTCCCTTTGCATTTGACTATGTTCAGTTTGAAGCTTGGAGAATTTGTCATCCAAATCATCATTCTTTTGTGTCAAGGCACGATTCGCCTCTTCCACCTCATTCACCGTGATTTTGTAATCAATCAACTTACACTTAAACCTCATATTGGAAGACTCTAAGATGGTGTTCCGCTTGGTCAAGGATGCCACATTACGTTCAAGTTGTTCTAGCTGTATCTTATTAAGCTCCAGTGCATGCTTCAACCTGTGTTCGGCTTCACGCTGTTTACTCAACTCATCATTCAATTGATTGATTTTCAAATCCTGTTGCTTGAGCTCTTCATTCAATTTGCTCAATTCTCTCTCATTTTCGGACTGTAATTTTTCAATGTATGAAAGAGGAAACATTGGTCTTGAGTTTGGCGAATCTAGGAAGTTCATGGTTGGTTCATCTTCTAACTCATTATCATCCTGGTCCTCGTCTTGAAACTCATTGACAGCATCCAAATCATGTCTCAATGGACTCAACACGGTATCTTCTTCTTGGTCATTATCTACTGTGCTTGGTTTCACATGATGTGGGTGTGGTCTTTGCGGTTGGGGCTCGGTCATTCTATCTGGCGTTTTTGTCGAGTATCTATTCTGCTTCAGTTCATTTAGCAATCTAGTCACCTGATTATGAGTTAAAGTTTGACTTGGCTCTCGCGAAAAGTTGTCACCCAATATCTCAAAATCGCCGTCACTCGATTTGGCACTATCATTATCAGCTAGTTTTTCCTCCTTCTTGGGGACATCTGTTTTAGCTCCAAGGTCCGCAGCGGTATCAATTACTTCCCTTCTACCTACTTCAATATTCTCAACAGATTTGGTCGCGTTGGTTGAGTCCTTATCTTCTAAAATAGCAACATCCTCGTCCTCATCTTCCACTTGTTTCCTCCTTTTCTCAGTTAGCTCATCTGCATCGCTGACCGCCTCTGGCTCTATTGCAGAACGATGCAGTTGTGTGGCATTTCTCTTTATTGGCGAGCTCAACTCGTCTGCTTCGGACATACTCGACCTATACCCTGAATGCTTCAACCTCTCCTCGCGATCCTCATTCAACTTGGACATGTACAATTCAACCTCCATAGCAGATCTCTGAATGCTACTCAAATTAGCCGGTTTACGTCTCTTGTGTAATGGCGACGTTATCGACATTCGATTACCTGGAAGTTTATTCAATGATGATGACGACGTGAGGTTTAGCTTTGGGCGTTCAGTAGACGAGAATGAACGTTTTGGTATACCTATAGTTGAGCGGCGTTGAGCCGAATTGATGTTTAGAAAAGTGGTTTTGTTGACCTTTTCTGTGTACGGTGCTTGCAAAGTTTGTTGCTGGCCTAGCTTCGTTGCGTTTGTATTTGTCAGTTGTTTGACCGGTGGCGTCCCACTTTGCAAAGGTCGATGTGGTACTAGTGGTACTGATGGCGGTGGTTTCATCGGTGATCTTGTTGGTAGCTTCACTGGTGAAAGTGAATCATCAATGTATATTGGTGAATTAGGTGGTTTAAAAGGGGAGGAGCTTGACGACATGGTGTCTAGATTTTTGGGTCTCTTCTCAATCTCCAACGTATTAGCAGTCAATTAGTTGATTGATGGAAGATGTAGTGATGAGTGAATGCCAGGGCACAAACAGGCTTCAATAGTAATCGTTGTCTATATTGATTAGAGAAGAAAAACAGAAAAATTGATTTCTGATTTCTTGAAATATATGGGGAGTGTATATAACCAATTAAATCTCTTTTTAACCGCGTCACTTTGTGTGCTCTTTGTCTATAAAGAAGTCGCGTGTAGTAGCAAAAACAGTGAAGCAGCTGCAAATCTTTTACCCCTAGCCACAAGTCAAAAAGAAGAAAAAAAGATTAACACGCGTTTGCTCCGAAGTAGGTACTTCAAAACTTTGCCATTGAAGCACTGGAGGAATGAGGTTAACTTGATTCATTACAGGTTCTATCTCAAGACCTAAGTATTGCGTTTCATGTTTCGCTCTATCATCAGTAGAGAACGGTTTATCAAATACAGGTTCAGTTAAAGTAAAATGTATATCAGTAGCACAGGTATCCAAAAGTATAATAATATAAATACTATATATATATATATAAAAAAAAAACAAAAACAAAAAGTAGAGTTGGTTAACAACATTCTGAGTATAAACAATACCAGCGGGAAGCATCAATCAACAAACTTCAAAATTCTACCTGACTCAAAAAGGGAACAAGTACTTTCGTCTTATTCAACTCTTACCCATGAACCTTACCAAGCAGTGCTAAGTGGAACAGTAGAGTTGGAGTAAGCAGAAGATCCATAAGTTGGAACGATCGAAGATGAAGATGATGCGTTGTTGTAGTGACTCAATGTAGAAGTGAAGGTGTGTAATTGAGTTTGAGTAACATCGACAAATGAAGTGATTGTAGTAGTGGTGTCACTGTTGGTAAATTCAGCTTGAACTGGATATGAAGTGACATAAACTTCAGTTGAAACAGTGATGGTAGTGTCATCTTCTTCATCGCTGTTGCTGGAAGAAGAAGTAGTGGCTGGAGCAGCGGTCACAGTGACAGTTACGGTTGATGCTTCACAAACATCCTTGTCGTTGTTTCCAGAAGCGGCAGTAGTTGAAGTAGAGCCTTGAGCAGTTGCTGACTCGGCAGCAACAGTTTGTTTGGAACCTCCAGTTTGAGCAGCACCTGTTTGAGCTGTAGCACTAGTCTCAGTGGAAAGTTTAGTAGAACCATTGGCATCAGTCACAGTGACGACGGAGGTAATGGTTGAAGTAGTGATATCACTTGAGCTTCCCGATTTGGCAAAGGTTGTGACTGCAGTGTTTGTAGCTGAAGTGTAAGTTGAACTATCAGATGTCAATGTAACGTAGTCGATGATAGTTGAAGTGATTGAGTCATCATCGGAAGATGATGAACCTTCTGCTGCTGCAGATGATTTTGGATAAGTAGATGTCAAGGTGTTTGTAGCTGATGTTTGAGTAGTTGAAGCATCAGAAACAGTAATATACTCGACAATAGTTGAGGTAATCCATTCGTCTTCATCACTTGAAGAAGAAGGTGATGATGATGATGATGATGCTGCTGCTGCTGCTTCTGAATTTTGAGAAGTTGGAACAACACTGGCCGAGTATCCGTAGCTACCTTCTGCTGAAGAAGATGCTAATCCATCTGAGGATGATGATGGAATAGTGGCATTCTCGTATCTTTTGTACAAGTGATAGGGTGGAGCTGCTGCTTGGGCTAATGAAGTTGCAATAGCCAATGCTACTAAAGATTTAAATTGCATAGTTGACGAAGGGTTGGAATAATTCTTTCACGATTGTTGTAGTATTGAACTTTTGTTGAGTAGTGGTGAGCTTTTTGACTTGAGTGATTTAATATGGACTAAAATAATATAAAAGGAATGAATGTCGATAGTTGGTTTTATATTAAATGCCTGTCAAAAAAAGATGATCTGTGTAGTTGGTGGTGAAATACGTAAAAGAAGAAAAGGAATTGTAAAAGGTAATATATAAATTGGGAATTGAAGAGCATTTTAAAAGGCGAAGGCAGTGTTTTTGAGGTGATTTTAAAATAAGCATGAAGCTATGGTTACGATACATACCATACCATAACGTAACACATCCTAGAACAATAGGACAAGTTAATGGGGCGTCTAAATTTTTTTGTTTGTATGGGATTACTATTGTTACATAAACAACAAGAAAACACAAAGGGTTTATTAAAATAAAAATAAAAATAAAAATAAAAATAAAAAGTAGAGTATGATGTTTGCGCGTGGCATGTTAAAAAAAAAATAGTCGTTTGTGTTGCATTTAATATTTGTGGCTTTTAAATGTTTGCAATCAAATAGAAAAGCTTGGAGAATTAACAATTAAAACCACCGTTTTTTTAACTTAGCATAACATTCAAGGCATTTAATTACTTGTGTAATACTTTGACATGTTTAACAACCAACTATTATTATTAACCCTTTGAAAAAAAAAAATATTAATAATAATAATAAACAATTTATACAAGCCCCTTATTGTTGACATTTGTTTTGAAATAGTATGGTCCAGTTTGGCTCGAGGTTTCTTCGAGAAAATATGAGAATAAGCTTTGTCCCTCCCCTCCCCCCTCCCCCTTTCCTTTTGCAGAGAGAAAGCAAACTGTGGCCAACGGTTGTAATGACTGCAAAGAAGCTACATAGGTTCTACTCATGTGATGGATAGGAGAAACGCATTGATACAGTTTTAATTCGTACATCTTCCTCTTCCTGCTGCCTATGCTCACTGGTCAACTTATACTATTATATCCATTCGTGTGACTTGTTCGTGAAGCGTAGTTTGCATTGTCTAATGGTATTGATAGTTGTTTATATATTTTGTTTATTTATTTATTTACTTTTATGGATGGCATTATTGTTGTTATGTGTTTAAATTCGCGTTTTCGTCTAATTCTGTTATTGTGATAATATACTGGTGTATGTGTTTATATGTTCTGCATATAAAACATTTTTTCACGCGTTTTTTTGTATTTTCTTTTTGTTTTTTATTATCTCATTTTATACCCCTTGTTTTTGTATATATTGTAAAACAATACGTCACTCATATAACACTATTTTATAGTCATTAAAGTTACTAAGGAGACGAACTTCCAAGCAAGGACCTTGCTTCACTTGACTATTTGTAGAAGAATATACTCAACAGCAGAGTCAATTTTCCTTTAGCTCATACATATTAACTGCGTCATAAATCTGGCTACAATCTCGTCATTATAGCAAATAGAAGAAACATGAATGACGAAGATCTGCTTTGCTGTAGGTGCAAGTTACGACGCGGAGCCACGCAAAAGAGAAGCATACCCCAATGCTACTTGGTAGGTCAATTCTAGATTTTTCTTTAAATATTGATGACGAAGGATGTACTTTTTGACAAAGCCTTGTCTATTCAACTGTTTCCTATTTATAGATTACAGACAAGGTTTCAAATACCGCATCATCATCTTTACTACAACAAAAGAAGTGAATGCAAGGATAAATACGCGCCTATGCAACTATCCTCTTTAAAACACAATACTAAAAATAATAAAAATAATAAAAATAATAAGAATTGAAGCATTGATTTCTTCCGACCACCTTCTTTGTCACATTGTTTAACTTTCTTAGTTTCGACTTCTAAACTTTGCTCTGGAATTCGTCTGGCTACAACAGGAGTTCATTGTTTGTTTGTTTAAATGTAGGTATTGTATTGTTGGAAACTTTGTAATTCACGCGAGTTATACATTGTTCGCCTTGTAAAAGAACAGCCTCAACATATGTATATAAAATTAAAAAGTGGCATTGCTTGTAACGGCAATCTCTCTGAGTATAAACTGGGAAAGTATATAGATTGTCTTATCTTATCTCACCTTTAAAGAATCACAACCTTCTTCTCATTTAAAATGGTCCAATATTCCCTTTATCTTTATCTTACAATACATCCATCGAAGTCAAGCAAGTCCTGGTTAGGTTTGTTCTAGCTATTGTTTTATTTGCAATGAGTAAACAGACATACTCAATGAGGCTCAAATTGAGCGTCACTGCTAAACTAAAACAACTGAGAAAGACAATAAACAATTTGGCTGTTTATATGATCTTCGTGTAATTGTGAGTTTATGTTCACCATACAATAATAGATACTAGACGTCCTATTGTTTGTCGTCTTGATCCCACTTCACGAAATAATTCTAAAAAGATCGCTTTAACGAAGAAGCAATGCCGACATACCGGGAAATCAACGCAGCAATTTTCATTCAAGTAAAGGCGATGGGCTCTCACTGCACCTTCTAGATCTAACCTGACTGGTGTTAGAACGCAATCCTTTCTTTATATTGAAAGGGGTAAACCGTTGGTGAACCATAACAAGCTTTTGTGTAATGTAGCATGAGCAATTGCTCTTCATAACGTTTTGTATGAGAATGCCTGTGACTGGTTCAAAGAGAACGTTAATACACTAATTGAAATGAGCATTCTAAAAGAGCTCGACAGGGGTAAATAGTGTACATGAGTATAGATTCACGAAACGGGTGGTGCAAAATGCCAAGTTACAATTAATAATAACTTTTTTTTGCGGAAGACCTCAAAAAATCATTCTGAATACAAATTCAGTTCAAAGTTGAGTTGTTTTGTTCCTTTTGATGTTTTTGTTTCTATAAATAAATCAAGTCAATCTAGGCTCTGCTAAACTATTTCTTTATTTCCCAAAACTTTGGAACCAATAAGCTACATTCACGAAAATGCAATCTCTCCGCACATAATATATTAATTCCCTCTTTTAATGAAACCAGTTTCTTTGCTCTTAACTTTAATCTTGTAAAAAAATTAAATTAGATCTAATGAGACCCAGGCTTGAAGAAAGCTAAAACAGTAACTCCTTTACAAGAGGCATAAAGTCAACGCTCTGGAAATGACATTAACAAAGCTCACGTTTTTATTAACTTTCTCGTTGTTCTATTTGTTCTCTGTCAAAGCTTAAACTTCTGAAAGCAGATCAATTTACAGCCTAGAAGAATTGATTAATGATGTCGACAATAGAAACACAATTCTTTATCGTGTTTGAAATTAGTCTTTTCAAAAATAGCTTTTCTATGAGTTGTCACGCTAAAATTCTTTCTTCTCTTTCTTCAAGTCATTTGGTAGTTGTAATTCGAGCATAATCTTTTACAAGGTAGCCTAAATATAGTAAACGTTTCATCTCCATGAGTTTTGATGTAATAATTCTATCGTTATCTATTTTTTGCAACCAGGGTGCACTCAATCGATACACAAAACCACAAGCGGAATTAGAATTCCTAATTTGGTGCTCAACGTGCGGCACCAATTCGAGTTTTTCTTTTTTTCTTTTACAACCAAACCGAGTCAAAAACTTAGGATTTTTAACTGGCGCTTATTACCAAAATTAGTGATAGTTGCGTACTTTTCGGCCCAAAGATAAGTTTAGTTGAGCCGCCACACTCGGCAGAATGAGGCCACCAATTATTTAACCATCCAAAAAAAAAAAAAAATAAAAGGAGGAAGAACCTCGTTCATTCTAACTCCACTCTTCTTTACCAAACTACATCATGATTGGACTTCCATTGGATAGTGATTCCACAAGCAAAAGAAAAAAGTACTCCATTGTTGGAGGTTTAACCTTCATCATCTTGTTAATTGTCTTCTTTTCAACAAATTTATTCAATTATTTCAAAATTGCCATAACCCCAATCCCGGGAAAAGACTCCAAAATCTGCCCTTTGCAAAACCCAATTGCTCCTCCTTCATTCCACAAGGACAATTCCTCAGTATTGGACATTTTATACGGTTCAAAGTATAGAGAACAGTCAATTGAGAGATTATCGGGAGCTATTCAAGTTGATACCCAAATTTTTGACAACCAGCCTGATGTGGATGAAGCACCGGAGGTATGGGCTAAATTTAAGAAGTTCCACAAGTATTTGCAATCTACTTTCCCTTTGATTTATGAAAACTTGGACGTCACCACGGTTAATACTTATGGGTTGGTGTACACCTGGAAAGGATCCAAGAAGGATCTTAAGCCAGTTTTGTTAACTGCTCATCAAGATACTGTGCCCATTCAGAAAGATACTTTAGATAAGTGGACTTATCCACCATTGGAAGGTCATTATGATGGTAAATACATTTACGGCAGAGGTGCTTCTGATTGCAAAAACACCTTGATTGCCATTTTGGAAACATTGGAACTCTTGCTCAAACAAGGCTATAATCCAAGTAGAACCATAATTGCTGCATTTGGATTTGATGAAGAAGCTTCAGGAGTCCGCGGTGCTGCTTCCATCGGCAAATACTTGGAAGAGAAATTGGGCAAAGATTCCGTATATGCCATTATCGATGAGGGTCCAGGCTTAACCACTGATGCGTTAACCGATACTATTATTGCTGTTCCAGCTACAGGTGAAAAGGGCTACACTGACATTCACGTGGAATTGATTACTCCTGGTGGCCACTCATCCATCCCACCTGACCATACATCAATTGGAATTATGTCTGAATTAGGATACATCATTGAAAAGGATCCTTATGAATCTATTTTGACTAAGAAGAACCCGATTTTCCAATACTTCCAATGCGTCGCTGTCCATGACCCCAAGGATAAGATCCCAAAGACTTTTAAGAAGATTATATTGAGGTCTGGATTTGACAAGTTTGCAAATTCGAAATTAGTGGCTAAGATTTCTGAAAACAAATTGTTGAAGTATTTAATTAGAACATCGCAAGCTTTAGATATTATTAAAGGTGGTGAAAAGGTCAATGCGTTACCTGAAGATACAAAGTTGGCAGTTAACCATCGTGTTGCTATTGAATCTAACGTCGCTGCTGTCAAACACCACTTCACTCAACGTGTAATTGAGGTTGCCAAGAGACATGGCTTAAAAGTGACCTCTTTTGGAAAAACTGTTTATGAACCCGAAGGAACTGAATATGCCGGAGAATTCAAAGTAACTGGTGATGCCGGTTTGGAGTCTGCGCCTATTTCACCTACTGATGACAATGTATGGGCATATTTGTCTGGTGTTACAAGACACGTTTTTGAAGATTTGGTTTATACCAACTTGACATATCCAATTGTGTCTGCTCCAGCAATTATGTCGGGTAACACTGATACTAGATACTACTGGAACTTGACGAGAAATATCTTTAGATACTCACCATTTTATGTTTTCAATATTGTGGGTAGTGGTGTTCATTCGGTCGATGAGCGATTGCAATTCGATGGACATTTGCAATTACATGCTTGGTTCTATGAATATTTGCAAGCTATTGATACTGCAAAAGCAAATAATTAGAGTAGCTACTATGATTTGACTAGATGGTAAGTAGTTATATATGCCGAAACATTGTGCCTCAAGTATGATATGATCTCTACAAAACACGCAATTCCCAAACGTAGTAAGATATCTTTTACCTATAAAAATACATGAGACAAATCAACAACTTCGTTTTCTCCACGAACATTATTCTGAGTTTATGATTAAATCCAACATTAAACTAATCCAATCAGACTATCCCTTTAATTTATCTCTTTCTTTTCCAAAGGATTGTATCTCAAGAATTTTTCAATCAAATCAACATGAGTTAAAACCATTCTTCTGCAGCAATACCTTTTCAATTGTAGTTTATCTAAAGCTTCACCTTCAGGCATCGATTCATCTTGTAACAATTCTAAATAAGTCTCCCATTTATCACCTACTACTTTACCGCAGGAGAAGCAACGTATTGGAATAATCATGATGATGAGGTGGTGTAGATTTTAAAATTTTGTGTGATTGTGCTGTGAGTGTGGCGAAACGAGTGTGCTAATCTAGTTTGTTAAGCTCTCTTTAGCGGTAGTGTATATTTGTTTTAGATGTGCTGCTGTGACTTAGTCTTTGGTTCAGCTGATCTCTGATAGATGTAAGGGGATAGATGTATGGTATGTAAAGGAGTATCGGGTACGTGATGGATATTGGTGTGATACTTTTCTTTTTCTTTTTCATCGATGGTTTTTTTTTCTGTCTGTCTGTTTGCTTTTTGTGTGTCTGTCTGTCTGCTTGGCTCCTCTTCTCATCGAAAATTCCAAAAAAATTTCAACCAATCTAACTATAGACTCTAAGCTTCCTTACAAGGCAAACGCACAGACACTCACTTTTCCAACGATGCCTTCTGCTAGCATAGACGAATGGTCACTATCCATGTTGACAGGGGGTGTACCGAACCACTTCCCTTATTCACAAACCACAGCATCAGTATTTTCCCACGATGGAAGATATTTAATCACTACGTTAACTCATCAAATCAGAGTCTACTTCATATCCACCAGACAATGCATAAAGACGATAGACATTGACTTAAATGACTTGGTAGATGTAAAATTGGATGTAACTAATCCAAATCACGTTATTCTTTTTAAAAGTTTTGGAGAAATCATCACTGTCAATTACAAAGATAAATTGGCTGAAGCCGTAGTTGCAAAGACTTCAATACAACAACAGTTGGGTAACTTGCTTCTATTGTCAGTTGTATGCGTGAAGCATACAAAGTATATTGTCATCACTGGAAAGAGAGATAAGAAGAAGGGGTTTAGTCCTCATACAAGATACATCAACTCAATTGATAGAACATCAGAACTGGTGACCGTTATCGGTGATGTCCAAAACGTGCTAATGTATTCAGTATCGTTAGATACTTCAAAGTTGGCATTTGTCATGAATGATCATAAGGTATTGTTGGTGGATTTGGCCACTTATTACACCAACAGTGAAGAAGACCAACAGGTGTCTACATCTGTACCAAATTTGGAGTCATTGATTGTGAAGGAAGTGATACCATTTCAGTACAGGTCTCCAGTTACATCAGTAGCAGTATCTAATGATTCGCTAATTGCATTGGGAACAAACTCGGGAGTAATTCAACTCTTGTATGGAGGACTTGTCAACAATGACAAGGCACAACAACGTGTTTTCAAATGGCACATTGACCAAGTTAATGCCCTACAATTTTCACATGATAATAATTATCTTCTCTCTGGTGGTGCTGAAAAAGTGTTGGTATTTTGGCAATTGGAGACAGAAAAGAAGCAATTTTTACCAAGATTGAATGGGGTTATTGATAAAATAAATATTGACAATTACAAAAATGACTATGTTGAGTTATTATTGAAAACGGATGTTAACAATTATGAGATTTTGGTATTGTCATTGGTGGATCTTGTGTCTAGATTATCGGTGAATACCATAAGACCCAAGTTTACCAATAATGTGAAAACAACTTTATCACGTACCAAAAAGAGACTTGCAAAAGAAGGGTTGGATCAGTTCAATAAACTTAAATTGAGGTATGATTACAGTTGTCAATTTGAGATCCACCCAAAGACAAAAAACTTGTACTTCCCCAACGACTCATCGATTCAATCATTTGATCTAGTCAAGAATGAACAAAGTTTTATTCAACATGCAGCACCAGTATTATCCACCGGTAAAGTACGCTCTGAAACTAAACTACTCGACCCGCAAATTTCATTACTACAATTCACAATCGATGGTGAGTGGATGTGTACTTATGATGAGGTAACTAGTGCTGAAATTGATTGTCTTTTGTCCACCAATGATAAGCAATATGCCTTGAAGTTTTGGAAATTTATTGAAAATAAAGATAAAGAAAAGGATAAAGATCGTGATAATCGAAATGGGTATTGGGAGTTAACGACCAAGATTCTTGATCCTCATGGGAAATTGTCACCTGTTATGGCCTTGGTCCCAGCTCCCACCTCATATTTCAACGGAGTGGCATTCTTGACTGCTGATGACAAAGGTGGTGTTCGTGTATGGAGGCCATCGTACCCCAAGGAGATTTACAAAGTTGCTACGCCTGCTAATAAATCGCAACAAATTGCTTGGTCTTTGCGCAAACAAAAGCCATCGTCAAACACTGTATCAGATGCAGTGGCATTAGCATGGTCAGATGACAGTTCGATTATATTTCTCAGTCATGAATGTTCCATCACTTGCTTTGATAGTAGGACGTTTGATCCTTTGGAATTCCAACTTCCAATATTAACCGAATCTAAAATCAGATCCATCAAATATTTAAACAACTATCTCGTTGTTTTATCGAAAACGAGATTTTTCGTTTATGATTTAATCAAGGGTCAATTAACCAGTTTAGTGACCAAAGTGTCAACAACTAGTGGTGGCAAGAATTTAATAACGGTTGATTCAACAAGAAACCTCATTTGCTTAGCTATCAATTCATATACCAATTTTGAATCAGATTGGGAAAACTTGCAAATTGCATCAAAAGTGTACATATTCAAACCAAATCAATTGAAACCGGTGTCGGTGCATACACATACACTGGGTGTTGCCTCGGTTAAATGCGATGCTAATGGATTTATATTTGTTGATTTGGATACTCGTGTTGGCTCGTTGAATTCAGCATTGTTGGACGTGGAAAGTAATGACGTAGCTGGATTGACCAACGAAATCAACCAAATGTTAATCACAGCACAAGCAAACGTTGACTTGTTAAATAATGGTAATAATGCACCAGTCAAGTATCAGTCAAATGGAAATGCTCCTGATGAGGAGATGGAGGATGCTGGCTCAAAAGTCATTGACTTACATACCTTCCAGCCCATTTTCCAAAACCTTGATGGAATTCAAATAGAGACTATATTTGATCGTATATCGGATATTCTTAAGTAAAAAAAAAAAATACACATATTAATCATCTTCATGACCGCCTCTATTTACAAAGCTATATCCAAGGACCTACCATTTAAAAATTGACTTTTGTTCCTCTTCATTATCCTTCAGTTGGCCTCGTTGTATAGCCAACACACTTTCAACCTTACTCAAGGCATTTTCCAACAAGTCCTTATGTTCTTGCAATTCAATGTGTTTCTTGACCTTTGAATCCTCCTTGGCAAATCTTTCAATTTCGTCTTTAGATAAATTGGAGAAAAATTTAACATCCAACTCACGAGGGAAATTGTAATAAAAATCACTCAATAATTCAACGTTTAGGAATAAAATTGCCGTGGTGGAAATCTTGGTTGCCACTGCATCCAAAAACACTTCAGGACATTGATACTTGTTTTCTTTTGATTTACACTTTTTGGAATTCTTAATAAACAGGTATCTCATTTTAAGCAACGATAATCGATCTTTTAAAAAGATGGCGTCTTTGCCTCTTTGGATTAAAGTTGGTGAAAATCCCAACGTTTCATTCGATGTAAGGTCGATATTTTCCGACTTGTTCTGTTTCAACTTTTCCAAATATGTAACAACTTGCTGTAATTTACGTCCACCAACATGATGTTTCAAGTCGTTGTAAACTTCATCACATTGCCTCATCTCTTCCTTTAATAAAGCAACGGCATTGGCCTTTGATGCATCCCATTCACGATCCTCAATCTCAACTTCGTACTTGTATGGCTTGATACAATTCTCCACTTGATCGGCAGTCGAATAATATTTTGCACTCAAGACTGTTTTTGCCGCATCCTTAACTGCTTGCTTAGCCATGGGATGGTTCCTCAATTGGGTATTGTCAACAAGATTTTCCACTTCGGTTAAAAGGGCATTGGTTATCAAGTTTGTTGACATTCTCCCTACACCCAATTTCGTTAACGAGCCTGAAGCTAAATCTAGTTTTCTGTGCCAGTAAATATCATCATCGTGGATAGCTTGTGTTAGTTCCTTCAAGTTTGGCTCCACCACAGTTGAACTATTCAAATCAAATGGCTTGTTCCAGTACCTTTCCGCTAACAAATCCAACACTTTTTGATCCAAAGCATTCTTCAAAATCGCTTTCAATTCATTACGCGAAAAGTGATGACTTAAATCCTTGGTACCCAATTTCAACATGTCAATATTGTTTGCTAAATACATCTCGGGTGTCAATGGACGATCATTAAACTCAACCTTGAACTGATAAGACGTCTCTTCCAATTCTTGTTGAATCGCCAAATGGGTTGGTCTTAATGATGCAGCCATGGTCTTTTCCAAAACCTTCATCAATTTCTTTTTCAAGTTTCTTGTGCCCACTGTAGTTCCATAAAAATCTTCCTTGTGTTCTTTTAAATAATTGTGCTCAAAGTTTTGTTGTGCTACAAATGCTTGAAATCCAGTCACCTTGTTTCTTGAAAATAAGCTGGCATTTCCCTTTGGCTGTGGAGCTTTAGTAATGACTCCCACATACCCTAATCTTAATGGATACTTGCGATTGGTCAAAATCAGATGGGCCTCCTTAGGACTGACTAAATCCAACTTTGTAATGACACCAATAGTTCTCTCCCCTCTAGGATCAGCCAATCTTGATGCTCTGAGAGCTGCAGAATTTGCTAAATCAACATCGGCTGCAGAGATTGCCAAAATGACATTAGGAGGTTCCAAATACTTAAAGCAGAGCTCTCTAATTTTCTTCTTTAATTCGATAGGTTGATCAGCAGCTTCCACTTGTATGTACCCCGGTAAGTCGACCAACGACAAATCAGGCACCTTTGGTGATCTAATTGTCACTTGTATTGGGTCATTTGAAATACATTCCGTCTCCGGTACAGCCATGTTCAAATCATATAAAATCTTTTGCAACTGGGTGAAATCGGTTAAATTGTTTATCTTCAAAGCGGGTAGTTCCGCTACATTTGATGCCGACTCTGGAGTATTCACCAATGTCAACTCAATAGGTCTTCTTGTTACCATATTTGAACCTTTTGGTAAAAACTCTTGTCCCACGATACTTTCCAAGACGGAAGATTTACCACTAGACTGTGAGCCAATAACTACAATCGATGGTAATTTGATTCCATCGTGATCTACACTTGCCAACAAGTTTCTGATTTCAATCATTTGACGAGTGAGGTTTAACATGTTATCATCAGTCTCGTCTGGTCCTTCAAAATCTTCTTCGTCATCTTCTTCGATTAGTGTCTCCATTTCGTCTTCATCTTCATCTTCTTCCACTGCTGTCTCGTCTTCGTCATCGCTAGTGAGTCCTACAGCAGCAGCAGTTGCTCCAAGTGCAGTTGCGGCATCATCACCCCCACCACTGCCTCCGCCCCCACTACTACTGGTACCACCGTCACCACCACTACCACTATCTCCTCCACTCATACTCTTGAAGAATTCTCCTGTCTTATCAAACACGCCGTCGGTAAAATCCTTGAACCGACTTAATTGATCTTGGGTGTACGAACTAGCTTGTTCGACTTTGTATGCAATGTAGGTTCCCCCAGCTGCCATTCCTCCACCTATGTATGCTGGTAACTTGGTTGCCTTTGTTAAAACTTTGATGAACCCAATGTTTCTAGTGGGTATCAATATTCCATTGTTGTGGTGATAACGATGGTGGTAAGGAATAAACTTGGATGAGTTCTTCAGTGTTGGTCTTATTAGAAGAAACGACCGTTGATTAATGATCGAACGAGGGTTCGATATTAGTCGTCTGTTAAGTATCGGTATCATTCTTGATCTTACCCGTGTAAAGGAAATGTGTGGATTCTGTAGTTTTTTTTCCCCTGTCAAATATTTCTTTGCTTTTGTATTTTGTTTTTTTCTCCTGTTCTACAAGTGATGATGACAACTATTATCACCAGTTTTATTTAAAATAAGTGGCAAAAATTCAAGAACGATGAGATGATGCAATTTGGAAGAGCTTCTTGGTTCCTGAAAGATATAATGTACGAATTAGGACATTGCTTTACAACTGTACGTTTAAAGAGTTTCAAAAAATAAAATAAAAAATAATGCTCCCTACCAGAGTCGAACTAGTGACCTTTGCATTACAAGTGCAACGCTCTACCAACTGAGCTAAAAGAGCGTGTAATTTGCAAATTTATATACCATTTTTTTGAGAGTAGAAGTTTTATATCACGTTGAAAATAAAAATATTGGAAGAATTAAGGAGTAGAAAGATGATCAGGATGCTTAGATCTGACTTGTACAAAGGATATAAAGTTGTAAAGTCCTCCAACTTCACGATATTTTAATAATCTTTCTAAATTCGAGATTTTTTCAATATCAGAGCTCAATTTAACAATCGTATTGGTTTTAGGTCAAAAATTTGTTGCAAAACTTTTACAAATAAAGCACCTCAAAAAGCTTTTTGAAGATCATTGAATTTGAATAAATTTAGGGGTTGACTAGTAAAATTTAATATCTTGTGAAGTGCAACTGAAAGTATTTATTTAATGATCCTTATGTGTAAACTATAACTAAAGACTATCCCAATCAATACAGCAAGTATGACGGAAATCCATGATCATTTATAGTGTGTCCATGTTATTGACAAATAAACAACCATCAATTGTCACGCGTCGTGTTGGTGAGTTTGTGATAATAGGTGTTTTAACCGGATTTGGTAAAATATAACGTTCTAGAATATTCTTGAATATATTCTGGGAACGACAGATTGTACATTCAGAGACTATCTCTTCTAATAGATTCATTTAGAATGTGAGATATACAGATGCCTTGAAGCTGCTGCATCAAAAAAAAAAAAGAGACAGAAAAGTAAAATAAAGGAACTGAAGCGTATAAATAGCAATTGAGTTTTCTTCATCTTTTTCATTCAATAATTGACACTACTTCAACTTCCTCCTTGATAACATCATAGAAGATTTTCGGAGTTTTTATTGATCTTGAATGTTCTCCTGTTCTTTTAAACTTGCGTGAGATTCTTACGAGGCCGTTTACAGGATCGTCCAATTTTCAAATATTGTGTTATTTGGTTTTTATAGTAATCAAACTTCTCTAGAATGGTGTTTGGTTGAGTTACACTTGGACAATTTGGCAGTACACTAAAGTTTTCAAACATTATTAAATGATAGATGTGTGTTCTGATCAAGATGATTTTTACTGTTGATTAAAATATCAAACTGCTCAAAGATGAAATTTACCTTCTATCATGCCACTTCTTGTTCGCATCGAAATAGTTTCATTTATTGAAGGCAAGTATGTCATAGCTCCTTAAATAGCTGAGAGTTTATTCGGATTGAAAATGGGTTAAAAGAAGGTACGTAGCTTCAAGTTAAGTTCTGTTTAATAATATATTTAAATTTTGTATTTCTCGTAATAAGTTTTTAAAAACAAAATCATATAGTGTATGAATCTATCCCTGTTAGATGTTTGTGCTATCCTACTTTTTGTTTATATTTATGATTTCTTTAAAGAGCAAGAAGGCATGGAATGCAAAAGATAAAACCTTTGTGGGTGCTTTGGTATAGAGAATACATAACGCCACTTGAAGCGCAAATGCGAGCGCAATGTCTCTATTTTGTCGAAAATGCCAAGCAAAATAAAATGTCCAATTCAGTGAGTAAAGCTAAATTATCTTTCTGTTACACTAAAAGTAACTTTATAGACAGAAAGGAAAAGACAAGATCTCGCTTAAAATAGGGAAAGAGACAGACTCCTACCACTCGTAGCCATGGCTTCATTTCCACATAATATCCTTATCAACAATGTACAGAAGCTTTTCCAACTTATGGAAGTTTACACAATTACTGAATAGAGCAGTACGGGATGGTCTGTATAACTCTTTAAATACTTCAGCCAATTGACATCTCTTTGAATGTTGGATCAGCAATAGATTCAAAAAGAGAAGAATCAAAATTGTGCTGAAGAACAAAATGCAATAAAAAAGAGATTATTAATTTGAAAATATCGCTCGAAAACAGGCTAGCTATGCCTCAATGCAACATCAGATGGATAGTCAGCAATGACATATAATGCATCACTTTGAGAATGCATAGGCAATAAAGGACGAACGCGAAGAAGAAGACACACAATTCTTGCTGGTTCTAAAATTTTTGAAAGCCATATATGCAGCTAAAGGTAACCTCCAAACGAATAGAGAACAAAATGAAAGCTTTTCGTATGTATAGTGAATCTGTAGTAATTTCCTCGGATATGATACTATCATGGAACTTGAATATCCGACAGAAGAAAAAAACAAATTGAAAAAAAGAAAATTTTCTTTTTTTGAAAGCAAACGTTTTAGAGGAGTGGGGGTGATAGTGGGGTATAATCTTATGTTTGATGCAAACGATATGCCCCACTTCCTTCAAACCGAAATTGAAATGAGAATGACTTTCCTTAAAGCAGTCGTGGGTGTACTTATCCCATTCAAGCTGATAAGGCTACTATTGCTTTTATTACTACGGCTGTGGTTGCTATTGTTGTTATTGTGGTTAGCATTTGTTTTTTGGAAATGCAAAACACAAAGAAAAAAAGTAGTGAACAGAAGAAATATAGTAAATTTAACACTACGTATGTAACTTAGTTGATAGAGATAAATATGCTGTGAATATATACCGCATTCGGAAGAGGGAGGACTAGGGGCATACCTAAATGACGCAATTGCAAATCAACCACATTCGCTCTCTCACGCGCGGTTGTTCACATTGCCTATTGTTTATTGAGTTGTGTATTGTGCATTGTTTTGTATTAGAGAACAATTGTTTGCGGCTTTTTTGCTTTTAAGAAAACAATAAACGCAAAATAGCAAATGAAGAACAAGAAGAACACTTCGAGCGGGAATAACAACAATTAAAAATCGCGATACAACAGAAGAGGACTGTATTTAGACAAACAACAAAAAAGAAATAAGGGGAGTTTTACATGCTCTCTTTCTATTGTCTTATTGTCTTGTTGTATTTAGCCAATAAACATGCACAAGCATTGTCGAGGGACGTAATAAAGAGCCAGTTGTAGTTTTGCTATAGGTTGACTGTGCCTTTCTTCTTTACTATTAGAGTAGGCCATTGCGTTACTTCTTCTTTGCTCTTTCCTCTTTGCTGCAAAAAAGAGAAAAAAATTTTAAAAATAAAATTAAATTTCTTTTTATCTTTTGTTTTTATTTTTGATGATTTCATCTTTTTACACTCACACAAATTTAACCGCTGGATCATACAAAACAATCACTACATATATATACCTGTCTTTTCCCTGTTTATACACCCACTTTAGCTATCAGAGTTATGTTATTGAAAAAAGGAAGATATACTTGACTACCAACTTTCATGCCTTTACCACACAGAAGATAGTTAGTCTACCTTCACCCTACATCTCACATTACTTACACACAGTTTAACAACAAGCAACATTTTAATGATTACACAACTATGTCACATCCACTGTCAACTTACCTAGCAACGGAAGTAGTATATCCAGGCTACACACTGCCATTATCAGCAGCACCATCATCACCTAGATCGATCAATAATAACAAAACGTATCTCAAATACAAAGCCAGATTCACCAAGTTTAGAAAAAGTGCTATCATCAAACTTCGTATCATTAATAAAGCCAACTCAAAAACAAAGTCATTTAGTTCCAGCTCCACTACCAGGGGCAAATCCAGTAGCAATGGTACGATTTTTGTTGGTAATATTTCCAAGAATGAAGATGAGTCATTTTGCTCGGATAAGATTCCCGATTACACCATCACCACTTCTGAGTGTTCACCACGCTTGTCGTTGGATGAACTACAAGATTCACTAGTGGAGAACAAATCCAATGATAGTGATGAAGAGGAGGAAGAGGTAAAGAGTAGTTGTCATTCACTGATTGTGGAAGAAAAATGTCAACAAGTTGTTGTTGATAATAATGACTCAACCGCAGCAGAGTGTCAACTTCCTTCTTCACCACCTCCTCAATATAAAGCAGTAACATCACCTCCAACTGACCAACTTGACACTGTATCACTGCCTACATCGGCATCTACACTTGCATCTTCACCAGCATCTACACATGGCCAACCTCACCCTCATACTCCCGTAAAGCCAACTCAAATCAAATTCAAATCGCAACTAAACCAATACTTAGCCTCGTTCGAAGAGCAGAAACAATCACAACCACAACCTCAACAACTCGAGCAACAAAAAGAACAAGTGCAAACAACCTCACCATCATCACTTTATACCGAGCCATACACAAGTTTAAAACAGTACAATAAAACCACTAATCAGCAGTATAGTCAATACCAACTCATCAACCCCCAAAAACACAAATGCATCAATTATTATTGGCTTTATTTGGACCTAAGACAAAATCACCAGTTGGTCACATCATTGCACGTTGGGTGGTACAGTTGGACTAGTGGGTTGATTACATTTATGATTATTTATGCATTATTCGTTTGCTTGTGTTAGGAAAATGAACCTCCGAGGGTTAGTGGATGGATGTTTTATTGAGGTTGTGGGTATTTTGATTATGGCTGCCAAACAGTGCCTCTACTGGTTAGAGACCGGTTTATAACAAGGGTGGTTTTAAGTGTCATGTTTTCTCTTTTTCATTTTCGTAAGTTTAGTCTTCGCTTTTATCATATAGACAAAGAGTATTAATAGAAAGAATTTTAGTCAATCATATTTCCTTTAACTTATCTCTAGTTTCTACAAAAGGTTCATGATTTTTTGATTGTGATAGTTGTTTATTATACGACTTTTGAAAAGAAAAAACAAAACCCAAGAGGAACTTCGCTGATATATATTCGCCTAAGGTTTAACTTCCTTACCTTGAGCTTCTTGTTCAACTAACCATTTTGGTGGAACTGCTCTGATTCCTTTTTGCACTTCAGGTAACTTGAACAAAGTATCGTGCCATTTACCCAATAATGGCCATTGATGGATATCGATATCCAAAAATCTTAAAGCCACGGCCCATCCAAATAAAGCGAAATCAGCCACGGTGTAACGATCACCAACTAAATACTTGCTGCCA